AGTTTTAATTAAAAAAACTGGACTGGAACTATGAGCCACCGCTAAACCAACCAATTTCCAATTACTTCATTAATACAATTAATAAATATTTTATCTTTAAAAATCTCGGATTAAATCATAATTACATAATAAAATTAAAGCAAGGCAAAATCATCGCGAAACAATTTGTTTTTCGTATGCTAAGTATGTCACCGATAATTTGTTTTTTAAAAACGCATACTTCACTTGTTTGAATATAAATTTACTCTCTTACGTTTTGTGGCTAATCTTATTAAATAAAGTCTTCCATCTCGCTGTTTACCTGTAATTTATCTCGTGTTAATTAATCTAGGTTAAACAATTTTTTAATCTTATTTTCACAAAAAATATTGAGGTATATATATCATTAATAATCCGGGTAAAAGGGGAAATTATTACATGCTTTTTATAATCCTACAATACGACGAGTCAACAAAATTATTGTTCTAAGGATTTTTTCCCCTTTTTAAAACTTGTAAGCATCGCATTAAGTTGTGGTCTAAGGTGTACTTATCAAAACATTAAAAACTATCTCTTACGGACTTTTGTTTTATCGTTTAAACCCATTAGTAATTTATTACCATAACGATGTGCTCAATGAAAAAAATTTAAAGAACGAAACAATGCTGTTGGCTGGTGGAGGAATATAAACAATGTAAAATTGCACTTCTTGGGAAAATTGATAATTTAATATTTATAAAAATATTTTATTAATTTTAGTGATTAATTAGGTACACAGTTTAGTCACAATCAAAAATGAAATATCTTTTTCCAATGTCTAATTTTCTATGAAAACCGAGCTCTCAGAGGCTTTATCTCAAGTTAGGAGCTCCTACAATGTCAACTTTGGTATGAAAACAAAGCTCCTAGGAACTTCCACGTGGTTGTTAAAATATAGGTCCTAGAGGCATCCTGTTATGTTAAAATACTAGCTTCAAAAGGATTCCAGGATCTCTCAAAGCATAGCTGTCACATCTTTCTCTGTTCTATGAAAAGCACCTGAAAGCTTTAAATTTCGGTGTGAGTATGGCTCCGAGAGAGATCATGTTCCATCTCAGTTGACCTACTACAGTTTCCACTTTTCTATGAAAGCCGATCCCAGAGGCATCTTGTTATCCGAAAATCCTAGCTCTTTTTGGGCTCAAAATTGAGCTCCTACAACTTTCACTTTTCTATGAAAAACATCTCCTGCATCTCAAAATCGGAGCTGCACTAGCTTCGTTGTTTTAGCAAATCCGACCTGCTACGAGACGTCAGGTTGTTAAATGAAAATATTGCTCCTAAGGGCATTCTGTTATCTTAAAATCCGAACTCCTGAAAGCTTTAAATTTCGGTATGCGAAGGGCTCCTTTTAGCTCCAGTCTTTTTATGAAAACCGAGCTCCTCGAAGCATCATATTTCAGAGTAAATAAGGCTCCCGGTAGCTTTGGTCTTTCTACGAGGTATTCTATAATCTCACAACCTGAGCTGAAATATAGTTTTGTTATCGGTTGCGTTTGATACCAAGGTGAATAACATTTTTGGGGGTTTCGTTCGATTCTTATAAGTGAAAAAATTCGATAATTTATAAGAGACTTTTTTTTGTAAAAATCTTCTCTCCTGGAATAATTATTTATTTTAAACTGGTTATTTATACAACTGCTGTATTCGAGCTTCTCTTGTTTTTGCATTCTTTGGTGTTTACGTTTAAATCGCTACATGCACGCAACCATCTTACACACGCAAAAAGCCATCACCTGGAACGTTTCCCATACATTTTAAGGTTGCCCTGATATCACTTTTATTGGCGTGCAAGAGAATATGAAATGTAGTAATTTTTTTTCAAAATTTACTACCTTTTTTTCTTACAGAATGCTCAAACAAAGAGTTATGTTTGAAATCAATCACACCTGGTTCAAACGAAACTGGGCGGACCAACGGTTTGTTTCAATTCGATGTTAACCAAAATTTGTTTTCTACCTTAAGGGCCTACATCTAGGGTGATACAGTTTAAAGAAGTTGATTCAAAATTGCCATTTCACAATTTTCATGAAGTTTGTGTAGTTATAAGTGTACGGATAAGTTTTAGAACTTAAGTGGACCAATCTAAAAGGAAATTCGGTGCTAAATCTAAAAATGGGGTCAAACGTTCGTAAAAGTTACGTTAGAGTGGAGAAAATTCAGGTTTTTCTTAAATAAACACTAAGCAATCGTAACTTTTGAACGGATAAGACCATAAGGTTTACGGCATTCTAATCTATTTTAGATGTACTGTCACCGAAAAAAAATTAACACGACCATATATAATAAAAAAATGTAAATTTCATCATTTGATTTTTTTCTCGGAAAAGCGAATTCAAGTTTTAAAACAGGTCTACTCATTGTCGATGTTGCATTGCATGCTGCCCCATCGTTCACATCACTGGTACCGTAATTTAATTCCAATTGGTAGAAAATGATGTTTATTAGGCCCTGTTTCGTGGTGTTGCAACACCTTTTTTTAAAATGATTTCCCACAATCGACCGGTGATGACGCCGAATCATTTTTCAAATGCTTCTTCATAACTCATTCTGTCACTTTTCTTTTCATCTCTTCTTCCTTTCATTATTTTCTATATTTTCATTTTGTTTCGGTTTTTCCTCACATTGCATGTAAATGTAACTATTTTTCAAGACTTCAACTGTGTTGCATGGTTTAAAATGGTTTTTAAAAAAAATTAGGAAATCTACAACAAAAAAATACCCATTTCTTGTTTATTAAGTATTTTCGTTAACTTTCTAGTTTCTATTTTAGTCGTTGCCTCATTGTGCAAAGTAATAAGGTTACGAAAACAAAAGCAGACTGAAAATGACTGGAGAAAACGGTCTTAAAATTACTGTAGAGTTTAAAAGAACCCGAATAAAAAAGTTCTTTTGGCTTGGACAAAGCGTCTCAGTATATCTAGTCAGTGATGTGCAGTATTAAAAATATTCCAATCAAATTGTTTTGCCCACACTACGGCTAACAAAAACTATCAAACAAATCAATTAATGACAGAACAGAATTTGGCACTGAATTAAGTACTCGTATTTAACAATATAATGTAACCAAAATGTGAAAACTGGCTGTAAACAATTAAGCATTGCGCATACAATAATTTTTTTAAGTTTTGATCCGGTGCTAATCTCTATTGGTAAGAGAAAAAGAACTATGCGTGGTATTAGAAGTTCAAAGACATAGGTTTTACTTTTTGAATATGTACAAAAATAAGTCTAGGGTAGAAATTCTTAATAAATATTCAGTTATTAATAATAGAATATGACTGGTTTTTCCGCCAATTGGACATAACAATGAAATATATTAATAACAATACTAAATAAATTATCTAAACACTTCAATAAAGAATAACTAACTTCATTTAATAAAGCAAGGGGGAACAATGAGGTTGGTGTGTCACGGATATGGACCAAACTTTTTTTTCTGATTCTTCACTCCAAAATATCCGAATTCTTAATAAATCGATTTAATCCGGTTAATGAAGCTTTTTTCAAAATATAATTTTAGACGCAATTAAATGAGCATAAATCGTTATTTAGAGATTAAAAGAATATAATTTTTGGTGTGTTAATTTCATTGTTGGTTAACATAAAAATAAAAATGTTCTATCTCGCAGAATATTCTAATTCAAAGATAAATCAACAAAATACGGGTTTTTTTTGCATATTTTAACAAACATTCTGTAAGGAAAATAAAGCAAAACTTGGATTTTTGACCTCATTGCCAAGATTCTATCGATATAAAACCTTTAGATCCAGATTTTAGTGGAAATCAGTGTAAATTAATTTTTTGACTCATAATTTCCTGGCTCACATTCCTAGTGAAGGGCAAACTTAATTTTTTTCAAAACATATGAGACCAATTTTCATGGTTGATAATTCGTTTTAAAGATATTGTCATATTCATTTTACAACTGTATCATACATTAAAATCAAACATTAAAAATTAAAATTAAATATTATTTCTATTTCAATACAAGGTCAATATCTTACAAATGATTTTGCTGTTTTGTGTATTTTCTTATAGAAATATTTCATATATTTTAGTGGTACTGTTTAATGTTTAAATAAGTTTAGCCATTTCAGTCAGATATTCTTATAACAAGTTCTCAAAAATCGGAAAAATTTTAGGGGTCAAAAAATTGATATATTTAAATTCAAACAAAAATTTATATTTAGCGGTCTCTAGTTGTGCTAAAACGAAATTTCATATTATTTTCGCAAAAAAAATTCATGACCTAGTTTATTTGAAAAATATCTGGTTTTTAGAAATCTTTTGGTTATTGATAAACTTTGATAACTTTTACTATATTAGTGTAGCAATTAAATTGCTGTAAAATGATATATTCACATAGTCGATTTGAACAAATAGAATGGCCAAATAAAAATATTAAAAGATGGAATATTTCCAACTTTAAACTTGGTGGCGAAACCAGTGCCTATTCTCAAGAAGTGGCAATGTCTGTCTGATATTTTGGAGTGTAGAATCGCCAAAGATAGTTTGGTCCAAATGGTACACCAACCCGGTTGTCCTCTTGTAAGCATGGACATGTGGAACTGAAAGACCCATTTGCTTTGACAAATCCATTCAACATTGATTTTTCTTCTTTTAGTACTTTTAGTTCCACACGTCCTTGCTTAGATTAAATGAAATACCAGCCCGAAAAAGAAGAAGAAGCCTTAGATTAATTAAAACTAACTTCATTTGTTGGGTGCTTTGGCATGAATACTAAAAAATGAAGTTCAATAAAATTTTATCAGGGGTTATGTAAAAACTTGTAATCTCTCTTTTTTTCTCGCGCCTATTGATTCATTAATATGATTGTGTTAATCTATTAAATGCAATTGTTCTTACAGAATAAATGTTACGATTATTGGTTATTACTAAAATGTTTCCTTTCTATCTATCTAATATTCAGTTTCTTCGGCAAATTTGAATTTTCAATAATTATGGTTCTTTATTTCAGAAATGATGGGGAGGCAGAAAAATGCCTGAAAGAGCCCAAAAAGGAAGAGGTAGAATCTGCGACCGAAGTTGCAGCTTCAATTTTTGATCTAAGATTTGATCCTTCGAATAAATCTAACAAAAACACACAAAAGAAATTGTATCCTCAGGTAAAACGTTTGTTCATTTTTGTAATTGTGTCTTGTTTGACTGCATAACAAAAGAGGTCTCAGTCCATTTTTTACTGTATATGTGTTTTTTTAAATATTACTATTAAAAAAATTACATATAAAATTCTTAAAAAACAATGTTTCGAAGTTCAATGTACAGCATTACTTTGTAATAATTCTTCTGCCAGTTCTGGCCGAGACATGTATAACAAAATCAGTTCTCTGCTAAAAATTAAGAACAATGGCGCTTTTGTTATACATATTTCGTTTTGCCGTATATTTAATTTGAAGACATTTAGTTTTGTTTATTTTACTTTATTTATTTATTTCTAAATAAGTTCCCTCTTATCTATAACATGGATTGTGTAAAAGGCCTTTCGCTTTCTCTGAGCTCATAAAACGTTGATAAAGGCCAAAAGATGTAGATAAGTAAAAAAGTAAGTTTTTTTTTTAAATCATAAGCAATTATTTTTAGTATCTTTAGCACTTTTTTCTTTTTGAAATATTTTTAATATTGTAAGCTTTTTTTAGTAATATTTTTAATCAAGCGGGCCACGAAAAATAGTGAATGTTTTTAATGTTTTAAGAAATATTTGTAACATTGCACTTTTTTAATAGTTTTAATATCGTAAGGTTTTTTTAAAGAAATATTTTTAATATCATACTTTTTTATAAATATTTTTACTATCGTAAGCATTTTTTCTTTTCAAAATATTTTTAATATTATAAGCTTTTTTTAAAGAAATATTTGTAATAAGGTTTTTTCAAGAAATATTTTTACTTTAGTACTTTTTTAGAAATTTTTTTTAATATCATAAGCAATTTTTTTAAATATTTTTAATGTTATAAGCAATTTTTTTTAACATATTGTTAATATCGTAAGGCTTTTTAAAAAAATATTTTTAATACTGTATGCAGTTTTTTTAATATCATAAGCATTTTTTTAGAAATATTTTTAATATCCAATTATTAATGTTATATTGTTTGTGAAAAAATAGTTCTATTTCTATTTCATATTATATTTTGTTTTTCTTTCCAAGACATTACCAGAAACAATTTTAAAGAAAATCGACACAACGAAAAACTATTTAACTGGTTCTGGTGTGAAATATTCCTTGAATAAAGGAAGTTTTCTATCGGGCGAGGAGTTTTTATTTTATTTTAATCACTTCTAATCTGTAGCTGTAGCACGAATCCGATTGTGAAAACAGTACTACTCCCACTAAAGGACAACCTTTACATCGTGTGATGCTTAAATTTGATGATTTATAAACTGTACAATTAAAAATAATATTATGAAAATGTATCCTTATTGTACCTACTTAAAAACTTAGCAGAATCAAAACTCTAGATAAAATTGACTCAGGTCAAATTCTGTTAATACCTCTTAGTTTTTATTTATGTGTAAATAAATGGTACTCATGAATATTTGTTGTCTCTACTTATAAGGTATATTGAGGTGGCAATAATTTCAATACATACCTTCAAAAACATACCAACTAAAATTTACTTTATCATCTGATTAACACTGTTTTTATTCAAAATATTAATTGTTTTGCTATATTAACATTCCTAAATAAATAACCTATTTTTTATTTTTTTTTTTTAAAGATTCTTGCCTGTATTGCAACCGCATCATTTCATCTACCAGTGGGGATTGTAGTCGCTTATTCTGCAATCCTTATTCCACAGCTTGAACACTCACAAGAAATCCCAGTTACAAAAGAGCAAACAGGATGGATTGGTAATTAATTAACCGCTTATTATTGATTTTTACGTTTATTTTTAAGAGGTGACTATTGTTAAATAGTAGATACCATGGATGGTATAGGGTTACAAGAAAATTTGCAATTTACAAAATGTACAAAATGACCCTTTTATTTATTTATTTTAATATAAAAATTTGTAGAATGAACATTTTCCTATGTTAAATAATTAAATAATTATTGATTGTACATAAATAAGTGTATTTTACTTTTAATCCGTTGTCAATGCTTGCCTTATTTACCAATAACAATGATAATATTAATCCATATACATTTAGCAGTCACAATTGACCATATTAATTATTTGAATTAATTATACTTTTAATCTAAGGACTTGGTTAAGATAAAAAGCAAGTCTTTAGATTAAAAGTATAATTATTAAAACAATGATAATTATAAATTTGTCAGTACCTTTATTGCCAAATCATCATGGTAACAGCATTTTGATTTTTGGATTGATCAAGCAATAAAAAACGTTTAAACTCCATACTTCTCAGCAATACTTAATTATAACATATTAGTTTAATACTACATATAGGATCATTAGTCAATTTTGTGCAATAAAATATTTTTTTTTAGAGTTGCTAGTTCAAGTTTACTCTTAATAAATTATTATCGCATATTACTATGACAATATCTCTTCTTTTGCATTAGTCACATCGTTAATGTAACTAACTACTTTTACTAGTAGAGGATACAATCAAAATCCCATTTTATTTTTATTATGATTATTTATTTTATGAAAAACTATTCTTATCATTCAACTAAGATTTATGTTTGTTTTGCATTGTTATTGTCTCTCTAATTTTCCTTATTCGCAATACTCGAGGTAAACTTTTGTTTTCTATTTTCTTCTTGCATTCTAAGGTCGGTTATCTAATTCCAAATATAAAAAATTTATATTAGAGCCTTTGTATTCCAAGTAATTTTTAGTGTAAATTGCCTTGCAAGCCAAGTAGGCGAAGGTAGAATTTTAACAACTGAATTTATTTAAGTCCCCATAGTTTAATTTGTTGTATTTCAGCAATATAAAGTTGTAATTTTTTTTTTTAACTGCAGTTACATTTTTAAACTAGGTTTAAAAATCTACTTGTTAGCAAAGGGTTCGCCCAAGGAATTATGTATTTATGGACATTATGACATGTATTATTTCTAAACAAGTAATTCAAGCACATCACCACACAACTGAATTTCACAAGAATCTTGCAATAATTTAACCTCATTGAAAAAAATTTAAATTTAACTTTTCATTTCATTATTTGGTTGTTACTGATAATTTTGGTTTGCCTATATAAATAAACCAAATTACAGGTTCATCACCCCAGAGACTAGACAGAGAAATCTGACAATTTTCTTGTTTTGTTGTAGGTTGTTATTAGTCACATGAGACTTCAAGGATTTGTTTAATAGCAAACCAAAAATATTATGTCCTTCATGTTCCTGAAGTATGGGGTGATTGCGGTGTGACATGTTAAAATCATTTATGTTATCTATGCCTAACATTAACGCTCACACTGCTGTCGGTAAAAAAATAATGTGTACAGCCGTCTTGTTAGACCCAATATTTTTTCAACTGAAAAACCACAAAAATAAGGCGTATTATAATGTTTATTTATGTAGTATTTACATAGGTAACTTATAAATAAAAATTTTCAAGCGTATGCTGAAATTTACATTATATAATTTTACAAAAAAAATTCATGTGATGAAATTTTATTTTACTTTATTTTTTGTTATCACTGAATGCTTATCACATAAAAATTTATCACATCTGGTAAATTATTTATTGTCATTAATATCAGAGCAAAGAAAATAAAAAACCAGGACAATAGATTAAAAGTAAGGGGTATGAGTAGTAGGGCTAACCGTAGTCTTGGTTGAGTTGAAACAGCTAGTGCCACAAGCGGGATTCGAACCCACGACCTTTGAATTGTGCCTTATATTAAAAACTGTACTTGAAAATAACTGAAAACCAAATAAATATAACGTGGACTGGATTGGCAGGTCTAAATTGACTCAGGCATCTTTCTGTCTATAGAATGAGCTACAATTACATTTTGGTTCAAAATTTTCAAAGAAAATTACTTTCAGAAGAACAATTACTAATAGAAGTTCTAATAATTAGAACAATAGACAATTACGAAGAGACTGGATAAGAATAGACTGGAGGTAGTATATTTATAAAATAGACAGCACAAGTTAAAAAGTTATTCTGCGGGTCTTTCAAGAATCACAAACGGCGGTGCGAGTGTTAACATTTAGCCTCCAAGACTGCATAACATTTGAAAATGAAGATATTTTCTTGCTATATTTTTTTTATTTATGCATGCTACTTTTTTCTTTCCTCTAGTGTGCAGGGTGTGTCTGACTATAACAATAATAATACAGTTTGCTCTTAGTCATTGAGGTAAAAATCATTCACTAAAACAAATAACAAATAAACCAAATCCTTTTTCATCTATTGAATTGATATACTCACTCCATCATAACCATTTTTAATTAATAACTTTAATTGAAATTCACATTAGTAAACCCGTCTTGAACAGAAATAAATAAAGCAATTCAAGCCAGCGACTACCTGTATAAGAAAGTATAAAACCAAAAGAAGACAAGCAATGCTTTATATTAAATTGATTCACTGGTTAATTTACAAATTACATATGTCAAACCATATAATTCATAAAATGAAGTGTTATATCCCAGAATTGTTATTTTCCAGCAAGCCTGCCTGTCATGGTAGTGCCTATCGGAGCTCTACTCACTGGCCTATGTATGGACAAAATCGGAAGGCTTAACACGATAAGAGTTGCCTGTGTTCCTTACATTATCGGATGGATTTTAATTGCCCTTGCGGACAACATATGGATGTTATATATAGGAAGGTTTCTCACTGGATTTACTCTTGGTTTGTATAGCCTTTTTATACAATAAATAATAAATTTATAATTCTCACCAACACCTCTCCTCCTAATAATTTTAGCTCTATTTATTTCTTGGTCTAAATAATAGTGTATTACTTTTATTGTTAGTAAGAATGTAAGCATTTTTATATTTTGTATATCTGCTTATAATAAAATATTTTATAATACAGCTTTATAATAATACAAATTTTAAGTGTAATTCTATTTCAGCAATGGGTCCAAGTCCAGCTATCGTTTATATCACAGAAGTGGCAAGACCTGATCTGAGAGGATCTCTCATTTGTACGGGACCATCTATGACAAGTTTTGGTAAAAAATAAATTAAAAAATAATAAATTTTACTTTATTTATTGTCATTACATGATAGTTCATTTTTAGGGATGTTGTTAATTTACATAAAGGGAGCAATGCTGTATTGGCGAACAGTTGCATGGTTGGGCATTGCCTACTGTATACTTCCGATATTATTTATGTTTTTATGGGCTCCAGAAAGCCCAGTATGGCTGCTTTCAAAAGGAAAAAAAGAAAAGGCTCTGAAAAGCTTTAAATTCTTAGCACGAGCTGATGAAGACGATGGAATTGCCGAACGACAAGTTGCATCCGTTTTAAAAGAGATAGTTTCCAAGAGAGCAAACGTGGATAAAGAAGATCCATTGATTACTAGGTTTGTCCAAGGTTTCAAAAAGCCAACAGGGTATAAACCCCTGTTCATCCTCGTTATGCTATTTTTCTTCCAACAGTATGCAGGGATATATATCACAATATTTTATGCTGTCACATTCTTTGAGGTAAAGTTTTTTTATTTATATTACTTTTATATTTTTATGAAATATAGTTTTTTTTTTGTATTTTAGGAAGTTAACAGTGGTTTGGATCCATATGTATGCACAATAATGATTGGTTTGATTCGCATGTTAGTTGGTCTTGTGACATCAGTTCTACTTAAAAGATACGGAAGAAGGATTTTATGCATATCCAGTGGCCTTGGAATGACTGTGATGCTAACGATTTCTGCTTATTATACAAGACTGATAGCTATAGGTACACACACTTTATATCGGATCAACAAAAATGGCCCTCAAATATAAATTATTCTCAAACATGACCTGTAAATTCATAATTTCAAAATTCCTAAAACCATAAGTTTCAAGTTAAGAATAAACGTTTATTTTTATTCTTTTTATTCCAATTAATTATTCTTTTTATCTAACGTTTTTGGTTGAGATAAAAAATTAGTGTCACAAGCGGGATTCAAACCCACGACCTTCATCTCACCTCCAACCATTAAAATTTTCCCTCTTTTTGCCATGTTTTCATTTAGGTTGAGATGGGGAGTTGGTGTCCGAGTGGATCAAAGTCACAATAGCTGAAGTGGTTAGAGCAGCAGCGTATTGAGCCTAAGGTCATGGGTTCGAATCCCACTCGTGATTCTTTTTTGAAATCCCTCCCTTATTTTTTCTGATTTTTCATCTCAACCAAAAACCCTAGACAAAAATAATAATTAATATGGTCAATTATGACCACAAAACAAATATGGGTTTATTTATTTTTTTTTTTTTACCTTTTAAATAGCAACTGAGTGTTTTCTTTCAAATTGGCCTGATTCCTAATCATTTCTTAATATAAATTGAATTATTTTTTGTCTGTTTTTAGGTGAATTATCGTCAAGTTGGATTCCTGTAGCCTGTATGTTGATGTACATGTCTCTGAGTGTAATCGGTTTGATGTCAATTCCATGGACGATGACTGCTGAATTGTTTCCATTGGAAATACGAGGGCTGGCCCAAGGCCTTGTAGTATCTCTTGCTCATGTAATTATGTTTTCAGCATTAAAAATTTATAGAACGTTGCCAGATCTGCTTGGAGGGTCCTGGGGTGTCCAGTTGCTCTTTGCTTGTATGTCTCTAGGATCTGTACTATTTGTGTACATCTTTTTACCAGAGACCCACATGAAAAAACTGTCTGATATTCAGAATTATTTCAATTACAATACTATATACCTCAGAGCAAAGAGACATTCAACAAATAACAATGGATCACATGTGATATAGAAGTTATTTTTGTACTGATTTATCTTTGATTGATAATTAATTCAATTATAAATGTACTTATATATTCAAAGACCCCATCAATACTCACGAGTATCATTAACAATTTTAACTCATGTCATTTAAAAGGGACCTGAAATTTTTATGCTAAAAAAATTAATTAAAATAAATACGAAATTATTTTATTGTATCAGAATAAATACATTTTATTTCAAAACTGGTTTTCTTTTCATTAATAATAATCCATTATGTTTAGTGGTCTAATTGACCAAATTACTTCTTTCAATTAATTATTCTTTTTATGTAAGGTCTTGGTTGAAATGAAATAATAATAATTTTTATCTCTGCTTGCATTAAAAAAAAAGACTTGATCTACACTGCAGGAGCAGATTACAAGAATTAAAAGAATTGCTTTCGTTGAAGCTCAAAAATTCACCAGTGGGCTTCACTGCTCCCTTATTTTTCATTGCACTCTCATACCATCACGAAAAAGCTGGTATTTGGTTGATGAGTGAACCCCCTGCTAGTTTTATATCATGTTGTTTTTTGTTTTTTTCTTTTTAAATAAGTCAAAAAGAGCAACTCCAAGTAATAAGCTAGACAACTTCTGCACCTCTCGATTTTTGGCAGGCAAAAAATAATTTGTACACTACTCCAATGCTTCGTTGAAAACAATATTTTCCATGCAGTTTTCTTTTAATTTGCGTTTATTTCAATGTTAATCTTTGCCATACATCTGAACAGGGTTGTAAAATTGTCCATGTACTGTAAACAATGTGTTTTTTGAATTTATAATCAAACATATTTTCTCAAAACTTAGTCCTTGTGACTTATTTATGGTCATAACAAATTCTAGAAGACTGGGAATTGCAACTGTTTCAAAACAAAAGGCATTTCTCCCCATGTCTAAATATATTCGAGGGATATGCACATCTCCCTTTTTACTCTCAGTTAATATTTCGCAGTGTATTATCGTCCTATCAATTTTTCCCATTACCCAAATCTTCCCCTATGCATAAATTTTTTAATAGCATGACTATACATCCTGCTTTTAAGTGCAGTTCTATGGGAGGCAAACCCGAAGGCATCATTGATTGTAAATATTCAATGGGATACTGTAAAGTGTTAAAATATGCATTGTCGACTTTCTCACTCGCTAGCGACTCAGCATGATCTATGGAAATACACTTATCAATTTCCCCTGATAGTCGTTTGACAATAAGAAGATTAATTTTTTTCACTTCATCACTTCTAAAAGCTAACATTGCCATTATTCTTCATTTCTTCCTCAGATAAATTTAATAGATAAAACTCTTCAATTAAATTACCACATAACATTTCCTAGAGTATTTCAGGTTTTTTGTTTGATATTATTTCTATCTAATGGCCAATCTGAGAATTCAATGGAATCTCCATCCGCACGCATATTCTATGTCAATTTACATTGTTGAAAACTAATCCATAATCCAATCAAATTATTTTTTTAAGAATGCTTTATAAATTTCTCTCCTACCTCCTTTTTTATGACATAAAACCTGCCAAGTCACGACCAGTATAAAAATTTACCCAGCAAATGCACAGTCGTCATTAAAAACATCTCTAAATGTCCTGTTGTTAGTGGCTAATACAGTTTGGGGAATCATGCTTCATCCCAGATGAAAATATCTTTTTCTTGGAGTACCCGTTTCATTTTGCGTGATAAGGTCTTCAACTAATTTAACAGTAACCCGAATGGTTTATGTCCTGTCTGTCCATATGGGAGAAGAACTGCTGCTATTCCTGTCCAAGCATTGGTTGTAACTTCTTTGCCAAAATATCTGCAGAAATGTATCCGTATAAAAATGTCAACTCAGGTCCATCAACAAAGAACATTTTGAGATCTACTCATTCCTCAGTCACGGCCAATTTAATGTTACCAGAAACTTTTGACCGATTTGTATTCATTTTTTAATACATTTGTTCATAAATGCCCCTTATAACTCTGTACATCTTTATTGACGGCAATTTCTTTCAGATTTTCCAGTTATCAATTTTTTCAGGAAGGCATATAGTTTCATTGTCATTCCTTCATTTTCAATCAGATCTCAAATGATGGACAGCGCAGAAGCTTTATTACAGTTTTTTCAATTAATCAATCTTTTTATGTAAGGTTTTGGTTGAAATGGAAAAGGTAGTGTCATATGCAGGATTCAAACCCACGACCTTTGGCTTTATTAGAGTGTTCGCTTAATTTGTCTATAAATTGCTCCCAAAGCATCGGTGTACCTTCTCTGTTAATTGTTAAATAAACAAAGAATTGCTTCAATCTATTTGGCATTATCATTGAAGCAGCAACGTTCATCATTTTGAACATATAATTTTCAGATCGCACAATCCCACTGCTCTCGCTGCCTCCTGAGATGTTATAATAAAAAAACTTCCGTAACTCCTTTTTTTTCGTTTGGTATTAAATATCTGTTTAATATATACAAAAAAAGATACAATCCCCTTACAAGATACAATCTTTCACAATTTTAATCCGAACAAAAAACATAAAGTAGACTTCTAGATTGAAATAAGTGCTGGTAGAAATGATTTACAAATCTCAAATTAGGCTTATTTTGTAGAAAAACGTTTCTATTTCCAATTATATATAAAATGGCATGAATTCTTAAACAGAAAAATGCTATTGAAACGTGCCCCCCCCCCCCACTTTGCCTCTTTTTACATCATTAAAATTGTATAGGTCTCTCTCACACAATTCAGCCAAAACTTTTACATTTCATAGACACCTGGACAACGTTGTACATTGATTTCCTTTTTATTGTTTAAAAGTTGTTAGAAAATGCATTTACAGAAATGAATAATAGACTCAAAATTCTATTCAGAGGGTTTGGAGAAGCTGCCATCACATTGCGAGAAGTGTATGAGAGTGATGGAAGGTATTTGAATTAATAAAAAATGTTTAAAATTATTATTTTTTTTATAACCAGAAACCTTGTAATATTTTCTGGACAACCCAATCCTATTCCTACTTCCATTTCGACCTCGAGCAATGGAAGACAATGCGTAACAGTGTGGTCCACCATGAGATGCAATAAAAAATCAAATAAAGATTCTGTCTTCAAAACTAATTGAACTATATATATAACAAAGATCATGCATTATGTATTTTTTAAATATAATTATTACACATTATTGATAATTTGAATATTATTCTCTATCACATCTTTCTTTTCTTTGGTAGCAAGTGAGAGATCAGAATGTATATTCTACTTGTGGTGCGTGTCCTTGATTTTCACGCGAAAAACCACCAAGAAAGGGAATGGTACCTGTTTATATACTCGTTTTACCCCCTTTCCTAAGCAACTTCCCGGCTCACTGAAAATAAAAAAGAATCAGGCACAACAAAACAAACACACAGAATTTATAAAATTTTGGTTCCATCCGGCAGCTTGAGACATGCGGTATTCACCAAATTCAAATGTTCGCGCCGAATCCCGACTAGTGTGGATGTTTGCTCGACTACTCGCTGAACAACAATATCCAGGTGCTCGGATTTTTGTCGGTTTTCTTGTCCGCTTCGAAAGGAACAAATATTCGTGAAGTAAACCATCCACACATTCAGGAATCAACTGTAAATGTTCGTTCCTTCAACCATATCAAAATCAACAGTAATTGTATCCCTCTATTTAATACTATTTATTTTTCATTAATAAACCATTGCTAACTAGTATAGATGTATTAATTTACACAATAACAAGTTTTTTATTAAGAAAGGATTGGCCCAATGCAACAGTTTTGAAGTTTCTCGATGTTTACAAAACAGAACCAATAATTTGGAAAGCTCTTACACAGCTACATAAATTGTTTTATAAATAAAGCAATAATTAAAAGTATAAAATATATAACTAAATATATTTTTTTCAATTAGATCGTAGCCACTTCACAAAATAGTAACCACAGCTGCAGAAATGACAGTTTCTCTGTTTTCCATCACGATTTGTAGTAAGTTTAGGACTCACGGTATTTGGCAAATACGTATTTTCTGTTTCTTCAACAACTAGGAGGTTATTATACAAACACAGCATATGTGTATATGTAAGCATGCTTTTTGGCGAATGCCAAGATGAGCATCTCTAGATTTGGCAAATATTCAGCGGCAATCGGCATTCGGCAATACCGTATGTCTGATTATGTTAAGTAATGTTTTTGAAATAACGAGTTTGTAAGACAAATTGGTAAAAACATCAAAATGAATAAGTACAAAAGTTCGATCATGACATTTTATTCATGGTCAAAATTTACAATACAAAATCATTTTTTCTCCTGTTTGGTCACTGCCGGTTTAGACGGAGTTGACTTCTTTGTTTTGCCATCAGAAGATTCTTTCTTCGCCTTAGGAGTCTTAACTTTCTTGGGTTTGGCCGCTAAAGCTTTTTTAATCATCTCCTTGCGCTTTTCCAACATCTTTAAGTGCTTCTGTTGCATTGGTGTGAGAGGAACCTGTAATTTAAATTATGTTTTAAACAAATTAAAATAGATCTTTTTGATTTTTTTTACCCCATCCTCTTTTGAAGCTTCCTTAACAGCTTGTGTAAGTCTCCTTTTCTGACCGTCAAGAATGGCTTTTCGTTTTAAAACAGCAGCGTAAGGGTTGAGCTTAAGCATAGCCCTTGTGTTGCGAAGAGGATTCAATTTCTTCACGCTTCTCATTATCTTCTTCCTGTAACAAATTTATTTTATTTTGCTGCAATTGAAAATTTGACCAATAAAAATATACTGAAAATGCTTACTTTGGTGGTTTCAACACACTCTTTATTTCCTGGGATTTGAAAAGCCTCGAAAGGTCAGTATTTGTCATTTTTGGTAGAGGCAGGTTATAATCTGATTTCAAGGTAGCACCCTTTTTCCACGTTCCGTAAAGTTCATTTAATTGTTGGAATGCAGCCTGTGTCCAAATTACAAATCGTCCTACATGCCCACCAGGAGCAAGCTTTAAGAGGTTCAATCTTGAGACACAAACCAAATCTACCCCTGGTATGTTCCTGAAAGCTTGAACAAGCCCCTAAAACATAAGTGTTAATAATAGCAATTCATGTTTTTTTTAATCATAAATATATGTACCTGATTGCGTGCATAAACAATGAGAGGACCCCTACGCTGGATGCGCCTCCTATTACGCATCTTACCTTTACCGGCTCGGAATCTCTTTGATTTGTAAACCTTTTTTATGTCTTGCCAAGCTTTGACATTTCTAAGAAAAGCGACTGCTTCCTTTGTCTTCTTGTATCCCTGAACTTTATCAGAAACAACCAATGGTAGCTCAGGAACCTTGTTTACAACATGGCCTGAAAAAGTTTTGATTTTCAGTATAAAAATAATATGTTAAAATACTTGTAATTTAATAAAATTTAAATTGTAATATTTTTTAATGACATTAAGAGTAGGATGAACTGTCAAGGCATATAATATGTTTATTAACTAGTAAAATAAATTCTAAAATAAAATTTATAATTCCTAAGCAAAAGTAATTAAATTGAATTGGATTACACTCACCTTTAGACATGACAAGAGCAGGAACTCCTGTTGCAGCAACAGCAGAGGCAATAGCGTAACGTCTCTGATTAACGTTTACGCTTCTATGCCATCTCCTCCAAGGTCTAGTTGGGGCAAACATTCTACCACCCCTACACATGTTGCCAAATGCACCTTGTCCAGAACGGTGGGTACCACCACCCCTAACCCTGGGGATACGTGCTACCGCACGACCGGTACCCCACGACTCAGCAGATGTTTGATGACCTTAAATTACGTTTAAAACAAAATAACTGAGCCAAAACACTACTTTTTTTAATGCACAACAATATCATGAATATTATTACCGGCTTCGGCACTGACACAATATGCCTGTCTGTGATTCTTTGCAATGTTTTGATGTACAAAGTTAACCACATCTGGTCTAATTGGTGCAGTGAAGATTGCGGGAAGGTTCACTACAGTCCCGGTCGGCTCATTTTTGTCACTATATACAGTGACATGAGGCCTTACTGAAGGCGGAATCTGAAAATTGGTGTAAAATGATTGAATTAACATCATACTAAATAGTATTAATTAAAAGTGATGTATGGAAATACAAAGAGAAAATATTAAATTGAAACTTCAGGCTATTTTAACAGCATAGGACTACATCAACAATCTGCACCCAAGGGTCACGTTACTACAGACTATGTTCAGTGTTCAGAATCTAAATTTAAATAAATATGACACAAATTCAATGTATGTGACACTCTTTTGTCTCAAAAACATAAATATAATTTAAAAAATTTATTTCTTATTTTGTAAATTATTTACAAAGGTGTTTAAAAAATAAGGAATTTTTAAGACTAATTTATCCTTTAAATTTTTTGGTTTATGTTAGAAAACGTTTCCTTTTTTTAATAAAAAGTAAATACATTACTTATTTACATTTATTTGGAAGTTCAGGAATTTATAGCCATCATCAGTATCCTATATTGTATTAAATTTATATTTTGTTAAATTAAATATTATTAAATTATATTTATAATTTATATGCCATAAGTTGAGGACTGAATGGATATTTTAGAGGTATAAACAAAAAGTCAATCAGTCCTCATGATTTCCCATTCTTCTGAATTCATCATTGGGGCAATAAAAATAATACAGGTCTTCACATTTCAAGATATTTATTAACTGCTTAAAAATTCAGAAAGGAATGACTAACTCTAAACTGTAATTGATCCGTGACGAACTGTCAACCACTGCTTTACTGACTACTCCCTACTGTCTAGTTATCAAGAATTAGAACCTCGAAAACTCGATTTTTTTTCAAATCTCCCTTGTTTTCCTACAGTGTTTGCCCACATTTTTACTTCTATAAATTAAACATTTCAAAATGAAAACCTCAATTAGACTTTCTTTACTTGATGGGCTCCTCTCTGGTCTCCATTTTCTCCCGCTCTCTTAATAACCCTACACCAGACAGCAAGTAACATTTCACACTTATAGGACTTTTTTTTTCAACTTATTCTAATTTACGTGTTTGTTCATTTGTGTACACAAAAAGTCTGTGAAACGTCATTGTAAGACGTTAAGCATGGAGGAGAAACGGAAGATTATTAAGGTGTTAGATGAAGGCATTAAGGAAAAAAACCATGACATCGCAAAGAATTTGGCACACCGACAAACACTTTATCTACTATTTAAAAAAATAGGGATAAGTATTATGCAACAAGTGGATTTACTGGCTCAATAACTCAAACCTAAATTAGTTGAAAAACTTGATAATTCATTTTTTTTTTTTTTTTTTTTTTTTAATTTCCCCCTGAGATTCGAGTTATCTAACAGTCGACTTAATTTAAATTTGTATTTTGTCAAAATCAAAGTTGTGTTGTGTTGTTTTTTTTTTTTTTCAAAATGGTGTGTGGCCAATGCTGTGGGATTAATTTTTGATGTTTTTCAGACATAGATGTGTTTGTCTTTTCCGTTTTTCCAATATTGCGATGTAATATGTATGTAACTGCAGAGTTCATACAATTAATTTTATAAATTACATCAGATTTGTAAGCTGGTCTTTGACTTTGGACGAAGGTGTATGTACTGTTTTGTGGTGTTTGAAGGCTATTTTAATCTGATCTAAGGAGAGTGATGTACTTAATTTGTGTGACAATGTGCAGATGAATGTAATGGACATGTATATTGGGTTGGTTTTGGGTGATTGGATCGGGATGTGTTCTGTATATACTGTTTGTGAAGTGTTATGATCCTGTTAATTATGTTTTTAGCTAATCTAGTCCTTTAGCTGTTTATTATTGTGTGTAGGGGGTTGTGAGGTATTATTAAAAACATCTCGATTTCCTTGAACCTGACACAGATGGCTGTTAAGGTTAAAAATCGAGTACACGATGTATAGCAAATGAACAAAGATGTACTTAATTTGTGTGTGGATGAATGTAATGGACATGTACAACGGATTGGTTTTGTGTAATAGAATCGAAATGTGTTCTGTATAGAGTTATGATCCTGTTAATTAAGTTTTTAGTTATCTAATCCTTTAGCTGTGCTTATTATTGTGTGTAAGAGGTGGTGTGATGTATTATTGAGGCAGCGATCTTTTCATTTTCATTGGTTTTTGGTACAATTCTGAAGTTAGTGTGCCATTTATTTGTCATATAACATGTGTCTAGGTACAGGACTTTGTTATGTTACAACTTTATGTATGAACTGAAAGCGAGGATGAAAGAAGTTAAATTCTGTATTGTATTTTTTCCCAGTCGATGTAAGTTTTGTAATTCACACAGGACCTGAAGATGACCCGAATAAAAGTAAAAACGTCGGTAAAAAAATTAAAAAGATGTTCTAAAATGTTTCCAGATCGTTCCTCGCTACTGCAACAAATTACCGGACAACCGGTCGCTAAATAACTCACCTAATTTTAATGGGACATCGTATTTCATAACAAAATAGTAATTAAATAATAATTATAAACAATTGGTGATAAGGACTGGAGCGGGTTATATTTTAAAAAATTGTCTTTTACACGCCAACAACTAAGCAAAAAATAAAATGTAAAAACATCTCGATTTCCTCGAACCTGACACAGACGGCTGTTAAGGTTAAGAATCGAGAACGCGATGTACAGCAAATTAACAAATAAATAAATCCTGTTAATAACTTTGGCTTAAGAAATCAAATAAAGCTGTAAAATTAACACGAATAAAAAATGTATTGTTTAATAGGCAATGTTTTATTCCTCTGGTAATTAAACCGACAAGAACACGTGGAGCCGAAAACGCCACGACGGAATAAATTGGTTTAAATATATTTTCAACAATTATTAACAACTCGAAAAAACTGGTAACAATAAAAAAGTGAATTGTTTTTCTTACCATGACGAAAAATAATAAAGAATTCGCTTAGATTCTTGACCAAAGATTATACCACTAGTCAGACCCCACGAACGAAGGGAATCGAGGTGACGTCACACTTGGAAGGCAGCTCGCGTTTTCTCGTCCCAAACTTCCAATGTCCGTCCCATCGATACTTCAAACTGAAAAAGTTCGATTTCACAATTGAAAATTATTTATATGTTCATTTTCATCCTAACACAAAATTTAAAAAATTATTCAAACAAAAATAAATTAAATACGATATTCGTGAAAGGTTGTGAATCATGTTATTTAAACTACTAAATTAACTTTGCTAAGTATCGATACTGTTAACTACACATCATCATACAACATAACATGTAGTTAATTTACTTTATTTCACTAAACTCTTCTCAGAATTCTAAATACATTAATATTTATTTAATAAATTAATACACTATACTAATAATCACAAATAATTTTTTGTAATTTTAGTAACTTTACAATATTATATATTTGATAACTCCTACTTGTAATTAGCGCTCGATTTTTAAAATTTACGGTACAACCACTGCGTTTTGGATGGAATTAATAAAACTATGAAATTATCCAAACAATTGATATATATTGATTGGAAAACTGCAATCTCAAAATGTCTTTGCAATCAAACATATTATTTTGTAAAATCACTGTTTTAAACTAGTTCTAAATTAATATCCTTTTATTTGTCAGGTCATAAACAAGTTGTCAAACTACCTAATAACAAACTCTCATCTGACTTTCCTGTTAAGTCTGGCGTCCGACAAGGTGCAATTTTAGGACGCTTACTGTTTTCAATATTTATTAAAGACCTCCTTCTTGTTTAAATTACACCAAATTTTCACTTAAATGCTGGAAATACCCAAATCTATACACCATGTCCCTCTCATTTAATCCCTGATTCCATTCAAATTATTAACAAAACCTTTCTATTGGGTTTCAAACAATTGTCTCAAACTTAATCCACTCAAATCCAAATCGATGATTATTTACAACACACATCTGTCAACTAAGGATTTTTTTTGCATTACTCTTGGTGGCTTTTTGATATCCTTCTCTAACCAAGTAAAAAACCTTGGTGTAACTTTTAATACCAGATTATCTTGGGTCGTTATTTTAGGCTTTGTTGTTAAAAGGATGAATGGGAATTTAAATTCATTTTGAAATATCATAAATTTACCTCTCCAACACTAAAACTTAGACTAGTCAAAACTCTTATTTTATCGTCTTTTACTTATTCACTTATCTCAACATACGACAAGTTCATTTTGGGTATTAATTTATTTGATTCCTTAAACTCCGATATTTATTTAGTTTTTTCAAATCACTTAGCTCTGCCCATCATGCTTATTCATTATATTCAATTTTAATTCTTCCTGTGGTTAAATATTATAAAAAGCTTGCATCTTAGATCCAAATCTATGAATGATTCATTTAGAGTTGCTGGGGTGCATCTGTGGAATTCCATTCTGCAGCATATTAGGTCTGCCCACCTCCTTCTTCAAGCTTATAAGCGTGAAACTATGATTTCCTACATTTTAATTTAAGTCCATTCTGTTAACAACTGGAACAAAATTGTTTGATATTTTAATTTGTTGTGCATACACCACTTGTTGAACCATTTAAATTTATTCTTTGATTTAGCTCTCTTTCCAAGCTCAAGATTTATGAAAAAAGAAATGTCCTTCGAAAAAATGTAAAAACCAAAAGTTACTTGCTTTATCAAATGGGGAAACTTTGGAAAAGGTTAAAAATAGTAGATAGGTAAATAATATTTAATGGCAATTTAATATTTTACATGCCAGTCGTGGTTCATTTTTTTGCAAAGGGGCCTTGTAGCATTGGAAAGACAAGCATCTCTAAGCGCGGTTTTGTTTCACGCTAATGAAATGACGGCCATATCACTTTGATGGAGAAAAAAATAATTACATTTAACAATTCAATCCCTTTTACCTACTTCCTGATCCTGAAATCCTAAATAGAACCCACACATACGACTCAAAAAACACAAATTAAACATGCTTCAGACTTCTTAAAAGCCTGCTGTATGAATGATCACAAAAACAACTTTTCTTCACAGAAATTTCATAGACACACTGAAGATGATGAAATTCATCTGACAGACCAACGCAGTAGATAGGCAAGCTAAAATGATGAGTAACGACCAAATTTCAAGTTTTCCCCATATTAAATTTGGTCATTATCGATCCTTTTGGTCTGCCAGAAAAATATTTAGTGACAGAAATTTGTGGGGTATTTTATTTGTGTACACATTTCCTTAAGAAATTATTTATAAGTGAAATTCACAAATGTGTACACAATATACAAAACAAACTATTTTTACTTTGATTTATTTATTGGGCATGAATATACATGATACTTTTAATATGTACATTATATACATTATATTCATATTTTACATTAGGTAATTACTAATAACAATGGACATTCCATCTAAATCAATAATTTGTTGCTTTGAAGACAAAATGAAAGCGTACAAAATAAAAATAACGGCATGCAGATAAAAAATATGCCAAAGATAAAAATTACAAGCATATTAACTTCTCTATGTACTTGCTGTAATTTTTATTTATTTTTTTACTTTTATTATTATTCTCATGACAACATAATTAAATAAAAGTTGTAGCAATGTCCTGATTTACTGTATTTTTATGTACAAATTTTGCTATTGAATAAAGTTTAAATGTCCACTGAAATGAACATAAAAGTTGATTAGCAATTAACAAATCTACAGAAATATAGAAAGTATTTAAAATTCATAAAAGATTAAAACAAAAAAAAATCAACAATAATAGAAATGGAATGACAACTAACTTATAGATATTTTCCAGTTGAGAAAAGAATAGATTTAACTTGGGTTGGAAAATTGTTCACAGCCAATGGTTGGTTGAGATCACAAAAAATGAAACCTAACAAAGGGAGTAAAATTATGTGATTTAAAAAACAAACAAAAAAACTGAAGTCGCTTGTGTGTATCAGTTTAGGTAGTGACTAGATGTCTCTCATAAAGTGATAGGGTTTTGTTAGCTAGTCATACAAGCGACCAGCTGGTGACAAAGGTCAGCGTACTGCCCCTGATCTCCTGAAATTCGCCTCATTTTAAGTTGTGCATTCCTCTCAACCTACGACAAAAAGACCAGGTATGTAACATACAAAATTATGAAAAATTTAATATAAGTTGATTATGTAATGTTTATATACAGTAATTAGTTTTTAACTGATATGTTTAATCGAATACAAATCATGGGGTTTGTTCTATCCTAGTTTGTGGCCGTCAAAACAGTCCAAGGATTTTACTATGGATGGGCTATAACAATGTATGCAGTTTCCCCGCGCTTTCACTCTCATCAAATTGTAAAGTGTTTACAACTAGAGCCCAAATTTTGCAATAAAAATCTTAAAATATGCCAAATATAAATTACTAACAAACCTCAAATATGCTATTAATTTGTTCTAAAAATATTAAAATACGCAGTATGAATGTAAAAGTCATCACTCGATTAATAAGTGAATAATTTCTTTTTGTCTAGAAAGAAAAAAATCAGTTACTTAATAAATCATAATAATTCAAATAATAAATTATAATTAAAATACAATTAAAAAATTAAGATATTAAGAAAGAGGACTGACACTTATTATTTTTCTTACCACAACCACACTACTTCAGAAAAATTCATTTTTCAAAAAAGGAAAAAACACCCATAAATTTTGGAAATGTAATAAAGTACAATAACTGAAAAAAAACTTAAATATTAACAATTAATTAAGGTTTTTAGTTGAGATAAAAAAGTCAATGGCATGAGCGGGATTCGAACCCATGATCTTCGGCTAGATACGCCGCTGCTCTATCACTTGAGCTATCGTGACCTCAAATAAAAACCTTAATTAATTGTGATATATTAATTGGTCAAGCAGACCACGAAATTAGTGAACTTAAATATTAATTTATTTTATATTATTTATTTTTATATATAAATGCATAAATAATATAATAGAGTTTGATCTACCTCCTAATTTAAAATGTACCTAACTAATATTTGACACAAATTAATCACTAATTTAAAATTATTTTATTAGAGTATTTACTAGGAAAATATTTAGTTGTGTTGCAATTAAAGTTTTTCACACGATCAAAATTAAGCACCGCTTCTCATTGAAACGTCGCGTTGGCAAGGGATCGGCGAATTCGTTCTTACAATTTATTTCGAGAGACTTGCTTGAACTGCTTTTAACCCGATGATGAGTTTTAAGTTTGAAATCCGGATTGTTGAAAACTAAAAACCATGTGTAAGAACTAACTTTTAACAAAGAAAGTTAAATAAATAATTTTTTTTTTTTTTGGATTATTCAAATATGCAAATTTATGCAATACATTTAGTGCTAATAAAATGAACAATAAAAGGCATTTTTATTTGTTTTAATTGGTACAATTGATTTTTTTTAAGTAGTTCAAAGCTGTGTTCAATGAAGTACCGATTTTGACTCAATTTTAATTTATTACCCTCCGTTTTCTCTGTCTTTAATTTTTTTTTTTTTTTTAAATAGCAGGTAGCTATTAAAAGGTAGAGGTAGCTCTCCCCGGCTAAAAAATATGAGCCACATTTTTCCTCTATGTTCTGGAAAAGAAGAGAGTTTCTCAATACTCAACTATCAAACCATACAAAAGATACCATTCAACTGTAGGAGTCCGAGATCTGAAAATAGCATGAGTCAAGGAATTCATGATCAGTCCACGTTCTTGAGCATGTGCAAGTCATTTTTTTTTTTTTTTTTTTTTTTTTGGCCTTATGATCTGCATATTAGCCATGACGAATTCTTATATATATGTTGTTCAAATTGGGGGTTATCGGGAAAAAAGGGCCAGAGGCGACGGTGGGAATCGAACCCACGACCGCGGCGTGAGAGTCTCTCATGCTAACCACTCGGCTACCGCGGTCCCCTTGTGCTAGTCATAAATCACAGATTAGTTGGGAACTAGTTTGTGATTGTGTATTGCACAAACATATGTACTACACCTGACCATATTCAACTGTAATTAAATAACAAGCTGCATGATTACAGTACAAAAATTATCACGATTCAGAAAGACCAGACCCAAGCTGCCTTAATGAAAATACTGGAAAATTACTAGCTGAAGTATTATTTACACATCTTCAATAAATTGAAAACAATCTTTCCAGCTTGATAACAATATTTATTAAATTCACTAATTTCGTGGTCCACTTGACCAATTAAACATTACAATTAATTAAGGTTTTTAGTTGAGATGAAAAAAAGTTACTGGCACGAGAGGGATTCGAACCCACGACCTTTGGCTAGATACGCTGCTGCTCTACCACCTGAGCTATCGTGACCTCGATCCACTCGGACATCAACTCCCCATCTCAACCCCACCTTATGAGTTTTCCTTCCTTTTGCCATTTTTCAAATGTTGTGTAATCGGTTTGGATTCTCGACAACAATTGAAATGGCGACGGAGAGCTTTAGTGAAGTGTACTTCATTTTTAAATCATTAATTCACTACTTTCGTGGTCCGCTTGACCAATTAATAAATGACAATTAATTAAGGTTTTTAGGTTACTCTGCTTCCCCCAGTGACGTACTGAGAGCGAGCCACCACGCTCACCCTCTACCTCTACCCAGGTTCTGTAAGCACGATATTGTGATATAGTCTCTTCACCTTTAGACTGAAGTTCAAAGGAGTGTGTTGCTTAAAACAGTAAATAACGGCGTTATGTTATCTAAATTTTCCACTCTCACTGGTGCTACAATAACTTAAAAAGTGGTATGAACTTGAATTGAAATGAGTAGAGCTCAATATCACGCTCTGAGTACCTCACTTGGGGAATGAAGAGCATGATATCACACTGTCCTGAATGGCTTAACATATAATCTGACCTTTCCAGCCAGATTCACATCTTTTACCATCATGATAAAAAAGTTGTCCTTTCTGTTGAATTCCTGTTATAGTGCAGACTAACTCTATCTCTAAATATTTCATGACAGAAAAAAATCTACTTTCAACTTAAATGTCCAGTTTTACGATGTAAATCTACCATTGTATTATACCTGTAATTCAACATGAAGACCCGATGGACTCTGAAGTGCTAATGCCGGCCCATCTTTAGTGTAACAATGAAATTCACTTGGAGCTATGGCACTAACAGTTTTTTGTAAAAGGGAAATCACTTCTGATGCTGCTAAATTGGAGCAAAATTCTGATAATGACACTTGGAATGACCCAGAAACAGTCTTTTGTAGGGCCTCTGAGGCAAGGAGAGGAGGCTGGTGGTTGGTCATTAAACTAGGCCATACTTCACCTTCTGAATCTGTAACTGATATTACCGGTTGGATTCTTGAACTGTATCCCAATTTTTCTCCTAAAATTTAAAACAGATTTCACAATTAACACTGTTATAAATGAAATTTCACTTTACCGCAAAACTTACCAGGCCAATCTTCTTCTTGTATCCTAGTGAGTGGTGGTGACGGACTTGGGTGGACATTAATTCTAAGATCGAGCGGTGCTTGATTTCCATTTTGACTGTTGTACTGATAATTGCTTGATGCCCCTTGTGGTATCAAACCTTAAAAATTTGCAGAATATTTATAAAAATAAATGTTTAGTCAGAATATGTAAACACAATTTTAAGCAAACATCTTAATTAAAACTTTAAAGTGAAAAGCAAGGCTTTGAAAATTTCATACCTCCATTTGGATTTGGATTGAACATATCAGGTTGTAGTTGTAAGCTCTGGAAATGCTGAGAAAGACCTCCAGCAGGATTTTCTGGATATCTCACACCAGAATAATGAATAGGAGAGCCTTGAAAAAATAAAAAAACCTTATTCATTGAACCAAGCGCAAGATGAAATTTGCTCAAAGTTAATAATTTCAGTTTCTAAATGTTAATAGTTAATTTTATTCATATTTATTATTTTTTATGTGGCCAACCTGAAGGAGTGAGAGGAGAAACTCCGCCAGAAATCACTTGAGGAGGAGAGGGAGAAGGACTTGCTCTCATTTGCTGTATGTCAATTGTATGTCTAAGTTGGAGTTCTGCTGCTACTAATAAATCACCCCCAAAGCTGTTATTTTTCTATAGAATTAAATAAATAAAAACGCGTTAGTTATTAAAAACTAAATACAAAAATAAACAGTATTCCAAACCTGCAGCTGTTGGTGTTCTAGTTGTAATGACCTGAGAGACGAATGATCAGAGTTTGAAATGTAATGATTTGAGCCCTCACTCGCTCTTCTGACTGGAGAATATCTTTCACCAGGAAAGTGAACAGTCTCTTTTAGACTATCTCTTCCCCCTTAAGAACAAATGTTATTAATAAACAATAAAAAAAATAAAATAAATGGTTTGTCATAAAATAATAAAAAATAAAAATAAAATTCTTTTAAAAGATTAATGAATTGTGTATGTTTAATTTAAGCGATACTAATGAAGAGTACTAGTGGACTGTTTGTTGTTTTTAACAAGACGGAAAAAAAATTTATATATTTTTTACAATTACTTGACAAAATATAACAAGAATTTTTTTTAAGCTTTTGGTTAATTCTTGTGGTTAAATGTATAAGTATTTCACAAAACATATTGGGGGAAAGGTAAGTGTAATTAAATCAAAATTATTCAACGGTTGATGAACTGCCTAACCCAAAATTCCTAAATTGATTTTGTTTGCGAAATAACAAAGAAAAAGGATCACTAATGAAACTAGTGAGTTATCTAATAAATGTGGAAACGACAGTGTAGTAGCAATATAATTAAATGTGCTTGAATATTAACTAACATGCAAAGACTACACAAATGGGAGGAAAGAAAATAATTATATTATTAATTATATAGCAAACAACAGATTTACAACACTGCAAAGGTATGAAAGATATACAAAACCTGTTCATTGAAGGCTTCCTATGAGCGAGCTGTTACAAACCATTTACACAATTATAAATGGAGTTACAAAGGAGTTTATTAATTAAAATATAATAAACGTCCAACAATTTAAAACAATTTTTTATTAATGAAAACTGACCATTTGCATTGAGGAGTTTGGAAGTGCGAGCACATCAAAGAACAGTATATAATAAACACACATCGTAATATTAAGAATGTTTGGGTAATAATTAATTTCAATGTTGTTTTAAAAAGAAATAATTTTTGTCCATCCAAAACATATATATATGCTTTTGTTTAATTCAGTCTACCATTTAATATTATCAGAGTTGTTAATTAAAATAAAAAATCTTTATGTGACATTTGGTACAGTTCAATTTGATGATAAATAGGCTCTTTCATTGTTTTTAAAAATTATTGTTTGTTTTTTAAATAATTAACATTGACAAACACTGACAGTATTTCTACTATTTATTTTCACTCTAATTGATTAATTATTAATTAAAAATCTAAATTAATCACTAACATGCGCCCAACCATTATGAAACAATAAACGGTATAATTTCCACACAGTTAATAAAATGTACGACTATAGATTATATTAAATAATAAAAGTTAAATTGATCAGTGATGACTTTATTTTCAAGTCATAACCATAATTAATATAACCATTCTAGCCACAAAAAATAAGAAAGTTATTAAATTAGATGTATACATAAATAATAAATAAGCAAATAAAAACTTCCCATCGTTTTAGCTTGTTGGCGCCAAGACAGATATAATTAAAACTCAGTGGTGGTTAAAGTGATATGCCCTATTCTAAGCCATAAATTATTACAGTATTCTCTGTAAATAATAGCACATTGGAGGAAATACACACGTATTTGTAATGTGTGTATTTCAGAGTAATCCTAACACCCAAGCTTTCCATACCAAGGCACATAAAGAAGAAAGCAACCACTAGAAAAACTACTTTATACACAATCTATTGTGGTTTGATTGTGCAAGTCAGTCTCATGGTCTGCAAAAGCCAAGCTGTTTAATAGTGTTTGGCATTCCATATGAACGTATGCCCTTCAAGTCTGGAGGTTTTGATCATCTATTAAAAAGTATTTTTACTGATAACATCAACCCCAAATTATATGCTACTTTTGTAAACTGACCTAGCTCCTTGCTTCAAATACACGCTTAATTTCATCTCAAGTAGATTTGCGAGGTGTTAAAACATGATAATTCCAGATTTACTAAAATTACTGCTCATGGAGTAATAAGCCAGGGCTGATCCTGGTTTGCCCACCGAAACTTCCTGGCAAAGTATCTGGGATATAATTTTTCTTTTGACACTGGAAACATGGGCACCTGGCCAAAGCTCTCAAAGAAACATGAAGAATTGTACAATCAACCATACAGAAAAATGTTTTAAAGCCATTTAGCCATTACTCTGTTTATAAAACACTATCCTTTCACATAATCCATCCAGATAACCATGTTTTGACATCGTACATGGGAGATTTGTTGGGTTTTTGAAATTATGTATGAGCAACTATATTTAACATACAAGCCAGGAAAGGATAGAGGTCTTGTAAGTGAGACTTGTTCCGTACACATATCCAGAGCAAAGAAGGATGTTTTCCATTTTATGGTTCCAAGTTTCAATAGCAATACCTTGGCCTTTGGTCATTTTTAAGAGCGCATTTTACTTCACTTTTTCACAATATTAGTAATTGGGGGGAGGGTCTGGTTCATATGTGCAACAAGCATGGCAATATCGATATGAACTGATTTAGGAATTTAATCGGCAATGATAAAATCTAGTTGTACATATTTGTTTTTTGACGTTGACAATGTTCATTTTTCTACCACAGACTGTCAAAAGTATTTTCTTTTTTATTTATTTACTTTTATTTTTGGTGGACAAACTCACTGACAGGATATCTTCCTATGTCATAAAATACTTTAAACAACATAATAAATAAGAACCATATTAACAAGAATTAATCATCAAGTCAATCATCAGTATAGGTCTATAACAGCAATTCAGTGACTTACTATCGAAACAACATTAAATGAAAATTGTTCCTTAAAAGTCAAGTGACGGAATAATGAAACAAAATAAGCCGAGACAATATTAACCGACAAAATAAAGGATTTTCTTTCTTTAATTATTTATATATAATATGAAAAATATGATGGTTTCCAATTTCCCTCAATGAACTCAAATGGTAAGTAAATTTACTTCACTTTGAACACGTGTTTAAATTTAAAAATTAGAAGTGTAGATTTTGCTTACCAATTTTATAATTGTTTGCCTCCTGGACCGTAGGAAGAAGGTAGTGCTTCCAAAATCTTGTCCTTGAAGATTGAGCTTGCAGTTGAGGAGCCAGCGAAGGAGCGCCAGTCTGGTAACCTTGTGGCGTGTAGTAAGACCGGCCCATCCGAGCCTCAACCTCCATCACCAGTTCAGGGCTGATGACTGGTATGGGGAGATAACATAGACATGCATGCAAGGAGCTCAAAGCATGGTCTCTACTCAAAAAATCCTCCTCAAAAAATCTTTCTCAAAAACTGTATTTACTCCACGAGCTACTGTATGTTTAGGTTTTACTTTACCACTTGATTTCATTATTATTTATTTTAAACACCTAAGGTGAAGCATTAATTAGCAGAATTTCAGTAATCAAATGAATAGCATTTTCAGAATTGTTCTACATTTATTCTTTACATTAACACAAAGGCAATGTTTTCAAAAATGCTTCAATATTCATTCGATTGTGCAAATGACTGATAAAATTAACAATAAATTTAGTAAGCTATTTAAACTTATTTATTTTGATGAAAAATTGACTATTAAAGGGAGTAATTTTTTGTTCCGAATTCAGTTTGTTGTACATTAAATGAATTACATTACAAAGAAAAAAGTCAACACATCTTTTGAAAAGGATTTTCAGTTGATGCAATACATAAAAGTGAAAATAAATCAAAGAGAAAGGCAAAGAAAGAGCAAGCAGAAGAGAAAAATCGAGTCGTTACCTGGTGGTCTTTCAGTGACTGTAGGTAAACCAGATCTTCTCATCCTCGGTTGTCCTGTTTGTTGCAATCTATGTGTTTCATCGGGTCCTGTAGCAACTGTATGTCTTTTATTACACCCCCTTCCTTCCATATACCTAAAAAAACAAAAAAAAAATTTTTTTTAAATAATTTTGTTCTAATCAGAATTACAAAAATAAAGTACCTTGTTACTGCAAATGAATCTGGGGATAATTCGTCAGTACCGGATGATTGATCTAAAGGGCTATCAATATTTGCTACATTTATAGGCTGGGATCTTTGTTCCAAGGCTGGACTGCCAGGTTGTAGCTAAAACATAGTATTATTCAATCATAATATTAAATTAGTAAACGCGAATAGAAAATATTAAATGTAGTGTGATTTATCTAAATTTTTTTTTAATCTAAAGTAAATCGTGTATTTTTATTCCATTGGGTTTCTAGTTTATTTTAACCAATTGGGTTGTTCATTTCATAATGTTTTATTTTATACTATACTACTATACAAATATTACTAATAACACATACTAGCTGTCTAAAAATCGATGGTTTTGTTAATATGATATTTGATATATCAAAAGAAAATATTATGTTTGGGAATTTGCTTCTAAATATGTAGACACAACAAATTTTCACAAACATAATAATTAAATTAAGCATTATGTATTGATTCATGGTGTCATTGATTTGTTATCCGTAATTTAATGTAACCAAAAAAACCTCATATTTGATGTAGTATCGATTATAAAATATTTTAATGAAAAAATTTATTTTGAACGGTTAACTGATATTATTTATCATTAGTTTTATGCTCACAAGCTGAAGTTCTTCCTGACTCCCTGGCTCACTGGCAGCTCTTTGCGAGTAACTATGAAGATGTGTACCTCCATCTGAGGCCCTTCTTCCAAATCCTCCAACTGAAACATTTCATGTAGTTTATACTTGACAATCAGTACAGTTCGGCTTCATGTGTAAAATCATTATGCTAATACTTAAATCAATTTTTAGATTTAGTATAAATAGGAAACATTATGGAATGTTGACTTTGTGAGTAGAATAACTAATCCTATCCTTTTTCTCTCTAAAAATACAATTATCATAAAATACTGATGTGATTAAAAATTATTCATTTCATTCAATTCATTAAATTCACTAATTTCATGATCCACTTGACCAATTAATAAATTACAATTAATTAGGGTTTTTAGTTGAGATGAAAAAAAGTTAATGGCATGAGCGGGATTCGAAGGAGAGAAAACTCATAAGGTGGGGTTGAGATAGGAAGTTGATGTCCGAGTGGATCGAGGTCACGATAGCTCAAGTGGTAGAGCAGCGGCGTATCTAGCCGNCAGAGGCGACGGTGGGAATCGAACCCACGACCGCGGCGTGAGAGTCTCTCATGCTAACCACTCGGCTACCGCGGTCCCCTTGTGCTAGTCATAAATCACAGATTAGTTGGGAACTAGTTTGTGATTGTGTATTGCACAAACATATGTACTACACCTGACCATATTCAACTGTAATTAAATAACAAGCTGCATGATTACAGTACAAAAATTATCACGATTCAGAAAGACCAGACCCAAGCTGCCTTAATGAAAATACTGGAAAATTACTAGCTGAAGTATTATTTACACATCTTCAATAAATTGAAAACAATCTTTCCAGCTTGATAACAATATTTATTAAATTCACTAATTTCGTGGTCCACTTGACCAATTAAACATTACAATTAATTAAGGTTTTTAGTTGAGATGAAAAAAAGTTACTGGCACGAGAGGGATTCGAACCCACGACCTTTGGCTAGATACGCTGCTGCTCTACCACCTGAGCTATCGTGACCTCGATCCACTCGGACATCAACTTCCTATCTCAACCCCACCTTATGAGTTTTCTCTCCTTCGAATCCCGCTCGTGCCATTAACTTTTTTTCATCTCAACTAAAAACCTTAATTAATTGTAATTATTCATTTCTTTATTTTTCCGATGCATTTATCCCTGTTAAACCATTATTATAAATTATAAATGTAATAGTTACCCATTACAGGAGGTGGTTTGAGTAGATGCTGATCTTTAATTGTAAAATTGTGCGGTGGCTGGTATTGGACAAGTGGGATATTCTGTGGAAGATTGATATCAGGAAAAATATTGAGTGTTTGACCGCCACTTTGCTTCATGTAATGTGCTTCAAGAACCTACAATAAAAAAATTATTTTAAAAATATTATTTATTTTTTAAATTCACTATTAAATTGTTGTTACTTGTTCATGAGTAGAATCACCAGGTCCTACAGTATGCCTCCTGGCTGTTACGTGATATCGGTCACTGTTCTGGTTTTCGACTTGTGACCTATCATCCACATCAACTTCCGTACCTTCAAACTGAGAGCAATTTATTATGCACATGAGCTTTTAATTTAGAGAATCTAATCACGTATCTGTAGTCAAAAGTAATTTTACCTTTTCTAGCTGGTCCTGTAGATGAACAGCAGGCATAGTAACCATTAATGGAGACATTGCTGTTTCCATTTCAGGGGTCAGTCTTTCAACAACACCTATAACAATTTAATGTTCAAAACAAAATCTACAATTGTTTAAATAATAAATCCAGTACTGACCAGTGGTAATACTGGCTCTTCTTGATGACTGAAGAGTCGTATTTACTACAGGTGAATTAGAAATCCTTCCTTCCAACTTATCAACAAGGAGATTGTATATAGCACTGATGTGGTCAAAGCAGTTGTTACTAACAGCCTGTCAACAATAAACAACTATTCATAACCTCTGCTTTATTGGAATAAAACTGTCAACTCAGGCACCTTATCCTTGATTTTTTTTTCCTTTTTACTTATTTAATTCATATATTTTTACCAGAAATACAAAATAACAAACATAAAGCCAGTTAAAAATTTTTTTAAAAAGATTATTATAATCTGTATACCTCAATTATCTGTTCTTTGTTGATACTTGGTAACTGTAGCATATGTTCAACTACAGAATTGTTAATTTTTATTGGCTCCAAATCTAAACTTTTATCCTCAGCAGCCTCATAACTTGGATCTGGACAAACCTAAAAACAATTAAAATGTATTAGACTTTTTTTTGTGTTACACAATTAATGTATTTGTCTCTTGCTCCCCTCAAAAAATCAATTTTTAACAAGAGAAAAATTGAAATTGGAAAATTTAATTGTATAATAAAATATACGACTGAAATATTACTTGGTTCATCCATCTGTGAGCTCTGATTTGCTTGATGGATAATCGTCTTTCAGGATCAATTAGCAGCATTTGTCTAATTAGCTGCTCGCAGTCTGAAATTTGAAAACATGTTTTAGCAAGAATTACAATAAATTTTATTGCTAATTTTCAAATAAATAAATGCTATCATGAAAAAAAATCAACTGTAACTAATTTTCTGACATTTATCAAATAATCATTTTTTTAATTACATACCAGCACTCATAAAGAAGGGAATTCTGAACATTCCAGAAATAACTTTATTCTTCAGGCTCCAAAGCGTATTCCCATCAAATGGAAGAGAACCGCATACAAGAACGTACAAGACAACGCCCAGGCTCTGCATTAACACTTGTAATAATTATACATTATGACTTAATTACTCATAATTATTAGGAAAAATATTTACCCATATGTCAGCCTTAGGTCCATCGTACTGGACACCCTGAAAAAGTTCTGGTGCGGCATAAGGGGGGCTGCCACACCAAGTTTTTAGCTTATCACCTGCTTCGAATTCATTACTGAAGCCAAAATCTAAACAAAGATATGAAATTATTTACAATGGCCACGATTAAATATTTACGTTAACACTAAAACATTACAACACCTGCAAGTTTGATTTTCATATTTGCATCTAATAAAAGATTTTCTGCTTTAAGATCTCGGTGCACCACATTTCTGGAATGACAATAACTAACAGCTGCTACAATCTGATGGAAGATTTTACAGGCCTCTATTTCTCGCAGTCTTCCATTTTTTACTAAGAAATCTAGAAAATAAATAAATTTATTTTATTTCATTCCATTATTGAATTTTTGCATACTTCTTCTAACACAAGTTTTTGGTTACATATAATTACTTATATTCACTTATTTATACTTTGTTTATTTATTTTTTTGTGGAGGCAGCACCTATGCATCTAATATTGATTAAACATATATAATTTTAGTTAATCTTTTATCTGTTTGATTAAATGCATATAAAACATAAGTATATTGACATTGCTTAATCAATAAACTAAGATGTTTTTTCATGAATGGAAAATTATAAATGTTGATGTAAATATTCTAAATGAATTAACCAGTTAAGGTTCACCATGTTTGAAACATTTGAACATTTGAAACTACATACTGTTTATAATTAACCCTGAAATGTGACAGGATTGTTTCACAAACAACAAAGGCATTGCTCGATAGTAAATTACAACTTCCAAATAAATTTAAAAAACTTGTAGCTGCTTTATATATTTTTTGTTACTTGCCAAGAAATTTTTCCGTACCAAAAGCAAGGAAAATTATATTATTACAAACGGAGGAAACAAAACTTCAATTCAAATTTTATTTGGTGGGCAAAAGTATTTTTGATCAACAAAGCATAAACCTTCAGCATTTACACTATACATGATTAATTAGGTTTATAAACAAATAGTGTTGATGGCCAGATTGCCTTATCTAGTTTGTGATTATAAGAACTCTTATTGGGTTTCATAACTGATTAGTTAGATGATTATCTATGCCTATCAAATGTCAATTTTCAATATTTATTCTCTGTCAAACGTTTTCATATAATAAATATGTATGTCGGTTTCTGGATATTTTCAGTAAAATGTCATGAGCATAAAAACCATGGTACCTACCATAAACAATGTAAAAAAAAATGAAATAGCTAATACAAACAGAATAAAAAGTGGAATTTATATAAAATCATTTCAAGAAAGCTTGATTTAAGAAAAAAATAATGAGTTATACTTGAAGGTAAAATGAACTTGCAACAATAAAAATTTCACTATTAAAATATAAATTTGTAACAAATAATTTTACAATTATTATTAACTGATTATCTCAGGGTACAGTATTACCAAGTATTATTATTATTATCTAACTTAACACAGAGAAGCAAAAGAAAGTAAAAATCCAATGATCTATCAGCACTCCAGGTTTGATATATAATAAAAGCAATGAATTTGTACCGTTGGAAAAGCTTAAAAGAAAACAAAATCATCTAAACTACATGAATTTCACTAATTCCAAAATGACTGATAAATAAAAAACAATGATGAAAACATATACATTTATACAAGTTTTGCCTACAATGTGAATTGAAACTGGCATTGAGTACACAATACTCAAAAAAATTTATATCACTGTGGCCCCGTACAGTACAGATTATATGATAAGCCTAATTTATCACCTTAATAAAAGAAAATGCCTTTGGTTCTCAACACGCTCAAACTGGCAAAATGTTATTTGGTCTCTACACAATGTTTGGCTATGATAAAAACTAACAGTAAACAAATTTTACTACAATTTATATTAAAATATTTCATTTCTGATCATTTAATTTTTAATTTGTTAATTGATTTTTTTTTTTTTTTTAAAGAAATACATAATCTGATGCACTTTTTTCAGTAAACATTAGATTAACATTTTATATGAAAAATGTTACAATAAGCGTATTTACTGTTTCCGTTGTTATCACACTACTAGTAAATAAATAGCTGAATATCTTGATATAACATCCATTTTCTCAGATAAGAAATATCTGAGATTTCTGTTCCTTCAAGAGTAATTTAAGGTATTTATTATGCGAAACGTATGAACAATATAATTGAAATATTAAAATAAAAGCTAAATACTTTTAAAAATTATATTACAAGCTGAATGCAGGTGAAAAATAATGAGTTTTAAATTGAAAATTAAATTAATTCATGACATGATCTTAATTTTAAAATGTATTGAATTGAAATAATTTTTAAAAAAAATAAGAACAATAATAATGAAGGATGTTTTATACTCTCACTCTCACTCTCTCTCTCTCTCTCTCTCACTCTCTCTCTCTCTCACACTCTCTCTCTCTCTCTCTCTCTCTCACTCACTCTCTCTCTCTCTCGCTCTCTCTCTCACACAGAGAGAGAGAGAGAGAGAGAGAGAGAGAGAGAGAGAGAGAGAGTGAGAGAGAGAGAGATAGGTTAAAATAAAAATTCTCACCAAAAATTTCACCCCCACAAGCGTATTCAGTCACTAGGTAGATGGTTTTTGGAGTCTCCATAACCTAGAAAATGGTATAAATTAGCATCCTTAATGTATCAGCAAAATGACTAATAAAAGCAATTGCATTCTATCTGTGTATTTATCTATGTATCAATTTAAAAGTAAGTTTAAATATTACAAATTTCTGAATTGTAAATTAAATACACAACATTTTTTTGTTATTTAAACAATGATTCTTTGCTATGCAGTTACATAATTGCAGCCTTGATTATTGATTTTCTGCTTGAGTACAACCTCTGCAATGTGGCCAATTCATTAATTTTCTATCATTGACTATGTTGCACAAGTCTTTATAGTAAAATTGAAACTTATTATTGATTATGTAATGATTATGTAATTTTTTACATTTAAATATAAATCACATAACAAACATAAAAGATACTGAAAGGTAATTCACCTGGTACAGTCTTATAATATGAGGGTGTCTGAGCTTCATTAAAATCTGTATCTCTCTAAATATTTTTTTAAGATTTTCCTGATCCAGTTTTGTTTTGTCTATGATTTTTATTGCTACCTGAAAAATAATGTTAAAAGTTCATTTTAGACATTTTTCTAAATACAATTTTGCTAATTTCTTTAGGTGTTGTTTTTTCAGTATGATTAAAATTTCATTAGAATTAGATTATTTCCAATCATTCTGATCTACCTGCAGTTTTAGTCATGTCATCAGTGGTGGATTTCGGTCCCACAATCTTAACAATAAATTTAATCAAATTTCATTGTCAAAAATAAGACATATTCAGATTTTTCCCTGTGTTTCTGTGGTTAGTAGCTAAATTCAAGACATGATCTTAATTGTAAAATGTATTTACGATGAAAATACTAACAATAATAATTAAAGATACATGATTTACACAGTATGTGCATTCTGTTTGTGTGTGTAGAAATATCTGCTGTCTTTTCCCAATTATTTATTTTATTTACTCTTGTTAAATTGACATGATTTTTCTCTATGTGTAGGAACATAGAGAAAAAAAAATCCACCCATTATAAATAATAGTACACTTTTTTCAGTTGTTTTAGGCTTGAAAATTTGGTCTAGTTTGAGTTATATTCTATTTCACAGTTTCTGGTCTGGTGTGTATTGTACATTCTTTTGCAAGTCTGAAGAGGTGGGGTGTCTATCCTACTCATGTAAGTTTGGTATAGCAACCAACCAATGTCTGCCTCTACCACATGAATAATGAAGTTAATTCACCTATTTCCACGTACATACTTTGTACACACATATTTAAAAAAAAAAGCATCAAGTTGTTGATATATAACTACAATGTTGAAGGCGATCATTAATATTATATACATATTTAATTTATTTTCACTAAGGTGATGGAGTACTGAATGTACCTCCAACCCTCTTAAGGAGAAGGGCTTATACCAAAATGCCTATCCTCAAAGTTTTACTATGTTAGATATTTTGTTGAAGTCGTGAGGAGCAGTCAAGAATGAGGTAGTTTAGAAAAATACTTTTTTTATTTTTTGATTACGTTCGACCTTTATTCAGGTCATCTTCAGAGCATCAAGTCTGGTACTATTCTTGTGGTGTCATATTGGTTTTGTGTGAAAGTGTTGTCCTGAATAATGACACCACAAGAATAGTGCCAGACTGATGCCCTGAAGATGACCTGAATAAAGGTCGAAACGACTTCAAAAATAAAATAAGGTATTTTTCTAAACTGCCTCATTTTTGACTGCTCCTCACGACTTTAACAAATTATGAAACAACCGGTCACAAAGAAACACACGTATGTTAGATATGTTTCAGTTTCTGGATCTGTCAAGTCAATGAAGAGCCGAAATGTGCCACAGATCAGGACGGTAGGGCAGGCAGACCAAAATGATCAGAAATAACCTAACAACAGGATCATCAAGGAAATAAGGAGGAAATCTCACAAAATATTACGTACTCCATCACCTCTCTCGTACTATGCTAATAAATACATTCACAAATATAAAACAATAAGAATATTCCTCCCGGGCATGAGGGTAAACTGCGTCCACCCACATATTACACATCCCCCTACCTACACTTACACTGACATAAGTACACTAACAGTACACACCCTAGGGTTACCGTCCCTAGGAAGGTTCTTGAGACGAACTAAAAATCTCACGTCCTGGGATTGGCGACCCAGTACGTACATAACTCCGCCACACCTAACACTAGGTGGTGTGAGGGCGGGGGACATTGACGGTGTCTGGGCCTCCGTCAGCATGCCACCACTAATACACAGGCCGATGCACGCGGCCAAGGGCCTCGGAACCCGAATATAACAAACGCACATTACCGTGCACAAAACACAACAAATACAACATACAATTCTCTTCTGGAGGGGGGGATCTCCTGGTCTCTTTGGGTGTCCGTGAAACCTGCTCCTGTGAGGGTACCGGAGGAAAACTGGGTTACGGCACTCCCGGGCCGCGAGGTAGTACAGGGACCCGAACCCCGGACTAGCCACCGGGGAGGCTGTCCTATCACCTCGTGTATAATGTTGTGATGCCTAGTACTGCCAGCTGGCGACTGGATGGTTACCGTGCTGGGCATCGCGGCGGGCCCTCCTGAGGCCACACAGGGTGCGGGCAGATCGGAGAAGCACCCGAATGGGCCGGGGGATCACCTCCAAAGGCTGAGGATTGCACTCACATTGTACACATACAATCTTACAGACAAAACACAAAACTAATGACGATGAAAATGTTGAAGAAAATGGAACAAGGAGTAAAAGTGCCTACTCCGCCTAACCCGGGCNTTTTTAATTTAGATTAAAGTCATGCACAAACAACTACTGCTGTTTCACAATGCCATTTCAGCTTACTTCTCCGGCAACCAACAGGGACTTGAGGCTACGTTAAAGCAGTTCAACATTAAGGTCAAGTCACCCAACTCGTCCATTCCATCATGGTTAGAGCAGTAGTATGACGCTCTGGGGCATGTAGTACAAGGAGGGCGCAGCCCACCCTTGCCCCTAGTAGCTGCTGACTTGCCAGCGCTTCTTAACCCCTGTCTGTATCACTAGGCAGGTGGCAAATCTGAAGAGACATTGAAATTAAAAAAAAAAAAAAAAAAAATAAGAATATTTTTTAAAAAACCGGAAGAACATATTTCCTCCGAAAGGATGAGACCCAGAAGCAAGTAGTATAATAACCTTCTTTCTCCTAACTATATACAGTGGTATACATACTCGCTCCCTTTGGGGAGCCAAAATTCAATTATGAAAAACTATAAACAATTTTTCTTGGTTTTAGCTCGATAAACAAAAGTTTTTCATAGGGGCATTAAGCTACTTTTATTTATTTTATTTTTTCGCATTTGTTTTAACAAGATTTTGTTTTAGTGGAGCTTGTGTTTCATTCGTCAAAAGTTAATGGCTGGTATTCGTTAGTTTGACGTTCCTGCATAAAATTTAAACTATTTTCATATTTTGTTGTATTGCAACAAAAACTATAAATTATAAAAGACAAAACCGCCTTAAAGGGTGAGGACGTCCAAAAACGTAAACGGTCTCAAGAACCCCAAAGAGTTACGACGCAACTAGTGGTATCGAACTATCGAACGAACGTCCAATGACGCACAAGGCACTTCGAATGACGTCAACAACACAACAGAGCAACCCCTCCATTAATATTGTTAAGCAACATTAAAAAAGGGGATGACAATTTATGTTTCAGCACGTTTATGGGTTATTTGAAAGGTTTTGTCTTTGTAACAACCACGGTTTTACTGAGATCGGTGAATGACCAAATATCGTTTTATATCTTATAACTTATAAATTTATATTGTTATGATCACATTTGTGTATTAACGTCAAATATATATAATATACTGGGGATACATGGATATAAAAGTTTTATTGGTATTTTTTTATAAGTAAAAAGAGTAATAAAATTTGAGAATCCATTGAGCATGCCCATAATGTTACATAAACTTCAAATGATGTAAAAACTTCGAACGTAAATAATCGATTAAAGCTCAAATTACATAACAAATTACAACATAAAATAAATTATAAATAAATAAATAAAAATATTATCGTTATTTTTAACAAATAAAAAAAATATTTTCTTTGTAAGCCTTAATTTTAACAAACACCTAAAAAATGCACCTTCAAAAAGGCCTACCAAGAAATTTTCATCTATAAAAAATAGGACAAAACCAAGAAAAGAAAAATTAACAAAAAATTAAATATCAGTCTTTTGGAACAACAGACATAAAAAATAATTGTTATTTGGAAAACCTTAATTTGCTCTAAAATGTTAAAATTTTCAAAAAAAAAAGTATAAATAAATAAATTTTATGTTGTGATTACACTGGTCCATTTCTGTATTTCTGACATGGACAAATTGAACTGATTTAACACAAAGATTTAATTTCCATTTCCTGAAGAATGACTAAATAGTTAGAATAAATTATTAATTTTTTGTGTATTTTTTAAAGTCATTATCTTTAATACAAAATGATTTGCAAAAAAATTAAATCAGTGGTTTTTTACAACTGTACTCTGTGTTAAAATCTAACTGGTAGTTGTGTTTTTAAAAGTTCAGTAAAAAAAATATATATCATATTATATATTAAATATTTTTATCTCAACCAAAATCTTACATAAAAAGAATAATTAATTGAAAGAAGTAACTTGGTGAATTGATCACTAAAACATAAATGGAAAAAAAATTTGTTTGTTTGCAAATTAAATTGAATTTATAATCCAAATATATGCAGATCAGTTTTAATTTGTTTAAAAAAATATCACGGGGTAAATAAACTATAATAATGAAAATAATAACAATTTCAAGGGATGTAAAGCAACGGTTGAATTATTATCCAATTAAAGGCTTATCTTGTGAAAAAAAAGTCTTAACATTAACACTATTCAACTAATATCACTGAAATACAGATAAATAAGAAATAAGTTCAATCAAAAAGACTAACCCATTGTTGATGAAACTGGAATTTTCCAAGAAAACATTTTAAAATAAAAAAATGATATGTAAAATTTTATCTTTTATATTAAAAGCAAAATAATCTTTTCTTTGCAGTAATATGTTTTAAGACAAATCAAAGCAAAACATTATTTACAAGAGAAAAAGTAAGGAACATTTTAGTGTGCACTTGCTCATATACAAGTTTAATATTTTTTTTTACCCACACTTTTGAAATTGGCCTACGAACAACATTGAAAAATATTGGGTTGTCCGGAAAATAATGCAGGATTTTAAGTTTTCATTAAAAAAAATCTATATAAAATATTCTGTTTACGTTTACAGGATTACTCATTTGTATGAATGTCAACACTTATTAATCCTCTTCCAAATGATATTGTTTGTTTACCTCTGTAGCATTCCGCTACTTGGAAATAATTCAGTCATCCTTATAATGTCAAAGCGAGAATTTCGTACGATTTTCTTTTACGAGTTTAAACTCGGCCGAAGCGGAGCCCAAACGGCTAGAAACATTAACCAAGTCTGGGGCGAGGGTTGTGTTAATGAGTGCACTGTGCAAAGGTGGTTTAAAAAATTTCGGGAGGGAGATTTCAGCCTTGAAGATGAAGAAGGTCGTGGAAGGCCTTCCTCTCTTAATGATGATGTTCTGCGATCAGTGGTGGAAGAAAACCCCAAAACAACTGTTCGAGAACTTGCAGAGCAACTCAAAGTCAGTAAAACGACCGTCGCTGACCACCTCAAGGCGATTGGAAAAGTGAAAAAACTCGAAAATTGGGTTCCACACTCATTAAACGATCGCCAAAAAAATCAGCGCTTTGATGTTTGTGCATCACTTCTTTGTCGAAACAAAAATGACCCATTTCTGGCCAGAATTGTTACATGTGACGAAAAGTGGATTCTCTACGATAACACTAGACGTTCTGGACAGTGGCTCGACAAAGGAGAAGCTCCAATACATTTTCCAAAGCCCCCAACTCATCAAAAAAAGGTAATGGTTACGGTATGGTGGGCTTCATTTGGTTTAATACACTACAGCTTCTTAAATCCTGGCGAAACCATCAATGCTGAATCATACTGTAACCAAATTAATACCATGCATCAGAAATTGGCAGTAATGAAGCCCTCTTTGGTCAATCGGAAAGGGCCCATTTTGTTGCATGACAACGCTCGACCACATGTGTCACGTGTAACGTCACAAAAATTATTGGAGCTTGGCTATGAAACTTTGCCTCACCCACCCTACTCTCCGGACCTCTCGCCTACTGACTACCATTTTTTTAGACACCTGGACCACTACTTACAACACATAATATTCAAAAATCAAACGGAACTGGAAAATGCATTTATTGACTTTATCAATTCTAAAAATTCTGAATTCTACTCAGACGGAATTAATAAGTTACCAACACGTTGGGAGAAATGTATTGAGAGTATGGGAAATTATTTTGATTAAAGAACATTGCTTTAAAGTAACTAGTTTCTTTTTTTTGTTTAATACCAAAATCCTGCATTATTTTCCGGACAACCCAATAAGAAGGAAAATAAAAAAGAAGATTGTATATAAATTTGCTCATAATTTAAAAAAAATTATAACAACTGTAGTTGATTTATTGTTATTTCAATAGAATTTGTATCGAAAACAAAAGGAGCTGGATAAATTTTTTTTTAAATATTCTATGTTGCATTTTTGAAATGGTAAAATTAAATGTATTACGTTTGATCTTTATATTTAATTAGAAATGTTTAATTGTTGGTTGAGAAGATTTAATTGAATAACAAAGAACCATTAGGCCAATGTCAAAACTCAAGTCATTTGTCTGCAATAACGAATGTTAACCTTGTAGGAACTAGTGTCAGAATTGAATGTGATCATTGTATATATATTTTTTGTAAAAATTGTTTTTCGAGTCTTCAGATAAGTCTGGAATGATAGAAAAAGTTCGTGATAGCGTTCTAACCTAAATAAAATTATTTGTAAGAAATTACTATATTAATTAAAATTTATTATTAATTTGTAAATGTTTGTAAATAACGGAGGTTTATGTTAAAAAACGATCTGGATTTTTTTAAATATATTTTTTTTTTATTATTGCAAGTCTCAGGGTCGTTAAAAATTGTTGATCGGTGATCGGTATCGAGATCTTTTTGGCTGTCAAGCTGTCAACGGCTGAAAAGGTCAAAGCCGACGGCCGTGTCCGCTCACCAGGAGACACTCGTGAAAAACCGACTCATTAGCCCATGCAGGATTATGTTAAACCGATTACCTTTGTATTGGTAACGACATGAGTGGCCAGCTTTACGACTGCGAAGTTGCCTTTGCCTATCGTCTGTTCCAGTTCATAATATCCGACTCGGACCAAACGTTCCACTGGGAACTTCTGCTTGCCTGAACTCACTCTGTCCATCACGAGTTAACCGCACCCATTAAAAAGAAAATACTCGGCCCTATCTTTCTTCCATTTGTCGACAGGGAAGTCAGACCGACGAGGACTGAAGTCAGCTGTTGCCCCTGAGACAACAAGGCAAAAACTAAATCGAGATACGCATTCTTTAATCTACCGCTTCTGTGAAACTGCCTTTCAAATTCGTAGCGCTGCAGACCGCACGAGGGCAGCCCTTCTTCCATCCTCCTTCCGCCCAAGCGCAAAATCCATCCCTTATGAAATTGATTCTTCTTCTTTTTTTTTCTTCAACTTCTTCATGATAGATTTCAATAAAACTATAAAGGAAACCACCCAGGCCCGTTTTCCAAGATAAAAAAAGATCGATTTAATTGAATATTTTCCCACTTTTTTCCCCACCCGATTTAAAATTACTACTACTTTTGACAGAAAAATAACATTCGTTTCCTTCGAAAACTACTTTGAATTCAATCAATGTTAACGATCTAACTGTTCTTCACATTAGATGTAGATGTATTAGTCATAATATACTGCGCCCTTTAAGAGCTATTGTATCCCCTGTACTGTACCTATAGGACACCAGTGAGTCCTATTTCATCAATGGACTTGATTATTATTAATTCACTGGTTGAATTTCTTCTATAATGATATTGTACATCCCAAAACACTTCCTCTTGCGGGAAAATGCGGCGCCAGTTTGTTAGTAGGTCTCCTCTGCTTCTTTATATATTCTGCATGCGCCGTGTTGCGTTACAACCGATCTTCTTCAGATGCTCATTCTGTCTGAAGTGTCCTGTTAGATTAAAATTTGCTAGACAGTTCTTAGATTGTTTATGTCCAATGGGTGAATTCCACTTTTCTCATTTTCATTTTGTCCTTACATTGAGAGTTTGAATCCCTAAGCCACCAGGCTGTGGTGCCAACAGGTTATTAATAGGTGTGTTGGTGTCTCCTCTGCCTCTTAGCAGAATCTGCATGTGCTGTCTTGGATTATACCATTTGTTTGTTATTTTAATGTCCATTTAGTTTGCAGTGCCCTGTTGAGAATCTTGTTAGGATTCACAGTTTTTTCTTGCTTCCTTTGATACATTCTACCACTTTTTCCTTCCAAAATTTGTTAGGAGGTTCTTGGATTGTTTGTGTCCAATGAGTGAATTCCATTGTTCCAACATTTTCTTTTTATCCTTCTGTCTGAGGTACTCATTGATAGTATGGGTTCCTATGCCACAGAAAGGTTCTGGTCCTATCAGTGGTATAGCAGCCCCTTTTCATGCAAGAGTGACCACTTTCTCATTGCCTTCTACTCCCATATGCCCCAGGACTTTGTTCTGCATACCTAATATGTTTAATTTGGTTTTGCAGTTCAACACCATCTTTGAACTAATGATATTTGAACTTAGTACTTTGATGACTGCTTGGCTATTTGACATCTATGTTCGTGTTTTTGTACTCTTTAGTCAAGTTGAATTGAGTACATATCTTGATTGCGAGGACCTCAGCTTGGAAGATACTAGTGTATTTTCCCATGGGCTCTGAGAATTTGGTTCCAGGACCGAATACTTCTATCCTCATACGTTCTTTTTTCACATTATAATTAACATAATTAAAAAAACTTCTATCATTGTATAAATTCATTTGTTTCACATCATACATGTATTTGTATAATTTAAACAATGTTTATAAATCCCAGGTCCTGAAGATGATCTCAATAAAGATCGAAACGATAAAGAAAATGTTTTTCTAAACCTATGTCAGACTAGACTTCATCTCAAAATCTCCAAATTATAATTAGCTATTTAAATTAATTATACTTTTAATCTAAGGTCTTGGTTGAGATGAAAAAGCCAATGTTACGAGCAGGATTTGAACCCATGACCTTCAGCTATTTTAATCATCAAACAAAATATACCGAAAAAATATGATGTTTAAGTTTAACCAAAATTTCCATATAAACTACCAAAAAGTACTAAAAAGTAATGGGAAAAAGAGAAAAACATCTCCTTTAAGAATGGCACCATCTATTGGTATGCAGAAGAAGGTATTTATGCCAGTATACTCCCATGCAATTGATAGAAGTACCCAATTCAATCTGAATAAATGATACAAAAACAAGAATATAGCTATTATGTCAGATAGCCAAGCAGCCATCAAACTGCTAAATTCAAACATCATTAGCTCAAAGATGTTGCTAAATTTCAAAACCAAACTAAATAAATTAGGTATGCACAACAGGCATCTTCTGTTGGGTCCTAGGACATGTGGGAGTAAAAGGCAACGAGAAATCGGATGCCCTTGCAAGAAGAGGGGTTGCTATTTGATTTTTTTTTTTTTTTTTTTTTTTTTAACGGATCAAAAACCCATTTTGTAAAAAAAAATTGATACAAAAGTAAGGAGAAAAATATATACTATACAATGCTTATAATTAATTCAACATTAATAAAGAATAAAACACTATACTATGCAACATTATCAAAAAGGCAGTAAAAAATCCTGATAAATAAAACAACATAAAGATTTAATTAACCACCCTATCCATATAATTATAAAAACTAGGAATTATACAAAAAATATAAAAATAATATAATAAAGCATATAATTATATGATTTAATTTTAATTTTAATTATAATTATATATTTGTATGAAGAAATTCATTTGAACAGTTTGAAGAATTTTTTTCAGTGTAGTAGTGCAGATTCTAGATGATTGAGGATTCAAGAATAAGTCGAAGAAGTAAAGTATGCAGATGGACACAGCAAAAAGAATTTTTGAACTGATAGATACTTCGGATGATGAAGCCAAGCATTTTAAAGGAGCAATTTTTGATTTCTTGTAAATGTAGCTTAAAGGTAAGATTACTATTAAAGATGACACCAAGATCTCTAATACAAGTTACTCTGGTTAACATGCTATAACACTGATAGGACCTGAGTTCTTCTGTGGCATAGGAATGCACACTATCAATCAGACAGAATTTTACAACATGTAAACGAATATACTTTACTAAAACTAAACTACTAAATACTAAAAAATACCTAGGACGTTAAAGAATACTTGCTTAAATCGAATAATTCTCTGAATTTAAGGACTATCTAAATTAAACAAAACACAATTCAATTTAAATACAACAGTGTTACACATTTTCAAGAAAGGGAGAGAACTAGATTGGTTTGAGAAATTTAAAATAATAAAATGTAATATTAATTCTTTCAATTAATTAATCTTTTTATGTAATGTGTAAAGTAATGTCTAAAACCTATGTCACACCAAACCGCATCTCACTATCTCCGAATAATCATTGACCTTCGGTTCGAAGTGGGTTCGAATCCCGCTCGTGACACTAACTTTTTCATTTCAACAAAACCTTACATAAAAAGATTAATTAATTGAAAAAAGAAATATGGTCAATAGACCACTAAATATAATCGATGTAATATTAATCATGGAGCTAAATGTCCTAATTTTAAACTTATACTTATTCTTAATTTTATCCATGTATTTAGCACATATAAAATTCTTCAGCCTTAAAAACCAACTTCTTATTGAAATGTCATGTCACATTGGCTTATAATCCATGTATTTAGCACATATAAAATTCTTCGGCATTAAAAACCAACTTCTTATTGAAATGTCATGTCACGTTGGCAGTGGGCTCGTTCTTACAGTTCATGTAGAGAGACGTGTTTGTAACTCCTTCAAACTGATGATGAGCATTTAATGCTTGAAATCCGGATCATTGAAAGCAACAAATCTGTGAGTGAACCATAATTTACATAAAATAAAATTGCATACTCACCCCACCTTCATAATTTTCATGAATACTTGGTTTTGTTATTAACTTCAATATATGCAGCATAGATAGAATAAACTATTTTTGCTATCTTAGTCAGTATTAAAAATTTATTTGGAATATGTACAAGTAGATTGTTTGGAAGGTGGCTCAAGAAATTTTTGTACAGCATCCATAAGTATGGCTATTATGTTCCTCCAGATATGGAATATAGCCCATTTCCAACATTTTTTGAAGTCTGTTTTCAAATACTGGTTTGCTGGATTGACGATGCACTTTAAAAATAATAACTAAGAATAATTGTTAATAGCTGCGTATCTTAGCCAAAAGAAAAACTGAACTAATTAGAACAGAACATGCTTACAAAATTAGCATTAATAGACCTTTTTCGATCATAATCTCTATAACAAAAGTCAATCACAAAAATATTTATATATCAACAATTCTCACAAATCAACTTTTCAGCCATATTTTGGTCATCAGACCTTTTCAGTCAATCAGTAAGTTCAAGCGGAAATTTAGTCCAGATTTTGACTATATCTTTTGAAAACCTTTTATTGGTAATTTTTGTTCAGCCATTTGCTTCGATTTATAATATATTTTTTAAATTAATTTACTTAATTTGTACTGATTTTAAAAAACATGAATGCGAGAGGCTTCAGTCTGCCTGTAAAATTTACTTACTATATTGAGGCATGTAGAGGTTATCTATTGTAAGCTAAAATAAAAATATAGAATTTTTTTTGAGAAAATGCAACAAAGTTGAAACCTTGTTTTTGAATAATTTTTGTACAGTGGAATTTCAGTCGTCTAGACATTTACGGTGTTTCTTAGGAACAGTCCCAGTTTCCGTAGCCTATATTTTTTTTAAATATGCAGTTGGTGTCTCGATTTGTAGGGATGGACGGAAAAAAATCTAATAATAAATTATTATTATTAGAGTGCCACTATTGGGGGTTCGTCATTGAACAACTGTGACGTCGTGGGACCGAGTCATGATGCTCATGATCAGGTCTGTGGTACAGTCTTACAATTCCACCCTGCTTTTACGGTTTATCCTTTATGTATAGGCTAACAGAAAATTCTTAGTTGGGTGTGCTTTTGCTACGTATCGAGTGCTTGACGTAAAATCTTATATATATATTTTAGGTTATGTTTGTATCTGTCGAAGGTTAATCTACAACTGTATAATACCTTATTCTAGTGGTGGAATTACGTTAGCGAGTATTAAAAATGACTCTGGACGGAGAAGAGACCATATCGGATCAAGAGAAACTTAAAATCGTTTCTAACTTCATACTCCACTCGCCCCCGGGTGAATTCAACGAAGTCTTCAACGACGCCAGGTTCCTGTTGAATAACGACACCTTGTTGAAAGAAGGGGCCCTAGGCGTGTTCGCCCAGTATTGTAAAGATCAGCTGACACCGGTCAAGATAAAAAACGGCGATTTCCCAGTATTAATAACAGAACACAACGATTTAGGGTCTAACAGGTATTACGACGCCCGGACAAAGCAATCTTTTAAGTATGATCCACTTAGACGGGAGACGTCCAACTACGATACGTGGGAGCCCCAAGTCGGTACTGAGAAGTGGAGGGCCGCTTTGGAAACTGAGCTCGACGAGTATATTGCAAATCACTACACGAAAGGTACGTGCAGTGTGTTTTCAAAAAAAGAAGACGGGAAAATCAGCTTAGTCGCTTGCATAGAAGCGCACCTTTTCCAGCCGAAGAATTGCTGGAACGGCTGCTGGAGATCGCAGTGGTTAGTCGTGTTCGATTCCGACACTGCACAGGTCAAAGGTGTGCTCAAAATACAAGTGCATTACTATGAAGACGGCAACGTACAGCTTGTCAGCTCTAAAGAAGTCGTTCACAGCTTGAACGTGAGTGACGAAGATCAACTCGCTAAAGATCTTGTTAAGATTTTCGAAGAATCGGAAGGAGACTATCAAAACGCGATTTCGGACAACTACGGCACGATGTCAGACACTACTTTCAAAGCTCTCAGGCGTCAACTCCCTGTTACAAGATCCAAGATCGACTGGAGTAAAATGGTATCCTATAGCATTGGTAAAGAATTGAAACCGCAGTGACTACCTATTGTATATAAATACAATAATAATATTAATGTTTTCATATGCATATATATATATATATAAATACACACACACATATATATATACAAATATGTATATGTATATATTATATATAAATATTATTTTATTACGTATATAATTTATTAATGATATTATTTCTCAAAGTTGTTATATTTAGCCTCTTATTTGCTTTTTAATTACACCTTCAATTCTAACAAAACTAAGAAAATTAAAACTTATGTTACATTCATATGAGTATACATATATATTTATGTATGTATGTATGTATACATATATATTTATGTATGTATGTATACATATATATTTATGTATGTATGTATACATATATATTTATGTATGTATGTATACATATATATTTATATATGTACGTATGAATGTTATGGAGTTATGTTATATTTTAGGACTGAGTGTCACTGGTGATGGATTTACATGATTGTAGCAGTTACGTTATTTTTTTCTTTTTCTTATTAGTTTATACAATTTTGTAATCAAATTTATTTTTCTGAGTTTGATTTTTGAATTATTGCTGTTATTGAAAATTTTGCTGCCCAAGTTTTCAGGGAACAGAAGTTTGATACTCAGCAAAAGATTGTCTATTTGTATATTGGATAAACATCATAACCCCATGTATTAAATTGCATTGTTTTTGTTATGTAATTATATTTGAATAAATTTATTTGAAATTGATAAGGTTGTTGTTTATTTAAACAAATACATATAGCCGAATAGTTAGATAATGACTAAAGTTTGATTTTTGTTTTATCCTTGGATACCAAATCCAGTGTAATGTTTATATTTTATTTTTTATATTTAATATTGCTGATATCCCAAATTAGTAAAATTGGTTTTGGAAAAAAAATAAGGCTAATAAAAGAGATTACGAGATTTTCAACCTGTATTCTGTGGCATATTGAACGTGTTAACGCCGGTACACATAACTCTCCCACAACTTTATAAAAGAAACAACGATATCAGATGTCAAAATGCTCAAACACACCTGAAAGACCAAACCAGCGAGGATAGGCAGACCAAGATAGATGATTGATAATGGTCAAATAGCCAAAAGAACATTAAACCATGAGCAACATTATCAATTAAGAATATGATCAATGAGGAAGATACAATAAATGACCAAAAGCTTGGCAAACTACAAATTTGTCGCATGTTTTATCAGATTACTGAAGTGAAATTTACAGCTCTAGAAGAACGTGGCAGTGTAGTTCTTTGGTTTATAAGTTGCTTATTTATGTGAAAGTCAGTGGAACTTTGCGAATAAGTGCTATAGGCAGTTGAGGGAGTATATTGTCCTTTAATGGGAAATACGACTTTGCATTATCATCGTGACAAATTTCAGCAATAATTATTAGTAAAATAGACAAACACACAGTAAAAAGAATACAAATTTATCTCTTTAAACTTTTTTATAATTAAAACTGCTATATTTTTTAAAGTTTATAATTGTTATATAACATCAATTGTTACAATTTAAATTCTTTTTTATTATTCATAAATTCTTTTATTTATTTTTTATTTTTTATGAATCTGGTCATCTAAAACGATTGATCATAGATGAGCTCATCTCTGCTGGCTCACCGCAGCCTTGAAAAAGGACACAGCAGAGGTCCCGAATTACATGTAGGAACAAAAATTAAAACAAAGAGGTTGTGAAGCTCAATAAATACCCCATCAAATGATTCTACAAATGTTTTAGTCTTTAGTAGAAAGAATGCATAGCTCATGAGGCAAAATAATTCTTTATCAATAGATAATGCAATAAATGAACAAGTGATTATGTTATCTTGTGTATGCTCATTTTCCTGTATTGTCATAATGTTGCATTGGTAAATATCCAATGAATGTTTTGTCACCCTAATCTTCTGACAGTTTTTTTTTCTTCTAATTTGATATTAATGTTTGTAAAAAAATCGCACATGATTCAAGCAATAAGTCATGATTAGGCATATTTTGTTCGATGATTACTTTTAGGGGGACTGTTACTTTTATTTATTTCAACTAAAGGATAGAAAAATTTAGTAATTCATTGATACGGAATGTTCACTTATGCCAAAGATTTATGTGGTCATTTTAAATGCTGAACCAGCATAGGATCAGAGTCTGTATTTAGTAAGTGAATACCTAACCGAAGATTGCCCAATGCCAAAACATGTTTGACTAATTCAACAAACCCAAAAAGTGCCCCAATGCTGCATGAATTGATTTTGTAGGTATAACAATTATATTCTTTAAAAATAATAATTTTAAGTAAAACACACATGATGAATTCAACAACTACGAAAATAAAAGGAGAATGAGTTTATTCTTATTACTAATTCAAAACTTTAATTAAATTTGTCTTTTAATTACCTGATAATTAATTATATAGTGAAACAAAATACAAATTACCAATACCATATGTGAATAAATTTTCTGAGAATTTACTTGAATGTTTTGAGAGTTGTTCATCTTTTGAAAACTTTGAATTAACTGGTATTAAAAATGTTCATGTCAAAAATATTAGTTGTAATTTTATAAGTATATTTTTTTAAAGAATAAAGTATGTTTTTATTATTATGTTGGTGTGTCCATTTACATTACCCATTATACATAACACATTTTTAGTACAAATACTATTAGATTAAATTAAATTTAAATTAATTGCCTCATTTTAATTTTTTTTGTTTTTGTCGTTTCATGGCTCATTTATCTAAAAATCCTTATAATAATTTTTTTTTTTACTTTATACAAAGCATAACTTAAAAAGTGTATTATCATTAATTAAAGTGTGTTTTTTAATGACCGGTTGTTTGATAATTTGTTGATTCATGAGGAATGGTCAAGAATCAACTTGTTTACAAAAAAACTTTTTTCATTTTTTGTCGACATTTCAATCTTTATTTTGGTCATCATCAGGGCATAAAGTGTTATTATTGTGGTATCGTATTGATACATACAATATGACACCATAAGAATAGCACAACAATAAAATAAAAAAGGTTTCTAAACTACCTCATTATTAACAAAATATTAATTAAAGTAATTCTTGTTTTACAGGTCGAACCATTTTACATTTTTCATACTTAATATATGTTTTAGTTGGCCCTATTAAACAAAATAATTATTTTAATTGAGCTATTGTTTATGCAAAGTGTGGTGGAGTGGAAAAATTAGTGTGATGGGCGAGCCTCGACCCCACAACACCCTTATAAGTACCCTAGGGATTTGAGTCCCATTACACATTGTATAAAAATTAATTAATCAATTTTTCATACTATTCTCAATAATTAATCAAGGACTGCTAAGAAAAAGGCTATGTATCGCAAGGCTTATATTATACTTTGCACCCAGGACTGTTAGTGAGGCAAATACGAATTGAACACCTTAACAACCACTCTGGGCCAAGATATGTTGCATTTATGTTACTTCATGTTCTATATGATTTTTATTGAAAATTAAACCGCTACATGAATACGTACTTCAAATTAAACTCATAATTTTTTGTACAATGTACCATCTTAATATAATAACAATCGATTTTTAAAATAAATGACTGATTTTAAATTGTTAAGATTATTGATTGATATGTTTTTTTTTTGCTTTGAAATTTGAATATTTTAGCAGCACACAGTTTTTATGAAATATAGTTGAATATATTTGTTTGAGCGTGCACCCTTTAATGTTGTTTCCAGTGAGGGTGTGTGATGTCGCTGCTGGAGTCGATCGATGCCCGATTGTCCATCAGGCTTTGCCACTAAAGGAAAAAATTTTATGTAAAAGGAATCGGTTTCCAGCGTGAAAACGTTTCAAATTATTAATATTTTATAATGTCGCAAATCGCGTCCGAATTGTAATGATTAAAACCGGTTCGTACATCAAAGTCTGAACGTTAAGTGAGCATTGGTATTTGCATAGTCGCTTTTCGTGTGTACTGCAGTGTTTTTTGGACGAGGTTAGGAATAACGCAGTTTATTATACGGCAGTGTTTAGTGTATTGATATCCGTTATTGTTAAGTCTACATAAACGTTTTCTTATATATTCTCGACTTGTTCGATTTTATGCGTTTTTGAATCGAACATTAATTTTTAAAATATTGTATAACATCTGAGCCCGTGATTTCGGTTTCCTTTAAAGTGGAGAAGAAATAAAAAGCCGCCGGCCTAGCTTTTTCGATAGGCTGTATTACTCGATAAATGCTTTTATCCCTCGGGGGCAGAGTTTTCAAATTGGAGGAGGTAAATTTTCCGTTTCGTCCGTGAGTTTACCGTCTGCGATGTCGGAGGTAGATACGAAGAAATTATGTGAACTTCGTGTTGTCGATCTTAAAGCCGAGTTGGAAAAAAGAGATTTGGATACGACCGGTGTCAAAGCTGTCCTGGTTAAAAAGTTGAAGGAGGTAAAAAAAAAATATTTTAGCCTGCGTTGTTGAGGTTATCCTCGTTGTTGTTGTTTTAATTCATTTGTTTTTTGTGAGAAAACACCGGAAGGCACACACTCAACTACTAACCATTAAACTACTTTGTTTTTAGTTTCAAACTTAATTTGTTTGCATAGGCTATGTCAGGAGAAGGCCTTGACCCAGAGACCTATGCGTTTACCGTCGATTCCAAGGGTTCACCCGTCAAGACGAAAAGTACGTATTTACACTTTTATTTTCACTTCTTTTTCCACTGGTCTGTTAAAACTTCCAGATATTTTTCCCGTCTGCCATGGTCTTGTTACAAAGATTGTATATTTTTTACATAGACTTATTTATTTTAAGATCAGTCGTAATGTTTGTTTAATACAGTGGAAATGTTCTTTATAATTGGGATACTCGTTTTTTTTTGTTTAAGAGGCAGGGTCTTAAATTGGAAAGTCTAAATTTTACACATCTCACACCTTCAAGTAGCTAAAATTAAAATTTTATTCAAGTATTCTGTTTCAATACCTCTGTATGCAAAACTTCATTCTTAACTTAACTGCTCTGTCTTTTAAGTTTAATGCAATTTTATTATGCCTTCTATCACTTAAATAATAAAAATTCATCCATCAGTTTTTCAGACATTTTCACAAACCTCTTTTAAAATTAATTTCTCTTTCATTTTTAAATTTGCAATTGTTTTCTATTAAATATCTAGTGAGCTGTGCAATAAAGTAAATTTTATGAGACAAGCTGAGCTGAAAGTTATGATGGCAGCCGCACATTGACACCGTTGAGGTGAAGGGAAGAACAATTAAATGTGTAGTATTTAGTGACCATTAATTAACGATTATTCAGAGGTTGTGAGATGCTCATTATTTTCTTTTATCGTGCCAACGTTTCAGTCTTTATTGAGATCATCTTCAGGGCCTCAATGAGGGCCTCGTTGGCACACCTCAATAAAGATCGAAACGTTGGCATATCACAATAAAGATTGAGATGTAGGACACCACAATAAAGATGGAAATGTTGGCACGCCATATGGGGGTAGACTCGTACCCCATCCCTAAAAGCTCCGGGACTTGGTTGCTCACGTGTCCTGCATAAACCTCTTGGACTTGTTCACAAACCCCAAGATTTTGGACCATTTTATCTCGGGGACGCCATAAAGATCGAAATGTTGGCACGATAAAGAAAATGTTTTTCCAAACCCACATCACACAAGACCGCATCTCATGATCTATCAATAAAAACAATTGAAGTTGTCACTTCTGGTGGGGAGGGGACGGAGTGAACATTCTGAAAATGTTTGAGACAGAGCTTTGTTTTAAGGTTGCATGGGCTATCCTTTAGCCTAAAAACCGTCCTGAAGAGTCTCAGTATGCTCTATTATTAGGATCTCCAAACAGTCTTCGGTGTGTTTAGGAAAGTCATTTGGCCAGTTTATTGCCACTGGGAGTGCTGCCAGTCAAACTTCTGAAGGAGCAGCCTACCCTCAGCTATGCAGCGGGGTTGTTGGTCAATTGGTACATTGCTTACTAGCCTTAGGTGCCAATATACCAGAATATATGAGTGTATTCAGACCCGGATGCAACCCTGAGGAATGTGCTTTGGCAAAATGTTAAGGAGGGTAGGGATGACATTGGGAACAGTATTCAAGCTGGGAAGCTAGCTGATTCCACCCTGGTCCTTTTGGCCATATTAAATGGCCTGGACAATCTCACCGTGTTATCCAAACTCCACCATACCTATACTGATTTTACTGAGCTAAGTTCTTGGAACTTAGATCAACGTACGTTGGTTTTTGCCTTGTATTCACACACAGGTCAGAAAACCGATGAGGGTATGGCATGTGCTATGTACTGCAAGGGTGCGTACAGTTTATGTTCATCCCTCTGCACTGTAGGGATTACATGGCAGAATTGTATGCGATTTGACACACTTTTGAGGTGATAGGAGTAATGGTGGCTCTGCTTAACTAGTTACAGTGAATCTCACATTGCAGCTACTGTTTGTAACGGGTTACTGCTGTCTGTGACAGGTACTCTATCGACATTCTCACTGTTTTTTAGTTGTAGAGATACATTGAAGTGTAACAAAAAGGCGGATGAGGCAATGAAGGCTGTGATGTCCCACCTAATTGAAGGGTGCAATTCCTTGGCTGTATATTAAGAGTGTGTAGGAATGCCGCGTGATATGTGAATTGAGTTTGAGATTGGCAGCGAGTATCAGGGTCCCATGGTCAGTTTCAGGGTTGTTTTATTGAATAGTGTATAAAGTAAAGATGGCTCCAGACAGTCAGTATTCACCGAATGCTGATTGGTGCTGAATATTTGCCAAGTCTTGTGACGCTCGTGTTGTCATTCACCAAATAACACGCCTAAGTATACGCTACATGGGTTCATACAACCAGCCAGTTTGTGTGGAAACAGCGAATATTTGCCAAATGAATGCGAGTCCTCAAGTTGTACCAGTTTGTGATGAACAACCTTGAAACTGTCATTGGTGCAATTGCGGACTCTGTTTGGTGTAGTGGCTACAAACTCAGACACAAATCAGTCGCTGATTACTGTTGGCCCATCTTACTTTTGATTTGTTTCCACGCAAAAAAACCCGTTCCAAGTTTTGTGATTCGGAAGAGAACCATTCCAAATTATTGGTTCAGCTTGGTACAGATCGAGGAACTCGAAGATTGTTATTTTGGGCCAATCCATTCCTATCCGACAGAAACATTATGAACTTCTTATATTATTTCATTAATACATCTATATTAATTGGGAATAATTTATTATTGAAAAAAAATGGGGGTCTGGGCGCAAGGCGCTCGGACATTAAATTCGTGACAACGTATCCTAAGACAAGGAACACACAGCACAGAATAACAATAAACATATACCACAGAATAACAATGAGGACACAATTGATTATATTATAATTAATATATTTTATTCATTAAATGATTGTTACATATGTAATATTTAATATCTTTGAATTTTTGTTATCTTGTTAAGAATCGTAACGTAAAGCACGCTCGGCTTTAATCGGTTACTCTCGGCTCGAGCGTAACAGGACACCAATCGTAACGGGACAATGAGTCATACTTTTTTTGCGAATGCCTCCTAGCGTTACTGATTTATAAGACGTTGTCACGTCAATAAATAAAAGTGTTGATAAATGATAACAGCTAATATCTGAATGAGTGGATCTTTGATTTGGCTAATCCATGAATATTTGTGGATTATGAATGAATTCGACAATTAGCTGAGTGTGGTGAGCACTGAGTATTGTTGCTCGGTGATTAACCAAGCACTCATCCCCACTAGTTGGCATTCGGTGAATCCCGCATGTCTAGAGTCACCTTAATGATAGTGTCTGCCCTTAATGTGTATTGAGTGTGAATGTATTTATTGGCATGATTGTAGTGTGAGATGGCCAATGGTAGAAAATTAAGTATCCCATCGAACCCAGTTATGTTGATATTCATAGGTGTAAAAGTTGATGGAGGATATTCGATACAACTAGGTGAATCTTAATAAAAATGTATTTAAGAGTGAGTGTGTTAATGAATTTAGGAACTGGATTTTAGGCTGAATTGACCTAGATATTGACTTCGGCCAGAGCCCAATCTCGGTGGCTGATAAGACCGAGGTCAGACCTTGGACTGCCAACACCTCTGTGGTGGGTAATTGTTGAATCAAGAGGCCCAAAATAATTCAAATTATCAAGAGGAAAGAAAAAAATCAAATTATTAAGAGTTGATGATGTACATTACAATTCTTACTTAATTTTTAATTGAAGTTCTTACTTAAATTGAACATATATAAAGCATTGTAAAAATAATGAAAAAGTGGAAATAGGTCAATTGTAAAATTGAACTAGTTAGGTTAACATTATTTAAAACTAATGAAGTGGTTTTTGTTTTGTCTATTTAGACAAAACTAAAACTAAAAATAGTTTTTCCAAAGTGGCCAATGCTGAGTACACATTGATAAAACTGATTTGGTTAAGCATAAAAAACAAAAGAAAATCCAACATTTTGTAATACTAATTGTATCCAAATGTACGGAATTTTTTAACTAACCGAATTTCTTGTGCATTTGTGATCATCTCAATTTTACGGTATTCAATGATAAGATCTTTTCACATGAGGCTGTTAGATGATTCGATTAGTTGAATGGACAAATGAAAAATAGTTTAGCCCTGTAGCAAATGGTGGCAAGGCACATGTTCTCATGCTCACTGGCTGACTCTACTCAAAATACACAAGTACTTCACACCAGTCATTTATTTGAGCCAATTGAGTCCACCACAGAAAACATTGCCATTGCATGTTTCGATGTGGAACAGTTCATTGAAAAAATTCATGTTAGTCCTGCGACATGAGATTTGAAGTGTGAGGAGTTTAGTGACAAAATTAAAAGGCAATGGTAGGAAATGGCATGACAGTAGTTGTGAGAAAGTGTGTTTTACAATTTTGTACTTATAACTGATGAACCCATAGTTTTCTTTGACTGAGTTTCCTCTTTGTTTTACTTCTCTTCTTGTAGAAGAGCAAGTACAAGTAATCCTGCTTCCTCTTTTTACACTATATTTTTAGTTATTTCTTTTTAATTATAAAAATGAAATGAACAGAATTTAACCATGTTAACAATAAACACCGTCAACTGTGGGTCTATAACTCACTATCTAGTGTAAATTCTGTGATAGTGATATTGACTTTATAACAAAAAGCTATGTATGATAGTGAAAAGAATTAGTCCAAATACGTATAGTACATAACAATTTCCTTATTGTAGAAAAAGAAGAAAATATTACAGAAGAAGAGACTAATAAAGATACTTCCAGTGAGAAACTTTCGGAATTAGACAAAACCAATTCAGAAGATGCAAGCAAACAGAAAGAGGTAGCTGTAATTAAAACAGATAATGTTGATGTTGCAGACGCGCAATTGGAGGAAGTTAAACCATGCGATACAAATAAGGTAAAGTTCTGTTGCTTTTTCATTTTTCGAACACCGTTTTTTCCTATCAAACCTATTTAAATTTTAATTGCTATTACCTTCAGCAAGAAGAGCTTTTGAAAGATGATAAGCCTTCTACAAAAATTCGTGAAGATCCAATTAAAGAAGAACTCGAAAAAGAAGAATTGGTTTATGACGATTTGAAAGATGAAGATAAAGTAGAAGACAAGGATGAATATTGTGAAGAAGAAGCAGATGAGGCTTCAAAACCTGGGCAAGCTACAAGTGAAAAAGATCCTGAAGAAGAAGAAAAGCTTGAGGTGAAATAATTATTGCAGTGTTCGTTGTTTTTTCAAGGATGTAATGTTTTAACGTGTTATAATGAGAAATAATAATTTTTTAATAAAAGTTGTTCATTTTGAATGACTACTTAAACTGCTTTTGGTTTGGGTAAAGTTTTTAAAACCCTATATATTTTTTTTTTTGCTCTTTTTGTTTTCTATTGCAATAATTGTGCATTCATGTTTTAGTTGCAGGAAAAGAACGATGTAAATGGTATGGACACAGAGGATTCAATTCATTTGACTATAGGAGAAGATGAAGAGAAATTGATGGCTGGAGAGGTATGTTAATAAAACTTTATAATGTTTAAATTTTTTTCTTTTCCTTGGCTCTTTGCTTTGGAAATATTGCCATATGATAGATGTTTAAATTTAAATGTTGCAAATACCAGCAATAACAAAAATTAAAATTAAAAAAATGGTGATGATAAATATTAGTTAGAATTGTTTATAGTTGGGTCATTTATGAGTCTGCCTATCCTTGCTGGTTTTATATCACAGACCCACCATTGTAGATAGTAAAATGCCCAGTTGCATTTGACAAGTCCAAGTCAGCAAGAAAAGAGCCCAAGATAGTCAGAAATGTCTAAATGCCAAGTTTTCATACCCTTCCGATCACATCAAGAAATTTTACAAATTAATAATCTGTGAATCATTTTTAATTACCAGTAAATTAAATTTATCAAACTGCAAGTAATTACGTTTTTGATCCTACAAAATGGAGAAAAAATAAATGAAAAAAAAATAATAATTGAAAAAATATATTATTGGTAATAAATAATGTTTAACAAATGTTACCTGTAATTTTTATAGTTACTACTTTTGGATAATGTCTTTATTCTAATTACTAGGAATGAATTTTTATTTATGATCAGTTTATGCCTAGTTTTAAAATAGCATTAAATGTTAATTCAGTTTGTCTAATGATGTTTGCTTTTATTTAGGATGATGTCGTAGATAAGAAGAAAGGTAAGCTTAAAATTAAATTCAATTGGCTGTGTATGTGAGTGTAAATGTGTTCATGCATGTACTGAAATTTCTATCCATGCCTTCTTTTTAATTGGTTAATAATTATTTAATCGATAAATGTCAGCATGATATTAACCAAATAATTTTAAATAACAAAATCGTCACGAGTTATAATAAATATGTGAAAAAGTTAACAATCTCCTCTACATGTAAATCATGCATGCCTTGTAAGAAAATTATAAATTGAATGCAATTTTTACTTTTTTAGAAATGAAAGACTGTGGGAGAAGTGGAAATAAGAAACAAGAGTCTCGAAAGGATGCAAGGAATGTTAGGTGTGTATTATATATTAAGTGATTTTTTAAATTTTTAATTTTATGGTTTTTCTATTTCTACAACGGTGGTCACATATATTTATCATGCTGGTAATAATGATAAAAATACATTTATATTTTTAAGTTCCTACATTCATGATATGTGCATAAAAGAATAGTTTTTTAAATAATGAATTTAAAAAAAATACGTTTTTATGCGCATATCATAAAAAATTTGTTATATGTATTATGATTATTGTGTACAGTCTGAATAAGATGATAAATTTAAAAAAAAAATGTGCTTATACATTGTAATAAAATAATATGTTGTTTTCAGTCCAGAGAAATCATCAGATGAAAAAGGTAGTACATCTATTTAATTTTTTAAATACTAATGATTAAATAATTGTTTACTGATTTACACCTTAATCAACAGCTAAAAAGAGTACTCATAGAAATTTATGGGTTAGCGGTTTATCATCAGTTACAAGGGCGACAGATTTGAAACACGTCTTCTCAAAAGTTGGCAAGGTAATTGTATGACAACTCTTTCAAAATAATCAGTTGTAATTCTCAGCTTCTTTTAAATATCCACAGTATTAATTACACCATATAAAAAATTAGCTATTGGCTGTTTATGGTCAGCATAATAAAATTATACAATAATATAAGTAAGAATATATTGAACGATGGTAGTCACTGAGTGGTTGTACATCAGATTCAGCTTATAGACCATCGTGGGTTCAATTCCCACTGTTGCCCCAGGAATTTCTGATCTTGACTTCTCTCTAGGAGAAAAAAAAAAAGATCCACGTAAACAGATGTCATGATGTCACTGTGGATCGAAGTCAGGATGATACAACTGGTTAGAACAGCGGTGTATTGAGGTGAAGGTCGTGGGTTCGAATCCCACTCGTGACACTAACTTTTTCGTTTCAACCAATACCTTACATAAAAAGGTTAATTAATTTAAATTTAAGTTGTACCACTGAATTAAAAATGTAAAAACTTCTGTAATCGTAAATGGAACGGAAGAAGAGAACAAAATAAATGACATTTCTCTGGGGTTACCTGAGAGAGGAGAAAAATACCTTAGATAAAAAATATAATTAATTGAATTTATTTTTATTAGGTTGTCGCAGCTAAAGTTGTGACAAATGCCAAGACTCCAGGGGCAAGATGTTACGGTTTTGTCACAATGGCAACGACTGAAGATGCTCAATCAGCAATCCGTGATCTCAACTGTACGGAACTTCACGGTCGACTCATTTCAGTGGAAGCTGTAAGATATAGTTTTGTTTTTGCTTCAAAATTCTGACCATTAATGGCTTTTGGTATTAAATTATTTTTTTTCAAAATGAGTTGCACTACATGTACTTTTGAGTTGTGTCTGTGTCGATTTACTTGGTTAACTATATACATATATATATTTTTTTAATTCTATTGCTAATTGTGATTGAATTAATTAAAAAAAATTAAATTAGATTTTGTTTATGGATTAAGGTATAAGTTGTTTGTTAAAAAATAATTTTCACTAAAAATTAACAAACTTTAATCATATTATTTCCAGGTTGCAAATAAGCCCAAAAATGCTGGTACTAAGAAACCTGAAGAAAAGTCATTGACAGCGCCTTCACCAAGGAGGTCAGAAGAAAGAAAACGTAAAAAAGAAGATAGCGCGATCCCCTCGGGTACTGGTAAGTTTGTACTTTGATTATAATTTCATTTTGTTTTAGGTTTTACATAGATATACATTTTCACATCAGACAACTTTTGTAGTTTGTACATAACTACAGATCAAATTTAATTAACAAAGTGGAATAAAAAATATTCCACATTATTTAAGTTTGAGAAGAAAGACATTGGGATTTCATAATTAGCCTCTTTTATTTTTCTTCTTTTTTCAAACATTAAAATGGCTCACTTACATACATGCTTTTGGGAAAGTACAACTGATTCACACTAAATACATTATTTGCAAAACAAAAAATAAATAAATAAAATACCAGTGGACCATAAGGCATTGTCATCATTCATCTGAGGGTATTAAGCAGTACAGACAGAAGAAACTAGCATGGAGAGTGAAACAATTCTTAATTTGGAGTTAATGGTATGCTGTGAACTCTTTCAATGTTCGTGATGAAACAAGTTAAGGAAGTACTTAAAGAGCCTGGAAGAAATTTTTTTTACAAATTATACATTAAATCAAACTAATTAGAAATGTATTATAATTGTCTAAATCACTTTGAAAATATTTTGATCAATTAGCCAAATTTGTATATTTATTTAACATCCAACCTTTATAATGGCGCATGCCATTGTTATATGAGTTTTCACATTTTCAATATTTATTTACATTTTTATACTAAGATTTATATTGTAAGTCAAACTGCATATTTAAGTTTATATTTTTATTTAACAGAAGTGTAAAAAGTGTACTGCAACAGCAAAATTATGAATATAATGTAGGGTCGAACGTGTAAAAACTTTCTTCTGAGTAACATAAGTGCCAAATATTTAATTAAGTATTTTTTCTTGCATACGAAATTGTGTGAGATGAGTGAGTTATGTAGCTATGAGAAAATATCTAAATAATGGATTGAACAGCTACTTAATCTTTTATCAATGACACCAACACTTGTCAACCAGTCTGGTCAGCCTGTTCAAGATGTTATTGTGTTTATTCACTTCTACGAAAGTCTCAAATTTTATTTCTTCGTGAAAGATTAGCTGAGTGTTAAGCCAGCCAATGGAATGACCACTTTGCCAAACCAGTTATAGTACTTCTATTTTGATATACTTCTTGCAGCCAGCATATAACGTCAGCATTGTTTATTTGTTTTAATAATTATCACAACACTAATGTTCTTTTCTTCTTTTGAGTTACTCCTGCGCTCTCCGAGATCCTTTTTTTTGGATAAACATCACAAACCCCTTTTTCAGAAGATCAAGGAAGAGAGAATGGAGGCACAGAAGAAAAAACTGAAAGCATCGGAGGTGGAAGGACAAGTTCTGTTGGAGAAACCGGTGCCTGTACTACTTCAGAAGGAAGGAGGAGCACCGAAAGGAGACGAAGCACAGATAGGAGACACACTTCTTCTAGGGACCGGCATAGAGCACCTAGGCATCATTCCGGAAGTGAATCTGGCATACTTTCTTTCTCACAAATCAAGGAGGAAAGGGAAAGGCAAAGACTCCGGGAAAAAGAAAGAGCCCTTAGGGAAGAAGATCGAAGAAGAAGAGAAGAGAGGGAGAGACATCGGATCATAGAGAAAAAGCAACGAGATGAGGCACTCAGGCTTGAGAGGTCAGCTCCCTTTAGTTCTAAAAAGGCTTTATGCCTTAACAAAACAAACGATTAATAAATAAAAGTATCATATGAGAATAAACCTACATAAAAAGAAAATCTTTATGCATATGTGCTAAAAAGTTATCACACACTCGTCCATTCGTGCGTGCCCTTTCTTCAAAACACACATACACACACACACACACACACACACACACACACACACACACACACACACACACACACACTCTTCCTAGTCACACACATATGCACAAACAAAATTGTAGAACCTTCTCGTGGCTTCCAAATACATACTGTTCAAAATATAAAAAAAATCCCTTTTAACCATTGAGCTTAACTATCTAAAAGTTTGAAAACTTGATATTGAACACATTTCTGATTGTATATTATATATTTGAATATATTCATTCATTTCTGTCTGAACCCTAGTGCAAAAATTAACAAAGATTCCACAATATATTTTTTGGTCGATATGTTAATTTGTTTGGTATGGACATTTTTACATTACAAATCAGTTGAACAAGAGTTAATAATTTTATATGCTTGGGTGCAGTTATGACTTTTCTAATGGATTAAACATTTTATTTCTTCAAGTCGAATTGAATTCAAGTTAATTATTAGGTTGAAGTTATAGGGTTTAACTTGTTTTACAACTATATTTTGTAAGTTCGCTTTGTTTTTGTAAATTTGAGAAAAGGATGTGGAGGAATAAAAGTCTGTTATCTTCCACAAGCTTCCTTTTTTTCTTACAAGTACTTGGCAATCTTCAGTCAATTGTCAAGTTGTTTATAAAACAATTTTGGTGGATATATTTGCTAATGTATTGTTCTAGTTTTTACGCTTGGCAACTTCAATATGGCACCTTTGTAAAATTTTAACCAATTTTGACATTCTTAAAATTTCACAAAAACATAAGTTTTATCATATAAGGCATATACCAGAGTTATGTGGTAAAATTTATTTAAGAAATCTTCAAACTTTAACGTGCCGTGTGTTGATATATTATAAAATTCATAAAAATCCTACATATTCATTCCCGTAAGTTGTCTAATCCCCGAAGGTCCCAGTTCAAATCTCAGCAACCTTGAATTTGAACCCAAAGTACTTCTATAAGGGGTTTTCCTATGGAAAAACACCTGAACTATGGGTAATCAAGATTTCATTACCAATTAACATAAAAAAAGACAATAAAAATTAGGCATAATTTGTTATTATGGCTCAAGATTTATTTAATACATATAGATATAAATTTATATAACTATTTTACATGGTTGGTTTCTAGTTCAAAAAATATATTTTTTATTATTATTGTATTTGTTTTGAAAAGAGAGATATTATTAGACATAAAATTGTTTGATCTACTGTAGCTTCTTAATTTGATTAAAATGCATTTTGAATTTTGATACACTACTTCCTAAAACCAGGTTAGTAGAAGAAATAAGTTACATTACTCTTCACAAAAGAAAGACGACGGTATAAAAATGAAAAAAATAATAGTAGTAATAGTACAGAGAAAGAGTGAGAAAGAAAGAGGTGTGTGTGTGTGACGTTTTTGTTCAGTGGGATCCCTTAACTGGAAGAAAATTTCAAATTTACAAAGAACTAGGAAATGTGGGATAAACTTATAAATTGGTTCTTCCCAAATATTTAATCATAATCTTCAATCGGTAGGAATTATATTGTTATAATTTCTTTAGGTATCTTTGTGTCTTGTTTTTAACGTTTAAGAGGTAGGAAATTGTTTTGTATCAAATAACATTTGTGTCTATTATAATTGTAAATCTAATCAGGGATTTTTATATTATTGTGCGTTTATAACAATTTTAATTCCAGTTGTTCACAACTTGCTCAAATCAGGAGTTACGATTGAAAAAAATGCTGTCAGTTAATTGTTCTAGGCTATTTAAAACAAATATTTTTATAGGGAGCGTGAAAAAATTCGTATTGAAATGGCTCGCTTGGAAAAGGAAAGAGCTGAACTTCTTAGAATGGAAAGAGATCGATTACAGCGAGAAAAAGAAGATCTTAAAAGGCAACAATTAAAGTAAATCACTTATATTTTATTATTTATATTATATTTTCAATGAATTAAATGAATTAAAATTACAAGCTATTTTAGATTAGAGGAGGAGCGAAGAAGTAAAAGAACTCTCAGCAGTTCTCGAGATTCTTATGAAGATCGAAAAAGGCAAGCTACTGAAAGGCGCTATGAAAGCGCGCATGGACCTTCAAGGTTTTTTAAATTTTTTGCAATTATTATTTATGTTTATGGAAACTTTGTCATGACAATTTTCTAAACCAATTTAGGGATTACAAGAAAGAAAGTGCAAGGAGAGATGATGGTATATCACCACCCTCAGGCAGAGTGAGATATGGAGACAGCCCTCCAGCCTCATCAAGTAGAACTTCAAGAAGAGAAGAGACTTCAAGGATGAAAGATTCGTACGTTTACCTTTTTTATTATTACTTTTTTTTTTCCGAATTCGAAAAATTGGATTCCAATATTTTATTTTTATTTTTGATTTTAGGACGTTTAAAATTTCAAATAAAATAAATAAAATATATATTTCCAGAATGCGTTATTCAGATAGGCCAACGGGAACGAGTAGTTCAAGCTACCGAAGTAGAGATGAGCGTGACAGGAGAGAAGAGGGTTCTCATAGAAAATCAGAATCCTCCCGAATGTCTCACAGAGACCGTTATGATCCTACCACAAAAAGTATGTTTTTGAGAAAGTGAGTGTTTGTTGTGGGTGTGATTGTGCATATTTGATCAAACTGTAACTTAAAATGTTAAATCATTATATGATTATTCAATTTTCAACTGATTTTTATTAATGTTTTCATCAACTTAAAAACAGTTAAAGAAAAGTCCCAGGACACAGTTTGATAATAGATTCATATTTTATTTATAATTGTAAAAATGACTTAAAGTGATTTGATTTACAAATACAAATGAACCTTTATTTTAATTGTTAATAAATTGGTCTAATTGAATTTCCAATTACATAACTAATTATTTATGCGTTTTCATTTTAGGCGTTCACAGATATGGAGTTGAATCATGGGCTGGAAGTTCCAGCGCTAACAACAAAGAATTTTCATCTGTAGTTACTGGTGGGTCTGGTAGAGAGCCTCCTCCACCTGCCTGGAATGGCATGCCGGGTGATAGAAAAGCACCTCCCGACATGAATCCCTGGGCCCGAGCTCCTCCTGAAAGGTGAGATTGTTTTATTAGATTCAGTTAATGTTGTATCGCTTAATTATTGGGATTTGATCATCGTCTGGACTTCACAAATTGAATATACATATACAATCAATTTAAAATTTAGACCCTTATTTTGGTAACTTTTGTTACCAGTTAAACTATTGTCTTATTAAACATTACAATTAGTACAAGTACAATGTTACTGTTCTTCCTCAGACCATCTGGGGCTCAGTGGGGATTTTTTTTTTCCAAGTCTGCTTCATCTGCAGAAATAAAATAATCAGGCGCCACACTTTTTCCATTCCTTTTAGGGAAACATTGAACCCTCGGGGTTAAATAAAAACAAGAAAAATAGAATATCAGTGTGCTCAGTGTTAAATAAATTGGAAAACAAAAAGGAAATAAAACAAGTTCTCTTTTACAATAAAAAAAAGAAAGAAAAAGAAAAGGTCAGAAAAAATTCACCTAAAAGAAAAGTTCGAACCTCGTCCCGGTCCTTTTCCTTCTTGTCCCAAGACGGTTCTTGCACACGTGGTGAACTTTCCTTTGAACGGTGATAAGAAAATAAACTTGAAAATAATTTAAAAAATGCAAAAAAAGTCCTTTTTATCCAACCCGTTCAAGCTCGAGCCTCACTGGCCGGGCGCCACTCCTCACTCATGGCTCAGCTGGGCCTCCTTCATCTCCCAAAAACTGCTTGCACATCTTTGACTTCTTGCCGGCCTTGCTCAACTTTGCCGAAGGCACCCACATCTCTGGCTCTGGTCACTCCCCCCTCCAGTATAAAACAATTTTTTCCCTTTTTATTTTCCACTTGTAACAACTTTTACCATAGTAAAGAAAATAAAAACTAATTGACGTGGCACATAATAGTAGGATACAATTCAATGATTGCCCTACCTATTGTATAGTTCCTGAGATGGTATCAGAATTTAAATACAAGCTAAAAAGAATGATAAGGTGACCGCCGGTAGTTATTGTGATAGAATTTCGGCTCATAAACCCAACAGTCAAGGGTCCAATTCCCACCATCCCCCTTGGTCCTTTTTTCACATTACCCTTCCCCCATTGGTGTATTATGAAACAATCAAGAGAAAAAAATTCTTGAATTTCTCAATGCTAATATCAGAAGTGATTCTTCTTCTTGTTAACAATAGTGGAAGGGGGTAGCATTGTTGTGAAAATGTACATTTCTTTCAAGAAGAAACACGTTCTATGTGATGGCCTGATATCACAGACCACGACGTCAACTGCTAGATCACTTCCATCCATGTCCAGATTGCTTTTTGTCTTACTGAGCCTTTGTACAGGTTTAGCCCTCTGATGAACTATGGGGCATCCGTAACACCCCATTTTTCAGTGTCTGAGTGATTTTGAGGTGCAATTTAACAGCTGAGTCCCAAATTGCACTGGAATGTGTCCAGATGGGCCAAGAGGGACATTATGGATATACTTAAGCGGGGAACACACTTAACCGATGCAACACTATGCGACGTGACCCGACGCCTTGTCTCGTTTTGGTAGGGCTTGCACATGTTCTACGTCAAGCGCGCTCATACAGTCACACAGCATGTTTCACAATCGCAACACCTCTTTTGTTCTTAATGCATTATTTTGAGCAAAATTATATAATAAGTTGTTAGTTAAATTTTATGAGCACAACCATGTAAATTAAATTAAATTTTTAAAAATAAAGTTATTCCGGTGTTTTGATAAATTATTTTCTGCTTAATCATCGTAATTAAATAACTTTAAATAAAACTCCTGAATTTTTGATCTCGTTTAATTTGGTTTACATTAAAATAAGCATGTAGTAATTAATATATTTACGAAATTTCATATACATAGTTTGAAATAAACTACAAAAAATATGAGTGCCCACTTCTGATGCTGCTCGACGAAAATGCTTGTAATTTTATGAGCAAAATCATGATATAAATTGTTTGTTAAATTTTATGAGCAAAACCATGTAATAAATTTTAGTTAAATTTAATGAGCAAAACCACGTAATAAATTGTTAGTTAAATTCATTCTATCAATAAATGGTATTCCAGTGTTTTGATCAATTTTCTGCCAAACCATTAAAATTAATTTTTTAAAAATAAAAATAATGAATATTTGATCTCGCTTAATTTGGTTTACATTAAAATAAGTATGCTGTAATTAATATAACAACAATAATACATATAGTTTGAAATAAAAATATGAGTGTCCGGTTCTCTTGTCTTCAACTGTAGGAAAATCAGGATGTGGGGATCACATAGCGTAGAGTAGGGTAGCATTGCGTGGCATCAGGCAGATGTGCACGGAGGTCATACAATCTTATGGAAAATTGGAAATTGGATTTGCATCGGGTGGCTTCGGGTAAGTGTGTTCCCCGCTTTTGTTTTGATTGCCTTTGTAGCTGCACCCAGGTAGTGTCTAATCCAGAATGACTAAGGTGTTAGAAGAAAAATTTTCATACATATGGGTATAATAAGGGTATTTCAACTACAAGGTGAACCCTGGGGGTGCCAGTGTTTTTGAAGAAAAACCGATTTTTAAGTATATTAGTTGCTGGATTCGACACATCTTAACCTTAAATGATGGGTGCCATTTCAGTACCTAAACTGTTGAGGCCACCGAAATTGAGGATCCCTTACTATTCTCCAGTCTTGACACCAATAATTTACTTTTGAGATATACTCTTGCATTTTGTTTAGCTGCTTGATAATTTTTTTCATTATATAGATTGCTGCGTCATCTACAAGGTGTAATAGTTGTCAAGGTAGGAAAATTTTCATTTGTGTAGAATATGTAGAAGAAAGGTCCTAGGTAATGCCCTGTGGGACCCTTGACAAAGAAGAGCTGCAGAACTGGTGTTTCTTGGTATGTTACTGTAAAGCTACATTCGGCCATGTGACTGATACATGCTGCTTCACCTTAAATAACAAAATTATTGAAGGCTTTCTCTATGCCTAAGAATATTCCAAAGCACATTTGTTTATCTTTCAGGATTTCTGTATTTTTTCACTTCCTATGTGGTTTTAATGCACGAGAATGTTCCCTCTTAAATCCAAATTGCATAGGAAGTACTAACGCATTTAGTGTGCAATCATGACAGAACTTGATAACTGATTCCGGCTTTGCCTGTTTTCAAAAGGTGCTGTGGTCTCTTGGGGTTTTCTCTGCAATACTCAGATGGTAACTTGGCAGAGGAACAAGACCTTACCCAAGACAAGTTAATTTTTACCCGAGATATTGCATTAAATTGTTTTTAAAAGAACCGCATAATTTTCACAGGGCACGCTGAGTGATTTACTAAATCTTTGGGTGTGACTTGCACCTAGGCAAACACAAATCTTATATACTGTGTCGTGTTCACAGGTGGGCAAGTAGCGGCAGCGGTGGCAGTAGTTCAATGGTTGGAAGTGGAGGTGGGAGTAGAGGAGTTTACCCACCACCCATGGTTTCAAACATGCCAATGCAAATGAGTGGAGGACCATTGAGCTACCAAACTTCTGGTGATAGATTTGATGCTTATAAGCCAATAAATTCAATGAGTAGAAAATATTAATATTTTTAACTTTACATTCCTTGAATTCTTTCTTATTGTAAATATTGATATATTTGTAACAAATTTGCTTAATTTACTCCTGATTTTGTTACTACAAAGATTCAATTATTATCACAAAACTCAAAATAAACAATTTATTATTTTGATTTATCTTGTTTTGAAATATATTTATGATGTTAATTGTACATAGAGCACCATAAAAAATGTAGCTATTATTTTTAATTATGCAATTTCAGTCATTTTTAAGCAATTGTGGGAAATTGTACATTATTTGATTTAGTCTATTCATGTAGATGTGAGTTTAAATTGTTTTTGGAATGTTTTTTTTTTCAGAATTTATTTTGTCTCCATTTTTTATACAAAGTGTAGTTTTTATCTTTGGGCAAACATATATTATATAAAATAATATAATATATCCACAAGTGTTTCTTTTTTGTTTAATCCTTTCAACTAATCCTTCCTTTTATTTATTTATTTTTTTTAACGAGGGTTCGCAACAGCAGAGGTTATATCAACCCTCGGGGTGCCGGTGTTTTTGAAAAAAAAGCCCATTTGTAAGTATGCGGGTTCGAATGCAGGGCTGCTGGATTCGAACCCGGGACCTTTACCTTACAGTGATGAGCGCCGTGTCAACGCCTAAACCGTCTAATCCTTCCTTACCTGCAGAAATTATCAGAAAAATTACAAGTCAGAATGAGTAATTAATAACATTAACCCTATCTTTTTATAAGGTTTAAAATAAAATTAAATACATAATAATTAAAAAAAATAAATAAATAAAATAACACGTTTATAAAATGCCTGATAAGCAAAACTAATAAGAACAGACTAACTGAGATAATAAGATCAGTACATTACGAGTGGTAGTAGGTTTTATAACAACCAAGTTATATATTTTTTAAAAAGTAAAAGTATTTACAAATGGTAGTAATACGGTATCCATATATAAAATATATACATACATTATACTGAATAGCTTAACTTTTTTTTTAGATATATGTTCTGATAGAAAAAGTATCTTTATAACAACCAAGTTATATATTTTTTTAAATAAAAAGTATGAGTAGTACTATGGTATTCCTATAGACAAAATCTTCTAATAGAAATAGTTATTTATTTTTATAACAACCGTTATTTATTAAGTGAAAGTACTTAATTTGACAATCTCTAGAAAGAAATTAAATTTACACTACTTTTTGCATCATATCTTTGCAATCAAAAAATTAACAGTCAAAGCGTATAACAAACTTTAGAACAATAACATATAACCATACATAATAATAATAGTGGCTTAGGGTTGTTCTAGATTATTTTGAGACATTAAGAAAATGTATAATTTAATTTTCTTCTCTTAACAACGAATGAATAATGTTAGAGGATAATAAACTGAAATAATTTACTATTCAATTATATATTGTATATACCTACACGTTGTTCTATTTATTTCACAAGTGGGTTCCTGTATACTAAGTTTTTGAGGGTTGTTGGTGTACAACTTTCAACAGGAGAGTAGAAATAACATCAAAAAGTTTTTTTTTCTTTTTCTTTAATTAAAGCAGAGCGATAAGAAATAGGAAGTATAATTTATTAAAATCTCATCCCACCAAAAATTGGCTCTGTTGCCTTAATTTCAATTCTCTCTCAATGTATAGTTCTGAGATAACCATGAGTCACAAGTGAATCACTATCATTTGCCTAAAACAAAAATAAAATTATACATTTATATTTAAAATCTTACTAAACAAACATTTCTTGCAACATATGTATATTTTTGATGTTTAGGTATCTTATAACTTAAATGTGTGCGTCTACATACAGATATGTTTATCTGTACATTTTTTCTACATCTATTTTATATCCATCTGAAAATGTAGAAATTAAAAAATTGCACAAGTTTAATACAAATTTGTTTTAAACACTTGTATTTATTTACCCACAACTTAAATATCCTTTTTAAAAAGATAGTTCCTACTCACAGTAAGAAGCTAGGAACTATATTTTTAAAAAGGATTAAACACTGCACTCACTCCATCATTCATCAGTCCTATAACTTAAACATGCTCATTTTTATAAATAATAAATTAAAGTGATTTGATATAATAATCAGTTTTATTCTTTTTGTGGATTGTCGTTTTAGATACATTTTTCAGTAAAAATAACCAGAAATACAAGAAAAATAGAGAGAAACACAAATATGTAGTTTCATAATAATGAATAAATAGGATAACTAAGATGTCTACCAGAAGTGAGCCAAGTTGCATAGCTGAGCCGTTTTGAGATGATTAATGATAAATTTATTAGGTTTCGTGGTCCGCTTGACCAAATAAATTCTTTTCAATAAATTAAGGCTTTGGTTGAGATAAAAAAGTTATTGACACGAGTGGGATTTGAATTGAAAAATGGCAAAAAAGGAGGTAAAATTCAAAAGGTGGGGTTGAGATGGAAAGTTAGTGTCCTAGTGGATCGAAGTCACGATAGCTCAAGTGGTAGAGCGGCGACATATTTAGCTGAAGATCTTGGATTCGAATCCCGCTCGTGACACTGACTTTTTTTATCTCAACCAAAGTCTTAATTAATTGGAAATTAATGATAAATTGGGTTGTCCGGAAAATAAAGCAGGTTTTCGTGTTTTCTGGCAATTACCCCTCTGTGTAATAAACTGTTTATGTTTGATGGATTATTCTTTTATACGAATGTCAACACTTTTTAATCCTAATCCAAACATTTGTTTGTCTACCTCAGTAGCATTTCATTACTTGGAAATAATCTTTACTAAGATGTCAACACTTGATTTTTGCATAATTGCGTTTTACAAGTTGAAACTCGGTCGGACCCAAACAGCCAGAAGCATTACAAAGTCTGTGGCAATGCCAGGTGTGAGTGAGAGCACCGATCAGATATGCTTTCAAAAATTTTGAGAGAGAGACTTTTGCCTTGAAGAGAAAGATTGTGGAATCTTCCCTACATGACGTTCTACGGTAAGCTTTGGCCTAAGGAAATCCCAGAGAAACTGTAAGAACTTACAGAGAATCTTTCAGTTAGTAAATCGACCATTGTTATGAAGTTGCCACTTCTTTGCCGAAAAAAGAAATGAGCCTTTTCTGGATAGAATTGTTACTTGTGATGAAAAATGGATTCTCTACAATAACAGCAGACGTTCTGGACAGTGGCTCCACTGAAGCCTTCAATTCATCAAAAAAGGTGACCCTTTGATGGGCTTCATTTAGGCTAATTTACTAAAGCTTTATTAACCCTGTTGAAACAATAACACCGAATTGTATTGCTTTCAAATTGAAACAATGCACTACAAACTGGCATTACTGAAGCTAATTTTGGTCAACCTCATTGGGAGAAGTGTATTGAGAGTGATGGAGGGTAATTTTAATTAATAAAAAGTGTTTAAAATCAGTTATTTAAATGTTTTTATAGCCATAAACCTGCATTATTTTCCAGACAATCCAATAATATAATTACCAAAAGCTCAACAATTAATCAATTTGACTCAATTCAATTAGGCAATTTTTCATCGCTAATCATTTCAGAATATTCCTCCGGAAGTTTAAACAATGCTAAGGTTTAAAGTTAATAACAAAATACAACCCTTAAGGGACATGTCAAGCTGATTAAGGGTTTTGTTTGTAAATTTCAAAACAAACAGATTTATAACATGTAGATGTTTATGAATAATTAGGATGATATAAATTCATCAGTGATGTATGTGTATTTCAATTTTACCTCGGTTATGTAGGGTTTTAAATATTCTTATGGTTGAAATAATGCAGTTTTCGCCAATTTTGTTTTCTTTGGCAACCAATTTTATCATCAGATGAATTCCTTCTTAACCTAATGGACCAACCATTTCTTGACTGTCCTGTCCAGGCATCAAATGTTTATTTGATTTACAAATAGAAATGAGCTTCTCTTATTTCCTCACTGTAATAAAAAACAAAAGCAAAAATACATTATAATGAGAAATTTTACTTCCCAAATATTATTTTCACAGATGTAAATATATTAACACATAAACACCTAATAAAATTAAATTTCATGCGCATATTGTGTTTGTAATTAAAATAAAGAGAATTAAGTGAACCCATCAATGACCATATAATTCTTAGATTAAGAAAAATATAGTGATGATACAACTTTAAGATGACATTGCAATTTTAACAAATATACTTTAAAATTTAAAAGGTGGCGTAAAATCACATATGCTGAAAATATCAAAGTTATTTGGCTACAAAAATATGTGGACTCAACTAACTTCTGTCTGCTCATTTTGTCTCAGTTTCAACAGGCTGGAGCACTAATTCTAACAGGAGGAGTGCACTTTCCACAGTTTGGACATATAAATTAAGTCTTTATTATATTTCGTGGTCCGATTGACCAAATAATTTCTTTCAATTAATTATATTCATTCAATACCTTACATAAAGATTATTAAGTATTACAATTAATACAAATTACGGTCAATTCACAATAATTTGATTGTTTCACTTAATGGTTTTAGTCTTAGTTTTATCTATAACACTAGTGGTAACAGAATTAAAAAAATAAATTTAAAAATAATTTGCATAATAATAATGATGATAAAAATAATGCATGATAATTAAATAAAATAAGAAATTTGTAACATCATAAACAAGATTATTTGGAGAACGTGAGATGCGGTCTGGTGTGACGTAATGACACGATAATGAAAATGTTTTTCTAAAACCTATGTCACACCAGACCGCATCTCACGTTCTCCAAATAACAATTAACTAATGGTCACTAAACACCACACATTTCTACACCATGGACAAGTTTGGCCAACTTCCATTATCCTAATCTCAGCTTGGTCTCACAGTTTTTGTCTATCAAAGGTATATAGGTTTTTTGCCAAATTCAATTTTCACATGGACCATTATGATAAGAGGCATTTAAGCCACAAAGTATTACAATTGCCAATTTACTTCAATTTTGGCTAGGCTGATATAGCAATTGCAAACTGAATTTGTAACAACTGCCTGACAGTGTGAGAAACTCAACTCAGCAAAAGTGAATTCAGAACAAATTAAGGTTCTAGGTACCAACACACCCAGCCAAAGAAAAGACCCCCATAAAATAAAAATCACATGATCTTGGGATAAGTTAAGTGAGGAATAAAGTTGAGTAATGTTTTAAAGTTAGGTTTCCACTGATGAAACTCACTTGCAGTGTTTGTACAACTGTTTCGCAAAACTTGTCTCACATTATGGAGACATAGCCCGGACTACAAATGGCGCGAGGATGTTTTGGGGTAAACCGAACGACTGTCAGTTTTTCAGTGCGCATCAAAGTGTTTTGTGTTGTTTGTTTCACTCCGTGTGAATGCACTTGTCTCGTGTATGAAAATGAACCAGGAGGTGTACATTCGACTTTCCAAATGTATCACAGCTACTGATTTTTGTGGGATGCTAAGTATAAAACTCATCATTAAAAGAACTAGAGAGAGGATATGTGGAAGGAAATTAATATCAAAATGGGACAAACTGTCGGTACTCTTAAAGCGAAAATGAAACTCTGATTCTTTGGTCCACCAATGGCTTTTTTTTTTGTTTAAACCTTGTTTTGCCTCGTGGACATGGTTAACCTGAGACGATGTTTCGCGAGTAATTCTCACGTTTAATTGCGCAAGTGATTTTTTTCATGCAGTAGAAATCCAACGACATTTTTGTTCGCTAAACCAAAAGACCAAATGTTTTGTACAAAAAATGCACACAAATCATAATAATTAGACCATAAATTTTATTTTAATGACATTATTAATTTTGGTAATTAATTATTAATTTAATTATTGATTTCGACTTTCAAGCTTTCAGTTCAGAGTTCACCATCAGGTTGAAGGAGTTTCACACATGGCTCTTGTGAAATGACAATTCATGTAGAGACGTGTTTGTAAATCCTTCAAGCTGATCATGAGCCTTTAATGCTCGAAATCAGGATCGTTGTAAACAACAAATTTATGAAAAGAACCAATTTAACAAAAGTAACTCCAGTTAAATTTTATTTTACGATCCATGAAAGTCGAAATATTCAGGAGTAACATGTAGCTTTTCATCGATACAACACTTTCACCGATATCGATATCGTGATGTTTTTTTATGCTAATATGGTCGGGTGTCAGTGTCCAAATTATGATTTCAAATTCTGTTTGTACTATATTTTTATTGTTTCTATATAGCTCACATTCTATGATGTTATTGTTTTATGACATCAAACGAGTTGTTTTTTGTTTATTTTAATCTTTCTGTCGATATTATCGATATGGAATGTTAGCTTCCTTAACCACGACACAGCGCCACCAATTTGTGTACGACTGCCGGGGTTAGCACTTAGCACGGTTAAACACAGACAAGTCGAGAACCTTAAAATTTATGATATTGTCGTCACTATCGCAACCATGCTCGCGTTTTCTTTAAAACTGCAGCCCATCTCACAGATGCATAAAGTGTTCAATACAGGCTAAAATTCCTATTCAGGGAATTTTTGTTTAGCCCTGTAAATTGAGATGGTTTAGGCTTTTTTTACCTTAGAATTATGATACTTCACCTTAAGCGAAAATACTGTAACAAAACTACTTTTCACAAAATAACTCATTGTATTTAAGTTTTCTTCTTCGTTAGTACCTCTAGATTAGATTTTTGGTCTATTACAAATCTAAAATTACTACTTTCAGTTCTATCAAGTTTAACTTTGCCTGTTGCTTATGAACAAATGCTTTGACATTTCAAAACAGACTTAAAATGGTTTATTAAAATGTACAAGAAAAAATTAATATTTATTCAAGACTGACAATTCTATTTTTTTATTTTTCTAACCGACAAAGACACAACCGGCAAGAAGAAAGAAATATGCAATTTCTTCTTAAAAATTAATAAACAATCTAATTTCCCACCATTTTTAAATGGTTCAATGATCTACCTCAATAATTCTTAGGAAACTGCCTTTTAAGAGGAGAAAAAATTTAATTAAGAATAAGTTAATTCGGCGATGGTGTGCCACTAAATTTCTAATGAATAGTAATCTCTAATGAATTAAAATCAAAACTTGCCCAGAGTAATAACCTATTTTCCAAAATGAAACAAAGTTTAAAACAAATTCTTATTTTAGTACCTTTTAAAAAAATCCATTACAGTTCGTGGTCCGATTGACCAATTAACATTTTTCAATTAAATTCACTAAAGTCATTTGTTGCCGAGAATCAAATAGATTACACCACATTTGAAAAATGGCAAAAAGGAGGGAAAATCCGAGAGGTGGCCAAGGCCGGTCTTGGGTTCGAATCCCGCTCATGACACTGACTTTATCTTTTAAAAAATGTTGAAGTTTATGCACAAAGAACCTAAGTGTCAAATAAACTACAAATAATAACATGAAATATTGTTAGGAAGATAGATTCTACCCGGTGACATACACCACAAGGTCAGATCTCATCACTCTGATTCTGATATAAAAAATAAATTATATTTATCGTTAGTTATTTTCAATTTGGAAGAAGGGGCAAATGAAAGAAAGAGTACTTGTTCAGATATCAGTAAGGATGCAGTTATCGACCAGCAGTATTGCTCACATTAATAATGCGGGAGGTTTAGGAGCTAACAAACAGCTGGGGTCATCACCAGTCATCCGCATGTTTTTACTTCTTTTTTTTTGGTCTTTCATACGTTCATAGCGTCTCAGTCTGCTCTTATATGAAACCAGTCGATATCCTAAAATGCTAGCCTCTCTTTTGTACTTCAGATTGCCAACTGCAGAATAGACACAAAATCCACTCCATTCTCGCTAATAACTTACTTTTACTCTCCAGACCTCACACATTCACCCCAAAAACTCGACTTGTCTCAAGATGCCTAATTCAATCGTTCAGATTATACTGCTTATGATGATTATAATTAGTAAAAACAACTCCACCCACTTAGTTAAAAATAAAAGAAACCTTGCTTCCTATATCCATTTTAAAAATATTATACTCCCTTTAAATTAAAAATCATGTAACATTTCAAACTAACATAATCACAATTAAAAAATAAATAAATTGCAATTTACTGTCCAATGAAAAGCTGGGTGTTGTAAAAAATGCAAAGCAAAAAGTTGAATAATAATTATTCCAAACTTTTCAAAAATATTGGCATCTCTTTCTCTCTCTCCCATTATGTTCAATTCAATGGTAATGAATTCACAGGGTACAAACTATAATCAAAAGCATTCCTAAAATTGTTGATGCTTTCACAGACCAAAACAGCGAGGATGAGGAGGAAATGACAAAATTATATGAACTTGTAATGACCTCGTAGACCTCAACAAAAAAATCTTACGAAGACATGTTTATTTAAAAATAACTGCTTAAAAAGCATAATTTAAAACAAAGCAATTTGTACAGAATCAACATACCCAATGTCTTTTTACAACTTCAATAAAAGGTGTTATTTAACCAGTATTGGCTGCCATGTAATCAACTGGATCGCCAAAAAAAAAAAAAAAAAAAAAAAAAAAAAAAAAAAAAAAAAAAAAAAAAAAAAAAAAAAAAAAAAAAAAAAAAAAAAAAAAAAAAAAAAAAAAAAAAAAAAAAAAAAAAAAAAAAAAAAAAAAAAAAAAAAAAAAAAAAAAAAAAAAAAAAAAAAAAAAAAAAAAAAAAAAAAAAAAAAAAAAAAAAAAAAAAAAAAAAAAAAAAAAAAAAAAAAAAAAAAAAAAAAAAAAAAAAAAAAAAAAAAAAAAAAAAAAAAAAAAAAAAAAAAAAAAAAAAAAAAAAAAAAAAAAAAAAAAAAAAAAAAAAAAAAAAAAAAAAACAACGAAATATGTAGCTAATTCTAAATTACATACTTGTACCAAATAAATGCTTACTTATTTAATAAAAAACAGCATATTTTTGATCAATATGGCATGAACATGGATCATATTGGTTTACTGTTTTGTATTGTTAATATGAATAATACTTGTGGCACCAACAACAGAACAAATCAAAATAAAGCTAATAAATTTATTCAAAATGAAATACTCGAATGTATTAGCCCATTAATAGTACAGTTATGCTCAGATGTAATTTTAAAAGTATCAACTTATATTTTCTTTGGTTTTTTTATTATTTCCAAGTTTTATCCGTCAAACTTTAGTTAAAAAAAGAGGGTTTTATGCTATGGTCAAGTGGTTAGGGCATCAACCTCTGAGTCCGACACCAATTTTGCTACTTCTATTGTAATAAATGATTTAAAAATTAACATACCTTATGTAATATGGGAAACAAAGCCATTTAAAAAACTTTCAACTACCTTTTTTGTCATTACTGCAAGACGCCATTAAATAAATTTAAGGTTTGGCAAAAAAAGTTCATTATAAAATCAGCTTGTTAAATGTTACAGAATTATTATTTAATTTAAGAAAAATAATTAATTATTAACCCACCTATTAATGTAGTATAATCATGAAGAAAACTAAACAAGTGAAGATTCATATTGCCTCAAATACATCAGTTAAAAATTTCCATTTTGTTGGGCTTAATGTTCCTCTACGTATCCAGTGTTTAAAATGTCACATTTTAAGACAGGCTAAAGATGATCCTATCTGTCTGCAGAGAATTTAAACCTTTAGACTAATATTAATTATAGATTTAGGCTATCACTTGTATATTGGTGGAAAAATGGATGTAAATGGACTGGACAGAAAGCAGGAAAGAAAACTTGTTCCATCTATTTTCACACTCCAAATCAAAATGTCAAAAAAAGTGTTATGAATACAGTGATTTGAACATGATCTATACAAAAAATAACAAAAGTTCATAATGAAACCAATGTGCATATTATTTTAAAATAATTTTATTGTATAGTATTTTAATTTTTTATATGCACTTGAGACATTTAAAAAATAACCATGTGGAAGGTTTAGATAGAATTATAAACATAATATGTAACTTGTTCATACTTTTTTATAGTGGTTTTCATTAAATCGACACATATACAAATAATATTCTAATTGAGCTAAGCAATATTTCCAAAACAAAATAATTTGTCTAATGCAATAAATATGATTTAGAAGAACTAAAATAAATTGTAAACCCAATAATTAAGTAACTGCAAACAATAAATTGTAATATATCAATAAAAAATTAATTTGTACAAGTCCTGTGGTCACATGTGCCCCAAAAATTAAATAAAATTCGATTAAATGTTTTAAATGACAAATTATCCTAGTTGAGATTGATTCAATATCTTTACTATATCAATTAGTTAAATTCAATTAAATTTCTCTTCTCTCATATGTTCAGGAATATTTGTGACAGACTAAAAAGAAAACACTCACTCTCACTCACACACCTGTTTATTTTAGCACGTATAATTAATTCTTTCTACCTTAATTAATATTTTTAAATAAGTCTATTATGTGATAATATGGATGTCAAGGGGGAGAGAGATAGAGAATTTTTATCGTTTTTAAATGTATAACAGTTTTAATGTTTTTCAAGTAAAAATGATTTATAATTTCATATTTGTAAATATAAAAAATTTTTTTTAGACAAGTAGAAAAGGCTTTTCCAACCTAAAATACACATACACACAAAAAAAGCAACTATCTCTTGTAATTTTCTTTTCAATATCGAGAAAACATTGTTAATAATACATAAAAATATTAGTGCAAAGGGTCTCTGTACAAATTTGCAACACAAAAGAAGTGTGCTCAAAATAAAAATGGAATTACACCAATTTGTCACACAATTTCTTAAATTAAATCTTGGATATAAATTAGTATTTAAATGCCATGTGCTCCTATTTACAAAAAATTGCTCCTTCTTGGTCTGGAAAAGGCCTAGTTTAAACGGGATCCATCCTAAGACCTAAATAATAGTAAGTAAAACAAAAATTAATATCTATAAAAGATTTAAAACCTTGAAAGAGTGTTGAAAAAAATCTTAATCCACTAATAAAAGAGAACTAATTATTTGTCTCATCAAGCATTTTAATTTGGCAAAATAATTAAATTTGGTTTGTTTGAAATGTAAAAAAACTAATAATTTGACACATGCATTTTTAAATAAAAAGTGGGGGAAAAAGAGAGAAAAAAAGCTATTTTGAACTTACTTGTTACATTAGTATCGATTATTCCAAGACGATCCTCCTCCATACCCTCCTCCTAGAAACATGTTTTCTTATCATATTGTCTAATTTTAAAATTGAGTTTCAGATATTTTAATAGTATTGCTAAAAGCTTATAAATATGGTATGATGTATAAAAATTTATTTTAGTACAAAACTGAACTGTCCCAAATATTAAGGCCACTAAAATGAAATGTAATACGAATGTAAGAAACTTTTTTTTAAAAATTTAGATTAAAAACTATTAGCATTATAAATTTTCTGTACATAAACAACTAGACTATTTTCTAAACTTTTAACTTTTTTCTGTATTAAGGACTATGTGAAAAATTAATGTAGTCCAAAAAAAAATAAAAAAATAGGAATATTAAAATTTACATTATTATTATGCATTTGCTTAAAAGCATAATTAATAAAAATAAACAATTAATTTAGTTGTGAATGCTTCATATTTTTTAGGGTTACAACATAAGTGGTGGTTTTGAGAGAAGCATTTAACGTGCTGATTTTTTTCACAGCTGACATTTTCGTAGCCTGGTTGGTTTCACCATTCTACCAGATATATAGCTAATCAGCCTCATTCATGTCGTTTTCCAATATTGTAAATGATTTTAATTACTTATAATTTTTTAATCTATATATATTACGCAGGGCGGGTGACCAGGACCCGAGGGGTTAAAAGCCTAGGTAGGCCCGTACCTCATTTTTTAATCTAACAACTTGGTTGAGATGAAAGAGCAAATGTCACAAGCGGGATTCGAACCCACGACCTTTGGCTCAAAATGCTGCTGCTACACTTGTTTTTTCGTCTCAATCAAGATCTTAGATTTAAAAAAGTATAATTAGTTAAAACAATTATTATGATCACTAAATGCATATATGGTTTTCCATTATAGTGAAATATATTATTATTATTTATTAGTGCAATGGACGAGGAGTAGTAGTAAGTATTTCTGGTGTCCCTGCTGTATTACTGATGGAAAAGAAGAACGAAAAATAGGAGGATTTTCCTAATTGTGTTAAAAAACAGAAAAAAAGGACACTTCAATAATTTGCCCCCCCCCCCTTATGTCCCATAGATATGGAAGCTTCTCTATTTCACTAATTTATTTCTCCATGTCAATTTTTTGCTTAAAAAAAAAAAAAGTTGATAACCGTTTTGAAAACAGCTACCTGTGGCTCTACTAATGTAATGCTACATAACCATTCCACAATAGGCGTTTTCAAAACCAACTCCTTGGGGTCATCTATTTGACCCACCGACTCTGTTTCAAAACTGCCATATGGCGTCTACGGCACCTTCACCCACTCTCAATAAATGAATGACCCATCAACTCAATTTTCCTCTCAGTAAATGCTTCGGGTCAAAACTGCTCCTTGTGTCAGCACTTACTGATAAATTACAAAACTATATAACAAGAATATTCTCTCCAGTCATTGTGTAAACGTATATGCTATAATAAAGCATTGATCCATGCTATTTGATCGTGATAACGTATAACTGCAAGCTGGAAAAATTTCCTGTAGTTGGTTGTACAATGTAAAATATAACCCACCAATTATCACATTTTTAATTTTACACAAAAACATTCAATTTTCATTAGATAATAATAAAGCTCATTTCAACAGCATGGCAATGTATATAAGTGCATATTCTTCATTACATACCATAAGGTGCAGTTCTTTGGCTAGTGTTGTAGTTGTTGCGCATTGGTCCACCTCCATAACCCTGTTGATATCCTCCATTCCAGCCAGAATTTCCACCACCACCTAGAAAAATAAAATTGGAATAATTTATTTATAATATTGTTAGTCAAAGTGTATGATTAAATAAATGTATTACCATAAGACTGATCTTGCCAACCTTGTCCCCCACTACTTTGTGACCAACCATTTCCTGGAGCATCCCATGGCCCGTTAGAACTTCCATATCCATTGGTGCCGCCCCAACTGTTTCCGCCAGCATTACCATTCCAGTTAGAACCTGACTGTCCTCGACCACCACCACCACCACCACCTCCTCCTCGCCCTCCTGATAATCCCCTCGGTCCACGACCACTTCCACTATTGTTATCTTTAACAACAGCTTTTTTAACAGTCACACCTTTTCCGTTTATCGAATGATCTTTCCTCACTGCAACGATTCAAGCCATAAAATTTCTATAAATTGTTTACATTTTAATTTGAAAACTTACATAAAGCTTTGTCTACAGGATCATAATCATCAAATTCGATGAAAGCGAACCCTTTCCTATTCCCTGTAGCTTTATCCATAACAATATTAATACCGACAATCGTTCCAAATGTACCAAAATATTCTCTTAAATCTGCCTCAGACTGTTCTTTCAATCCACCGACAAACATCTTTTTAACATTGACATTGGCAGTGGAACCTGAACTTTCCTGTAAAGTCACATAAATTTAAATTTATAACAACGTCAGAAAATAAAAAATATATATACAAAATTCCTTACATCTCTAGGGACAGCTCGTTTAGAATCAACCTGCCTCCCGTCAATCTTATGCGGCCTATTTTTCATAGCTTCGTCAACCATGCTAGACATTGCATAAGTCACAAAACCAAAGCCCCTCGACCTGAAAACACCAAAATTATTAAATTGTGTACAGTATACAAAAAACAACTATGCAAAACAGGAAAACTTACTTTTGGGTTTGTGGGTGCTTCATGACAACTACATCTACAATCTCACCCCATTGTTCATAAAACGATTTCAGAGACTGATCTGTCGTTCTGTAGTCCAAGCCTCCAATAAACAATTTTCTGAATTGTTCACCTTCTGGGTTATTGTCCTGGAAAATAAACTATTTCCATTACAAACATGCTCAATGCAACACATTAAAAAATTTTGTTATGCAAAAACAAAAACTAAGGTAAAATTTAAGAATAATAATAAAGACTAAATTCCTCTAATAAACCATTTTAAAAACAAAGCTTCAATTTCTGCTAGGGTTGAACCATTGCTTCTGACATCCAATCACAACAGGAAATATATTCTCAAAAGCCCTGGTTTTTCAGATATTAAACTATTATTCACAGAGAACAAAATTAACTTACTTTGCTGTTAGATTGCCAGTTTCTAAAGGTAAAATGCAATTTATCACAATTTGTAACTTGCTACGGTCAAAAGTTCCCACCAAATCTTAAGAGTTTAAATTAGAATGATGTATTTAAAAAATAATAATTATTTTTTTTGCTTGACCATTGGTAAAAATTTATTTTTGAAACCAATAAATTTGGTTAATATAGTTGTACTTTTAAACAAAAATGTTTTTCACATCGAGAAAGGCGACACCCGTATGGTCTAATTTCCTCTTGTTCGAAGGCAATGCTCTCAACTGGTACTATTTTGTTAGTTTCTTAACCAAGGCCAAAGTCTGTTGAACAGATAGCTCATTCCAATTCTCAGAGATGGAATGACCAGAGAAATTAAAAGGGGAAAACTGAAAGGAGTCACACGTCACTCCATGAATTGTCATTTCACAAGAGAGCCATGTGTGAAACTCCTTCAACCTGATGATGAGCGTTTAATGCTCAAAAATCGAAATCCGGTCGTTGTAAGCAACAAATTGTGAGTAGAACCATCATTTACAAAAAGTGAGTCTACATATTCATTCCACCTTCAACTCTAATTGTAGTTATACCAATGGATTTTTAATTACTTTTTGAAATAAAATACATTATATTACATTGATCAAATCTAATTAATCATTGCTTTATCGATTGTCCTAAGTAGTCATCAACAGCAGAACAATAGTATCACATCTTGCTAAAACAAAACCAAATTCTGATTATGAATAATCAGTCATTAAATTTTTTTTAAATAAAGTTTATTGTTTTTATTATTTTTATTTGTTGTTTTAACAAAATATTTGTTCTTCCAGTTTAGCAACAAAAATGTATCTTAAGGTGGGTTTCCACTGTGCAACTAAACATTAGAATTATTTGCGAAGCGCCATCTTGGGTTAACCATTTCCACGAGGCGAAACAAAGTGAGCCACCAGTGGCGCGAGACAAGCATTTAAAACTACACAAACTGCTACATCAGCATTTGTTATCATGGCAATAATTTATGTAAAGAAGAAAACGCTGTTGGTGGATCAAAGTCGGCAAACCACATTAGTTTTCATTTTCACTTTAAGAGTACTGACAATTTGATGGTAATTTCCTTCCACACATCCTCATCCTCTCTCTTGTTCTGATCAGTTTTATCTTTACCATCTCACAAAAATTGGTACCTGTGATACATTCAGATAAGTCCTGGTTCATTCTCATACTCGTGATAAGTACATTTACATATTACAAAGTTTTGACTTATTGAATAAAATGGATCTATTTTAATTTCCTAAATTTTCAAAGTGAATATCCATTCTCTTGACATTTGTAGTTATGGAAAAGCTGTAAAAAAACTAAGATTCCTTTATGTACAATTTCAAATTTAAGGTATAATTTTAGTGGTCAAAAGACTGATACAAATAATGGTGCTAAACTAAGCGTGTGTACATGATAAATAGAAAAATTATTTTGAAAATTTATTTTCCTTTTAACAAAAGTATTTTTCTTAAATTTTTAAATCTTGAATTCTTCATCATACCCTCTAAACTGTGAAGTAGGTTTAGAAAAACATTTTCTTTATTGTGAGTCCACATGAGATGACATGTTTCATGAGTGATTTTTGCACAGTGAAAACCCAGCTTTCGGATGGAATGGTTTATGTTCCAATGTTACATGGCTTGTAATTCATTTTTAAATTACTATATATAATAAATGGCTGGAAAGCATGGTTCTACTCACAAACTGGTTTGGATCTCTTTTTCAAACATGACATACTTATCAACAGACTATGCAAGTAATCATTGAGGTTTTCCAAGCATATTACAAAGTTTTGACTTATTGAATAAAATGGATCTATTTTAATTTCCTAAATTTTCAAAGTGAATATCTATTCTCGTGACATTGCAGAGACATCGGACCAACATGGTGCTTCAAGAGAACCAGCAAGACTTTTACGAGGGAAGGATCAAATTTTGAATAAATTTTAATATTGCTGAATGAACTCAGTAAGGAAGAAGCTGGTTTTGGCGATATTTTTGATGATGAAGAGACCAAACCAACTATACCTACCTGCCTTTGCTTATGCGACATTTGTGGTTATGGAAAAGCTGTAAAAAAACTAAGATTCCTTTATGTACAATTTCAAATTTAAGGTATAATTTTAGTGGTCAAAAGACTGATACAAATAATGGTGCTAAACTAAGCGTATGTACATGATAAATAGAAAAATTATTTTGAAAATTTATTTTCCTCTTAACAAAAGTATTTTTCTTAAATTTTTAAATCTTGAATTCTTCATCATACCTTCTAAACTGTGATGTAGGTTTAGAAAAACATTTTCTTTATTGTGCCAATGTTTTGACTTTATTTAGATCATCTTCAGGGTTCAAAGTGTGTGAATAAAGTTCGAAACATTGGCACAATAAAGAAAATTAATCCATATTTGTTTAGTAGTCATAATTGACCATATTAATTATCCCAATTACTTATTCTTTTCATTTAAGGTTTTTGGCTGAGATGAAAACTTAGTGTCACGAACGGGATTTGAACCCTTTGAAAGATGGCAAATTCGACCGGTTGTAGGTTGAGATGGGAAGTTGGTGTCCGAGGGGATTAAGTCATAATAGCTAAAGTAGTTAGAGCAACGGCGTATTCAGCTGAAAGTCGTGGGTTCGAATCCCACTCGTGACACTAAGTTTTCATCTCAGCCAAAAACCTTAGATGAAAAGAATAATTAATAGGAATAAATAAAATGTTTTTCTAAACCTACATCACACTAGACTGCATCTCATGATCTCCAAATAATCGTAAAAGTAAATTACACATAAAACTGAAAAAGGCTAGGAAACAAAAACCGGTAATGGGTCTGTCAGAACAAACGTCCGAAGTATGAAGGAACAGTATGGGTTAAGCTTTTTGATCGCTACTTTTTTACTACCCTTACTAACTCTTAAAAAATTAGTCCAAGAAAGATTCAGGGAAGAGAGGAAAGCTAGTGGTAAAAAAAGGTGGTTCGAGGCAAACTCCAACAATTGAGGGTAGATTCTAGGCCAGAATTTTTAGAAACTCAAGAAAAGGGGACAGTGAGAGGTTTCGGAGAGGAGGCAGATTTGAGAGGAAAAGAGTTCTGTCTGGCCATCCCTCGGATATAAAAGTAGAAAAGGCCTAAAGTAATCCGAGATTCATTCATGGTGTTGGACATTTTGGATTTTTTCTACAGCAGCCCTTGTTCGTTTTGGACAAGGACACCAGCGTGTAGACATTACACACCTACGGCTAAGGTTGTAGGTTCGAATCCCGCTCGTGACACTAACTTTTTCATCTCAACCAAGACCTTAGATTAAAAGTATAATTAATTAAAATGCTTAATACGGTCAATTATGACTGCTAAACATATATGGATTATTTTAAAGTTGAAATAAAACCGTTTGTAATGTATTTGTTTGTGTCTTTACAATAAGAGCGATCGAGTTACTTTCATAACGCGAGCGGAAAATAAGTAAAAGCGGTTCCAACTAACAACAACTAGACATGTGGCGGTCCGCCTTGTAAAATAACAATTAAATGTTTTGATTTTTAATTAAAAAAGGCAAGAAATTAATTAAATCTTTAGAAAAAAATCTAAATACGTATTATTGACGGAATACGTATTAAAATTTTAAATGTGATGATGGAAAGTGGGACCGACGCTATCCGTTCCCATGTTGGTTTTAACCTCCAGCCGGTAAAAGCGCGATGCCTCACAAAAATAAATTACTCTTTAATTTATTTACTCACATTTTGCGATTTGCCCATTCTGTCAATGTTCTGGAGTCGAAACGAAGTAAACGGAAGAAAAACGGACGAGGAGAGATCGAAATTGTGCGTCGGCCGGACAAACGAGAAAAAAAACACCAGCACGAAATTCAACTAGAATGGCGACTGTCGCCGGTCTGCGTCGGGAATTCCTTTGTGGATTGTGCACCGTGAGGGCGAGTCGCGGCGAGCGGTTCCGAGGGCGGCGAGCGGCCGTTGCAGTGTTGCCGAGGCGCCGAGGACCAGTCCGATTCGAAATCCCCTGCGCCCTCGACTACGACGACTTTCCCATCCGTTAAATTTGTCGAAGAATTCGTTTCTAACAAAAGAGAATAATACTATAATTAACAGAACGCATACTGTTGCTGAAATTAAAACGGGTTTAATCTTAAATAAATTATACCCAAATTAATTTTTAGCCTTGACGAATGTGATTCTGAACAAGAGGACCAATATGAATGTAGAATGTAGAAGGCCGAACCTCTAAAAACTAAACTGGTCAAAAAAAGAAAAAACTTGATTATTTAAGCAGCGTAAAGACTTCTTAAGAAGATTTGGTTTTTAAACCCTGGCCGGTGGGCTTTCAAACTGAAAATATTAAAAAGCTCGCTTTTTTCCGTCACGCAGAAAAAGTTTGCTCGAATGAATGTAGAGTTCTTGGCTCTATATAGAGAGCGTATAGGAATGCCATTCGATTTGGAAATTGTGCTTGAGCAGTGATTATCTGGGTCCTCCGTGTGTTGGAGGAAACAGGGTTGTTTTAACAATATAATAATAATATATTATTATTTTTATGTAATGTCTTGGTTGAGATGAAAAAGCTAGCAGGATTCGAACCCACGACCTTCGGCTTCGAATCTCGACGACGCTAGCTTTTTCATCTCAGCCAAGACCTTACATAAAAAGAATAATTAATTGAAATAAGTAATTTGGTCAATTAGACCACTCAAAATAAATGGATTAATAAATAACAATACATTTTACAGAATTAATCAATTAATTAAAATAAAAGTGTTTATATATAGAATATTATTCACTTTATGAAAAATATAAAGTATATAAAATATAACAATATAAACATAGAACAGAGAAAACAAATAAAAAATTACTTAAGTATTAAACAATATAAGTAAGAAAATAGTTTAAAAGAATGCTTCATATAAACATACCTAAAAAACATTACATTTTTCATTATTAAATTTAAAAATTTTAAATTGTCATTGAAAATTAATATAAAATATATTAAACTATTATATCAATGATATTAGAAAACAATTATATAAAAATACATTGATTAAGTAAGTAAAAATAAGTGTATTTTGTGCATACTTGTTTTAATTATATTCAGTTAAAAATTCTAATTAGAAATAATATAAACTAAAAATTCTCACGGCTCTCAACATGACAGACAAGAATGGCACAATTACACAGAAGACAAACACTTAGTGAGTAGAAATACTTTTATTGAATATAAAAAAATATACTTTGCATTGTATAAATTCACTTTTCCACATCCAAAATGTAATTGTAATATATAAACAATGTTTGTAAATCCCAGGCCCTGAAGATGATCTCAATAAAGAAAATGTTTTTCTGAAACCTACATCACACCAGACCGCATCTCACGATTTCTAAATAAATATCGATTAACGATCACTAATCACCACACGTTTTTCTAAAACCTATGTCACACCAGACGATATCTCACGACTTCCAAATAATCATTACGTAACAGTCACTAAACACTGCACATTGTAAATTGATATAACATATTTTAAAATATTAAATAAATAATATTAGAAAACAATTATTAAAAATATATTGTTCAAGTAAGTAAAAATAAGTGCATTTTGTGCATACTTTGTGTAATTGTATTCAGTTAAAAATTTTAATTAGAAATAATATAAAGTAAAATATGGAAATATGCATTATACATACTTTTCATATGAATTGTTACTATCTAATACAGTTAGTTTTATGTATCTAACATGTGAATGTATTTATTGGCATGAATGTGTAGTGGGAGGGGGTGAAGGCAGAATATCCTCAATTAGATTTGTAATGCAAGGGTGTCTCTCTAATTAATGCATTAACTTCACTAGCACATTCTATGCGCCAAATGTAAGAAAAAAACACCAAATTAAATTGAAAGTTTTAAAAATGAAATAAAATAAAACCTTTCTAGAACTTTCAATTTAATTTTTAATTTTCAAGAAACATTCAATAAACACCAAAAAACATATAAAAAAGAGACAATAGCCAGTAAACAACCAAAGTACATTGATTTTTTTTGTGTGCTTTTTTATTAGGTCTAAGTTGGGTTTTACAACTTCTGTATTGTTGTTCTTTTGTTCTCTTTTGACTGTGCTTAGTGGTGGATATTTTTTTCCAAATTTGGTTATTTGCTATGTTTACTGTTTCTGCTTTATGTGTCTCGTTTCATTTTTCTTTCTTTTTGTGCTTTATTATTAAGTAAAAGTTGGGATATAAATTTTCTCCAGGACAACTTTTTCAAAAATAGTAGTAGTTCCAGAGCTATGAGTAGATTTATGATGAAAATCGAAGATAGTTAAAAAAAAGCTGAATATTTGCGAAAGGGTTGATAATCGGACCATATTTCATACATACTTTTTGTTTGCTGTAAGTTGTAGAAGTACCTGATCCACTTTGTCGTACAAGTAGTGAATCACCCTGTATAGTGGAAAACAGTGTTGAAAAAGTTTGAATTACTGATTTCTAAAAGTTGTTCAATGTTTTTGTTTTTGCAAATACATAGTTCATTTATTTTGAAAAATACCCTGCTCATCCTTGCCGATTTGACCCGTTTGATGCTTTAAACATTTGTTTGCACTTTCAAACACATTGAAGATGGCAATAAGCTGAAACGTGTCTGACAAATTGACTCGGCGTCACAATCAGAAATGACCAAACTACTGATAAATTAAATGTATAATTAATTATGGTCATCAGATTGTGAGACAATCCCATAAATACAGCAATTAATATAGTGAAATGCCCAATTACTTCTGTCAAAATGAAATGATTGGGAACGGGCAAGGTACAGGTAAATTAACCCATAGACAAATTGTAAATTTTTTTTCTTAAAAAAAATAAAAAAATACTAAATCTTTAAAAACCTGGTAAATTTAAAATTAGTAAAAAAAACTAAATTTCCAACCTCTTTGAAAAAATTCTCTCTAGAGCTTGTCAAATTTCATAAAAAAACTTCATTTATAAAGTTTTGCACTGGAATAGAATTTTCTTTAGTTACATTGAACCGAAATGCTGAAATTTTATGCTAAATGAGAAAAAAAGTGGTGGTGTGAAAAAAAGGGTAATTGGGTTAATCTAATAACTATTTCCTAACATAAACTTAATGAAAAGCACAAAGAAAATGAAATAAAACACACAAAGAGACAATGGCTAACAACCAAAGCAGAAAAACAAAATATCTACACTAAACAGGGACTGCAGAAATTGTAAAACCAACTTTAACCAATAAAAAAGCACAAAAAAATAGAAAAATTCTACATAATATGGTTGTTCACGATATTTATTGTCTCTCTTTTGTTTCATTTTTATATAGATTTTTTTAAAATTAAAAATTAAAAAATTCAAGTATAAGCAGGTGATGCATTGTTTTTCCTATAGTACGCTGAAAAATCAACTTTGAACACTTTCTGGGGGTGCTTTCTAGAACTCAGGGTATACTAATGTTCTTTGACAGGCATTACTTTACTCATATTTTATTAATTTGGTGTCGAGAGTAATGATAGAATAAGACTTATGTGTTTATGGATGTAGTCCAAATATTGGTTATTTCTATGTAAAGAGTGATTCTTACTGAAGGAAAATTATATGTACCATATATATTATGTAGAGGAAGCCAGTTATGCCTTGAAAGTATAAAAACTAGCATGTGTTCTTTTCATTCATCAAAAACCCAAACATTCTGAAATTATACTAATAATTTTAAATATGCTTGCTTTGTATATGTGGAGAGATTTACCATTCAGAACTTAACATAAAAAAAATATTACAAAATTAAACAAAAATTTAAAATTATTTATTCCAAATGTACAAGATAAACAATGTTTGCACTCATTCACAATAAACAATTACAAAAATATGAAAAACCATAATATGGCAGATATGATATTGTTTGTCAACAAAATCAAAAGTGGTGTACTTTTTGATTGAAATTGTTGTATTACATAATCAAGCCACTTAGATATTGGTCACTTAAATATTAGGTAAACTTTCAATACAAATGGAAATATACAGTTTTTCCAGTGTAAAACGTCTAAGACAATTAATTAAATCACAAGGTTGTATTAATGGCCACATTAATAAACCACGGTCATTTGTGTCTACTCACATATTTTATTTTAAATGAAAATATACTTTACTCTGTCAACTAACTCTGCATAAAATAGAGTTTTCAAAAAAGAAGGAGAACTTACAAAATATATAATTCTCACTTTATTTTCCAGTTATTTTTCTCAGTTAACAAAAAATTTATAAGTACTGCTTTTTCAAATCCTTACAAATTAAACTGACTCCCTTTTCTATTAAGAATGAACAATGGGAAATCAATAAAAAGCTTTACAAATTTTATCATAACTTTAAACACAAGAAAAGTAGATACTATCAAACTACAATCAATAATACAAATATTCTAAGCTTGTATATCAATTGATAAAAATAAAACATTAGTATCAAGAGTGCACATTTCAAAATATGCTCATTTAGGAAAAAATCTTATAAATTAAAATAGCTATATTTTAATAGCTCTACATTATATTCAAAATGCCAAATAAAGATGTCTTCTTACCATTAAGCATATTGGAATACTTATATATATATAAGTTCAAAAAGTTTTCAAAAAGACCTAACGACTATAAAATAAAAAGAAGGATTAAAAACGCTAGCAACATATCTATTTTAAGAAAAAGACAATCATCAATTTTTCGAAAAACCTGCAGTAATTATAAATTGTGCTATTCTAAGATTCCACCTGCATTTTTGAAAATGTTAAAATGCAAAAAAGGTAGGGGAATTTTTACATTATCACAGCATCTGTTCTACAAAGTGGAATAGTCGAAATGAGGCATTTCGAGGGGGGCAAGGTCTGGTATTGCTTCTGTTTCATACAGTTTCAGCCTAGTCTTGAGACTCTCAACTTCACGACGGCTGGCATCGAGCTGGCTAATGAGATCATTGATAAGCAAACGAAGTTGGGCATTGACGGTCTTGAGCTCCTCCATCACCATCTTTTCATCCTTGGGGTGTTTCATGAAGCTTGTTGACGATTCTTGAACTTTGTCTTCGCCATCATCGCTATCTGCCTTTGGGCGGAGCATCCCTAAAAGCGAGTCCGCTTCTTCAATCGTTCTGAAATTTAATTGATACTTGTCAATCTAGAATTCCCTTTTAACATCGGGGTACTCACTTTAAGATCGCCATCTGCAATTCCTGGTCTTTCTGCTCGATTACTGACAAACTGCGTTTCTCCATCCTTTTACGTTTTTTTAATTCTAAAAGCTCTCGCTGAATTTCTTGCCTGAGTTTTTTTGCACTGAAATAATCGTATCTAGTTTTTATTTTTGTACTTTTACAATAAACCACTATGTATTTACATACATTAATAAAAAATGAGTGCAAAAGTACACTCAATGCCATAAAATGTAATTGGTGATGATTATATTATTATATTATACTGATTTCTATCAAGAAATGGGTTTTGGCACAGCAGGCAAATTTGTGTTATTTACAACATTTATTTATGTGGGAAACGACCGACTGGTTAAAACATTTCAATAAAAATGTGAATAGGTGACTGAGTTTTAAGAAATAATTCTAAACATGCCAATATCCATGATCTATGTTTCAACGTAAATTATTATTTGTGCTAGTTTTATTCCATCCAAACAATTAAAAACCTATGGGTAAACAAACTAAAACAAACATGTCCCTGATTTAAAAAGAAATTTCCTCAAGGTTGTGGGGTGATTTACCTGTACCTTGGCCATTTCCAATTATTTCGGTCTGTCAGATTAAGCATTTCACCATACTAATTGTTATATTTATCTTACTACCTGATGGAACACACTAAATTATACATTTAATTCTTTGGTAGTTTGGTCATTTCTGATCATGACGTCGAGTTGATTTGCCAGACACGTTTCAGCTATTTGCCGTCTTCAGTATTTGCCATCTTCAGTGTGTCTGAAGATGGCAAAGAAATGTTTAAATTCATCTAACATTTCAAACTGGCAAAGATGAGCAGATCAATTTAGCATATCTATGTTTTGAAGTTTTGTCAAATAACATGAACTACAAACAAAAATAAAACAACTTCATACAAAAACAAAAATGTCTATTAAAAAAATCTATTCATAGCTCTGGAACTATTCATTTTTTGAGGGGAAAAATTGAAAAGACCGTTAAATTTCCTTTAAGAAGACCTTTCTATAACTTTCAATTTAATTTTTAATTTTAAAGAAAAATTCAATGTAAAAATCAAACAAAATACATAAAAAAGAGACAATAAACTTAGTGTGAACAACCAAATTACATTGAATTTTTCTTATTTTGTGTTTTTTCATTAGGTTAAAGTTGGGATTTAGATCTGTACTGTTGTTCTTTTGTTTTCTTTGACTCTGTTTAGTACAGATATTTTGTCTAAAATTGATTGTTTGCTATGCCTATTGTCATTTGTCTTGTTTAATTTTTCTTTCCCTTTGAGCCTTTTTCTTGAGTTAAAATTGGGAAATAAATTTTGTCCAGGACAAAAATTTTAATTACTACATAAATCCCCCTTTTTCACTGTCACAACTTTTTTTCATTTAGCGTAAAATTTCAGTGTTTTGGTTTGTTGTAATTTTTTTTTTAAACCAAAAATTAAATTTAAGTTCTACAATAAGGGGTGCCTTCTTGAAAGAAAGTTAACGTTCTTTTCATTTCTTTTTAATTTTTATTTTTTTATTTCCCGAAAAATGAATAATTCAAGAAATCATAGTTGAAAAAAAAGGAAAAAAGTTGAATATCATCGAAAGGGTTGAGGAATCGACCACAGTTCATACAAACTTTTCTGTTGCATTTGAGGCATAGAAGCACCTGATGAACTTTGTTGCAAGAGTTGTTTGTTGTTTGTTGCAAGGCGAATCACCCTGTATAATTGTTCATTTAAATATCATATAGACAAATCATGATTGTTTGTACAAGCTGATACATACGTTTAAAAGTAAATAATTTTAATTGAATTGTCCGTAATCTAAAGTTCCCGAGTAAGGTTTATCAATGAGCAGCGCTCATCAACAAACTATATTAAAAGTCAGTGTCTCTTTGTAACTTTAATACATCACATTAAAATTGAAAAATAAATATTATTGAAAAAAAAATAGATATTTTAAAAATGAATTTGTACGCATTTAATGCGGTTCAGTCGTATCGGATGCTTTCAAAAAGTGCTTCAGCGACAGAAAAAATTACTTGATCAAATCAGTTTGCTTGAGGTGGTACTGGTATTGAAGCTGCAAAGATTCCAGGGCCTTAGAGTACTTGGTGAGGTTCATCGCCTGAGAGAGCCATTCGGACGCTTTGACGTGACAAGCGACTGCCGCGTCGTACTGTCTCAACTTCATGTGATTGTCTGCATTTCTTCCGTTTTGGTGTGCCTTAAAAGAGTCAAGTGTCAACTGGCCGCAATAAAGGGAACACAAAGGGGCAATGACAAAAACCAAGAACTCACCAGGTACAGTGGGGAGTTATTATCCATAACATTCTAAAGCATGAAATAATTGTCAACATTTATCGTGGACAAATGTGGAGCAAATGCACGCTCGGTTTCCAGTCCTTTCGTGTTGAAGTGAGCAGACGTCGAATATCGAAGGAATTGCGGACTAAAGGCAAAAAATGCCCGTTTTGACGTTTAGGAGATAATTTGTAGATATCCCAAGGTTATGGGCACTGGAAGGTTACTTATGTTTACAGTGTATATGTAAAGCCGAGGCGGCAACACAACTCCACCCTGTATAACGGCCTCGACATAAAACAAGAAAAAATATATTTTATTTCTCATTTATTAAATAAAAAATAAATAAAATGTCTTTGGCCCACCCAATCGTGAGTACCCTTTAACTTTTAATTGGACAAGTTTTTAAACAAATTCACTATTTAAATCACTTCTGCTGTTTGCATTTAACTATGCTTTTCAACATTTCTTCCCAAAGTTTGTTTTTTCTTTTTCCCCCCACTGGTTTCTATCCTGGAATTTTGGTTTGGAGAAGTGATACCCGGATTAGTCAATTGGATGTTTTATCTTTTCAACGAGACAATTTCCAGTCGTATGCTTTTCCATGTACAAACCAAAAACCTGGCCTTGCTTCTTCAGACTACCACCTCTTTTGAACCACCAAATCCTGAATGGAAAACAGATGAAGATGTATCGGGTTGTCCGGAAAATAATGAGGGTTTCTGTGTTTTCTTTCAACTACCCCTCTGTACAATAAAATGTTTTATGTTTGATGGATTATTCTGTTGTACGAATGTCAGCACTTTTTGATTCTCTCCAAACAAAAATGTTTGTTGACCCAAAGCATTTCGTTACTTGGGAATAATTCAGCCTACATTAAGATAGGACTATTTAGACTATTTTATCTCAACCAAGACCTTACATAAAAAGAATAATTAATTGAAAGAAGAAACTTGGTCAGTTGACCACTAAAACGTAAATGAATGAATATTTAATAAGTAAAAGAAGTTTCACTTCATAAACAGCTCCCCTTGGCCACTTCATAACTCGCTGAGAATCCAATCCTGATTACACGACATTTGAAAATGGCAAAAAAAGGGAAAATTCGAACGGTTGTAGGTTGAGATGGACAGTTGGTGTCCGAGATGATCAAAGTCATGATAGTTCAAGTGGTAGAGCAGCAGCGTATTTAGCCGAAGGTCGTGGGTTTGAATCCCGCTCATGACACTGACTTTTTTATCTCAACCAAGACCTTACATAAAAAGAATAATTAATTGAAAGAAGTAACTTGGTCAATGGACCACTAAAACGTAAATGAATCTATACTAAGATGTTTAAACAAATGGAAAAAACATTAATGAAGTCTGGGGCGATAGCAGTATATGTGAGAGTATGGTGCAGAAATGGTTTAAGAAATTTTGAGAAGAGCCTAAGAGCCTTGAAGACAAAAAATGTCGCAGAAGGATTCCTTCCCTAGATGATGATGTTCTGCGAGCTTTGATCAAGGAAAATCCTAGAACAACTGTTCGAGAATTAGCAGAGAATCTTTCAATTAGCAAATTGACCATCGCTGACCACTTTAAGGCCTTTTGGTTAAAAAGCTCAAAAATTGTGTCTTGCATTCAACAACCGCCAAAAAAATCATCACTATGAAGTTTGGCAACTTCTTTGCCAAAATAGAAACGAATGTTTTCTGATAGAATTATTATTTGTGATGAAAAGTGGATTATCTTCGATAACATCAGACGTTCCGGACAGTTGCTCGACAAGGAGAAGCAGCACCAAATCTTACAAAGCCCTCGACTCATTAAAAAGGTGATGGTGACGCTTTGGTGGGCTTTATTTGGACTGATTTACTACACCTTGAATCCTGACAAAAAGATCAATGTCGAAATGTATTGTTCTCAAATTAAAGCAATGCAAAATAAATTGACATTACTGAAGCCATCTTTGATAAGTCAGAAAAGGCCGATTCTGTTACACGACAAAGCACTGCCACATGAGGTTCTGCCTCATCCTTCCTATTCTCCTGACCTCTCGCCTACTGACTACCATTTTTTCAAACATCTGGACAACATTTTACAACATGAAATACTTTATAGGTCAAAAGTCGTTAGAAAACGCATTTACAGAGTTGTTAATAAAAAAGACTCAAATTTTTATTAAGAGAGTGTAGAGACGTTACCACACACACATTGGGAAAAATGTATTGAGAGTGATGGAGGGTATTTTAATTAATAAAAAAATGTTTAAAATCATTTATTTAATTGTTTTTATTTTATAACCATAAACTTATTGTTTTCCGGACAACCACATAAAAGCTTTATTTTACTATCTCTAGGGATTGAGCTAATAGCCTTGAGTTGGAAATTCACAATGGGATATACACTGAAAAAAAAGTATTTATTTGTTTAATTTAATTAATAAGGTATAAAGATTAATAGTTGACTTAAAACACAAGATTAATAACTTGTTTATATTGTAATTTAAGCTAAAGAAATGTCAAATCTCATTTTATGTAAACAAATTATTTCAGTTTTTATACTCTTGTGTATTTCAACTTTATTTTGAACATATTTGTATTTTGTATAACATGCTTTTATTTAATAGAAATATATTGTACTGCATTTATGCTCTTCATACCATTTTACATGTTTACATGTTTGTGATTTTGGAAGTTTGTGGGAAAAAAAGGATAGAATATAACATATTAAAGCTCAAGGAATATATTTACTAATCTTTTTTAAGCAGGTCGGTCTCATCAAAAAATTGATTGGCTTTTTTAACATGGTAATTTAATTATATTTCTGAATTGAAATATGGTTTTATTGTTTTTGGGCACTAGTTTATACCTTAATAAGAATCACATATGAATAAAAACCTTATGAAACTTGCGTTTTTCCCTTACTTAGCCCACAATTAAATTAAGGGACAGCTTGTCTGAAAGTTAAAGTTACTCACTGTATATGAAAAGAACATTACTTAATTTTAACTTAACTCTTGTTCTGAAAAGAAGAAAAGTTTTCATACATTTTTAAGTTATTTTTGCACTGTTCACAGTTGAATTTAGAATTGAATTGTACAATTTAGTTCACATACATTTTTTTATTGTGTTTTATAGCTTAAGGAAATGCTGAACTCTGGTTGTTCGGACCATACAAACATCCTCATAGCATTCCAAACTTATATGGAGTTGTGCGAAGGTCAGTTATTTTTCGTTTTTAACATAAAAGTAAATTAATAAAACAAATGAAAATATTTCAGTACACAATTTTGAAACAGTAGAACACTGTTTTTCCATGGACATGAACATGATATATTTAAAAGCTGTGGAGGACAAGGAAGAAGAGATTTTTCTTCCTATTTCTATTAAGGAAAATATAACACCATCTTGGATTGAAAAAGTTAGACAAGCCATCTGCCAAAACGAAAATGGAGAAGTACAAAAGCAAGTTTTTAAAATTCTGTTATTGCTTTGCGCATGTTAAACATTTTTTGGTGTCCTAAATGCTTCATGTGTCATTGAAAGTTATAGAAAGAAAAATGCTTAGATACTCTTTAGAAAAATAGTTCTAATAAAAAATTCTACAGATTAAATAAGAAATGATGTATAATAATTAGCTACAAAAGATAAATAATTGTATAGTTAGTTTGAAAAGATCAGATGTGAGGGCTCTAGGAAGAAAACTCAATTCTTCGTCAAGCTTTTGGCTATAATTAAAGCATTCTTCAGGATTTTGAATTAACACTTAACAATTTAAGATTTTAATATTTAAACTGTGGCTTCATATGAACTCAGAATTTGAATGAATAGGAATATAATAAATATACTACTTTTTTTCCGTTTATTTCATGCATGCTTCTCCCAATTTTTTAAATATTTTATAAAACTTTTTAGAAATTTTTAGGTTCAATATTGTGATACGAGATTGTGACACAACATGTGCAATATACAAGATGACTAGTGGACTCAAACCACCCCTATCACCAGAATCTTCGAGAAAAAAGAAAATAGAGGGCGAGAAAAATCAACTTGTACATACCGAAATAAATAAAGTTTTACCTGAACTGTATCAAACAGCTTTGAAACAATTAAATAAATAAGTATACAAATGTATCTGTTTTTTCTTCTTTCTTTTGTTTTACACCTAAGCCATAAATCAACTGTCAAGTTTTGTTCATTGTTTTTCGAAATAGGATTTCATGGGTCTAATTAAGTTCAAAGTTAAATGTGCCTTGGTTAAATAATTTTTTTCTTCAAAACTTTCATTTGAAATTCATAGGTTCAGTTCTTCTAATATAGAATATAGTGGGAAAGAAAAGTAATAGGATTGCACTAACAAATAAAGCAAGTGGGGTGGAGTGCTGTTTCTGACACTTGTTGGCTCACTTACATAACTGGCGTGTAACAAAGCATTAAAATTACCTCCTTGTCACAGGAAATGCAGTATGCACACAAGAAATCCGAAGTCTTAAAATAATTAATGATATTAAACATAAGGTTTTGAAATAAATTATAATGAGGGGCAGAACGAATTCGGGAGTTAGGCTTGATTATTATCATAGGATAGTTCACAAAGTCATCATGCATCATCAGGTAAACAATGTTTTTATTTTATTTTTATAAATATAATGACAGAATGAAAGAAAAAAAGTACGAAATTTGATCAATGCAAAGTGATATTTGTCATAAAAAGATTAATTTTAAAAATAATAGATAGCTGATTGTCAGTGACAACTTCATACAATAATTATATTACAAAATAATAGATGATTGTCAGTGACTTCATACAATTATATTACATATATTATGTATTACATACATTACAGTTTCATTATTTTTTAAAATAATAGGCAAATAAAGAATATGGTCATTTACCAAATTTATTTGATTTTTTGAGACTGGAGACTGTAATACAAATTCTAAGCATATAATACGTAAACTGTTGGAACAGTAATTTTTCCTTAATCAGAGCGTGCAATAACAATTCCAAATAGACTAATAACAATAAAAAAATACTAAAATCATCGTCATTATCAGAAAAGTTGCTCGATGTGTCCCACCTAATTGAAGGGTGCCTTGGCTCTATAAAGAAAGCGCGCAGGAATGCCACCGATTTAAGAATTGTGCTTGAGCATGGCAACGAGAATTTGGGTCCCCTGTCCAGTTTTAGGAGGAAAAAGGGTTTTTATTGCATAAATATGTATTTTATTAGCGTGAATGGGTATTGTGAGAGGACTGGTGGTGGAATATTAAGTACCCCACTGACTTCATGTAGATTAGTATTTAATGAGTAATTAATATGAATGTGCTATAGAATGTAGATGGTCGAAACTCTAAAAACTAAACTGGGCAAAAAAAAAAAAGATTATTTAATTGTAGCTTATGACCAGTTTGGGGTAGTGTTAAAGGAAAATAAAAGAAACATACAGAGAAAAAAAATAATAAAACAAAATTATTCTATCTTCTCTAATGTCAAGCAGGCAGCTCAGAAACAATGAAAGCTAAATGGCAAAGTAATATAATGTTAGTAATATTAAAAATAATAACAAAAGTAATAAAGTAATAAAACTTGTGGTGTAAGATGAACTGGTGAAGGCTGTGGTCTCTCGGCTGGAGAAGTCCAGGGCTCCAGGCAGGACGCCTGGGTTGAAACAACCAAGGCGATGCTCAACTTGCAAGTGGTAAAGGTCCACTGGTTGTTTTGTAGACACTGCTACATGATGATGCAAAGATGCTTTTCTAGCCAAGGCTCAACTCGGAGTGTGTTCTTTTTATCGATGTTGTTGCCGGTGCCTCTCCAGTCCCCATAGGAGTAATCCCCTCAAAGAGTATTACATTGTTTCATAATCCTTGAAGATTTCATAAGAAAAACGATCTCCAAACCCAGCAGGTGTGCTCTCAAACTGAAAATGAAAATATTAAAAACCTCATGACCAACGCCCGTGTAGGTGTTCAGCTTTCAGAGAAAGGTTGTTCGATGTGTGCCACCAAAATGAATGTTGCAATTCCTTGGCTTTATGTAAAGAGTGTGTAGGAATGCCATCCGACATGAGAATTGTGCTTGAGCAGCGAGATCTGGGTCGTCTGTTCTGCCTTTTAGAGGAAACAGGGTTGTTTTATCATATATAGCACCAGTATTTTTATGCCTTCTAGTGTGTAGAGAGTGAATGTATTTATTAGCATGAATGAGAAGTGATAGGTCGAAGGCGGATATTGTTAACCCATTTAGGTTAGTTATATAATAGGTGTAACGGGTGGTGAAGGAATATTGAGTACTCCACAGACCAAACAGAGTCGATGGTATGTAAAATAAGAAGAAAGTATTTCAGAATGGGTGAGAGAGTGAATGGGTTTGGTTTTAAGAACTGATTGCGTAGGGGGCTGAAATGACCTCCATGGAAAAGTAATTTTTTGCTTGGGTGGCTGGACAGATCTGACCCCTAACTGCCAACACCTGTGGTGGGTGATTCTTAAGGACTGCCATATTGTAAATTACAAAAGCTGGAATTGCCAGTGGACTGCAAGAAATGATAGGCTCAATTATGTACACATATATGCAGATATATATCACTAATCAGAAATGGCTACCTTTTGACTGAATTAAATGTTATTACAATTCCAATCATCCTGATCCCCCGATGTTCCTATTCTCACAGGTTTTGTTGAACGATTCTGTGCTAATATTTTGCCATATTCAAAAGTAAGTCTATACAAAAAAAAACAGTGAAAACAGACCAGGGTCACGGGGGAAATTAACTCATAGACGTCATCACAATTTTCAAAATTATTATTTTTATTTTCAATTTATAGAATCCAGTTACAGGCTTGTTCCCCGCAAGCCCTGATAACAATCATGCCTGGGTGAGAGACAATGTATACACGATCCTTGCTGTATGGGGTCTGTCAATGGCATACAAAAAGATGGCCGATATGGATGAGGATCGGGCAAAGACATACGAGCTCGAACAGGTAAGTTTGAAACAATCGGTTAATAATTATCATTCTTTCTTCTTAATGTTGTAGAGTTGTGTGAAACTCATGAGGGGCCTACTGATGGCGATGATGCAGCAGAAAGCAAAAGTGGAGAAATTCAAACTATCCCAGAACCCTATTGATGCGTTACATGCCAAATATAGCTCCTCAACAGGCCAGACAGTAATCGGTGATACGGAATGGGGCCACCTTCAAATTGATGCAATTTCTTTATACCTACTGATACTTTCACAAATGACAGCCGCTGGTATTAAAACAATTGTATGTCACATGGAAATATATTAATTTTGTTTTTATGCTTTAGGGTTGCAAATTGTGTTTACTTTGGATGAAGTTGCTTTTATTCAAAATTTAGTTTTTTATATTGAATCTGCTTATTGCATCCCTGTGAGTACAATACTTTTATTTATAGAAATGATGAATGGTGGAGAGAGTGCGGTGTAATAGTTAAATAGTTCCTACTCACAGTACGTTTTAAATTTGAATTGAAATTATATTTTGTTTCTTTTAGATGGTCCTTAAGTTCCGAAAATTTGTTCGATTTAGGCAAGTGTTCCTTTACTCTTGTTTTTATTTCTCTACCGCTTTGTCCTATATATTTAATATCACAACCATTACTGTTATGTTGTAAGTTGGTAAACCCCGCTTTTTGACAAGTTGTCAACCTTGTCTTTATGTTTTGAGAGGATTTTTTTAAAGTGAACCTGTACTTCTAAAAGCTATTCTAAAACCTTGTTTAAAAATTTTACTAACTTTTTCTGATAATTCACCAATGTATGGCAAACAACGGAAACATAATGATTCATTTATGATGGGGTAACTGAGTCCTATTGTCGATTCTTTTAAAATTAATTTTTTTATTCTTTTAACTAGCAACCTATCAATAAATATTTCTAGATACCCGCTGCTTTTTTTTTTGCTAAGGTTTTAATAGTTTCTAATGCTTTTTTATAGTTAGCAGGTGATAATGGAAGTTTTAACATACAGACTATGAGCCAAATAAAACCAAAATAAAATTTTGGGACCATGGGTGGAAAGAATCCGCTGGAATCATAGTGACTGTAGTTGTGGGTTTTCTATATATATCTATTTCTATTAGGTTGTTTATTATGGACAATTTTAGGTATAAAAAGTTCAAACTACCATCTTTGTTAATTTCCAATGTAAAATTTATATTACGGTGTAGAGAATTAATTAGTTGGAGGAATTCTTTGAGATTCTTTGATGCTCTAATTTTCCTGACCGTATGCATAAAATATCATAACGTTTCCAAAAATGAACAGATTTAATTAATTTGTTGTTTGATTTGAAAAACTTAACTGCACACTTACTGTGAGTAGGAACTATCTTTTTAAAAAGGATACTTTTATTTTGTACACTATTATAAATAAAAGGATTTAAAAAAAAAAAGAAAAGAAAAATAAATAATTTAATAATTTGTATTTAGTGTGTTTATCTGTGGGGAAACAACTGATGAAAATGCAATTTTTTTGCGTATGTTCACTGTGAATAATGACTTAATTCTTACCAGTATTATCTATATGATTAACAATAATATATTGTTTGCCTTTGGAAATATCCATGTAGTAATTTAAATAATATATTGTGAAGGCTTTCTTGTTAACCAGCGTTAACCATTTGTTTGCGGTTTGATATGAAGGTTGAACTATGGTTAAAAGCGTCATAAGAATTATCTTTTAATGGAATATTATGTTTTTATTAAGCTTATAATTTTTATTAAAATTCTTCAGGATTATGGAATATGGGAAAGGGGTGATAAGACCAATCATGGTTTGCCCGAGCTAAACGCTAGTTCTATAGGTAATAGGATGAAACATTAGTTTAACTGATTGTAAATTAACTTTCTTTTCTGCAGGAATGGCAAAAGCAGCCCTTGAGGCCATGAACGAACTTGATCTCTTTGGGGCCAGGGGTGGTCCATCATCAGTAATTCATGTGTTGACCGATGAAGCTCAAAAATGCCAAACTGTACTGCAGGTAATTATCAAACGATTTTTCTTTACTGCATTATTTCTTTTTTTACTTTATTATAATTGCACTTTATAAAGTAATAATACTCTACTTTTTATAATCAATTGATTGCTAGTCGATGCTGCCGAGAGAATCAAATTCTAAAGAATTGGACAGTGGATTGCTTTCTGTAATTAGCTTCCCTGCTTTTGCTGTTGACGATCCACAACTTATAAATGCGACCAGGGACGCTATTACAACCAAACTGATGGGGAAATACGGCTGCAAAAGATTTCTCAGAGATGGATATAAAACACCAAAAGAGGCAAATACAAGTTTGTGGGTTTGTGCTTTGACTAATTGTAGTTTTTTATTGTATTTTTAAGGATCCAAATCGGCTATATTATGAACCATCTGAACTCCAAATATTTGAGAATATTGAGTGTGAATGGCCATTATTTTTCTGTTACCTGCTCATTGATAGCATTTTTCGAAAAGATGCTAATGCAATTTTAGAATACTCGGAAGTTTTAGAAACAGTATGCTATTATTTTTGTACTTTTGTGCTGTCTTTGTATTCTGATATATTTTCATTTTTTGTAAGTTAGTAGTAAAAGGATCAGATGGGATAAAGCTTGTACCTGAAATGTATGCTGTAACAGCAGAAAATGCTGATGCTGAATTTCTTGAGCCAAATTCGCAATCAAGAGTACCTGTTGGACGGTGTCCATTCCTGTGGGCACAATCACTCTACATTCTTGGAAAATTACTACAAGATGTAATCCTCTATTTGTTCTATTGTCTTTTAATCAGTGAAAAAAAAAGCGGGACAAAATCATTGTGTGAATTGATTAGGGTTTTATAGCCGCAGCCGAACTGGATCCTCTGAACAGGAGGCTTTGCTCAGAAAAAAAGCCAGACGTTGTCGTTCAAGTTGTTATACTCGCCGAAGACGATGAAATCAGGGACAAGCTGAAACATCATGACATTCATGTGCAGACTGTAGATGAGGTTGCTCCAATTGAAGTACAACCTGCCAAAGTGTTGAGTCATTTATACGCTTTCTTAGGTATGTTTTATTCTTAAAAAAAAAAAAAAAAATTAAAAAAAAATTTAAAAAAAAAATATTAAAAAAAATAAATAAAAACTTTTAGTCCATTTATATGAGACTCGATTATAGGCTGGTGCAAATGATTAAATTCAGATTTTTTCAATTAATTAATTATTCTTTTTATCTAAGGTCTTGAATTAGATGAAAAAGTTTGCGTCATATGTGGGATCGAACCCACGGCACCGCTTGAGCTATCGTGACTTCATTTTTTTAAAAATGAACTGTGCATATTAGCTAAGGTACATGATTGATCATATGCGATGCGTATTTTTTTTTAGAGGGAAGGATTGCGCGAAAAAAGGGTATGGCGTGAGAGTGGGAATTGAACTCACGACTGTGGGTTCTATAAGCTGAGAGTTTCATGCTGACCACTCAGCTACTGCAGTCCTCTTAATTCAAGAATTAGATTTTCATTTACTAAATTCACTATTTTTTGTGGTCCGCTTGACCAATTAATATCAATCAATTAATTAAGGTTTTTAGTTGAGATGAAAAAAGTTAATGGCACGAGCGGGATTCAAACCCACGACCTTCGGCTTGATACGCCGCTACTCTACCACTTGAGCTATCGTGACTCCGATCCCCTCGGGCACTAACTTCCCATCTCAACCACATCAGAGCTCACGACACGATAGCTCAAGTGGTAGAGTAGCGGCATATCAAGCTGAAGGTCATGGGTTCGAATCCCACTCGTGACACTGACTTTTTATCTCAACTTAAAACCTTAATTAATTTTCATTTACATTGGGTTGTCAAAATTTATGTTATTTTTATAAGTAAAATACAATGATTTTTTTGTGACAATAATTTAATTATACATCATACAATATATAATTATTTTCAAATTTAATAATATTTTAATATTAAATTTTTTACAAAAACGTATACACACATAACACACATACACACTATATTTATATGTGAGGAAACCCTCCTGTTTCTCTTAAGAAACGGAACAGGGAATCTAATATTAAATACTCGCCCGCCCGAATACTATCTTTATGTCAGGGCTCATGCTTACTCGTGCCCTGCAAGACACCAAGGCATGGCACTTTTCGATCACATGTGGCACAATGAGCAACTTTTCTTAACAAACGGGACATCTGTGTGGGTTTTGTGACACCCAAAAGCAGGTGTCTGTGTTTTTTCTTATTAGTGTTGTTAATAAAAGTGATTTTTTTATGTTCCAAAGTTTTTTTATATTTCTTTTCCTCTTTAAATTTTTGATTTGTGGGCATACTTGAAGCACAAGTCATTTTAGAACTTTCAATTTCCATTTATAGTGTTCACCTGTGTGATATTGTTATGGCTTCAATAATGATATAACTTGTATATTTCTTTTTCAAAATGTAACAATTCAAGGTTAAGTAATTAGTTTAATATTTACCATTAGGAAGGAATGAAAATCTGGGTTTATCAGGAAGAATCTGCAGAGATGTTGGAATGTTAAGCACTAGTAAACTTTACTCCCTTCAAGACAGAATCTTTGCTTTCACACCACAGGTAATTTTTAGGAGTAGAAGCCGTTCTTAATTATTTTATAATGACAAAATAATTTCCTCACTAACCATTAAAATAAATATTTTAAATGCCTATATGAATGGATGATTAATATTTCTATCCTGCATTTAAAAAAATTGATGGCTTTGCTTTGTTAATTACTATTGTATTTTAGCTGACAGACCAGAGACACAATTATATTGCCTCAGACGAAGATGCGATGATTGACATTGTCAAATCTGAAATCAACTTCTTAAAATCAACTTGGAATAGCCATGGTCGGCCGATAATGATAATCACTTTACGACACATATACTTAGGTATGAAAATATTAAAAAACATGCTTACTAATACACTCTCTACTAACTTATCATGTGTATCTTTAATGCCACTAAAACACAAATGACTTATAAGTATTGACTGGGACGAATACTGCACGACAGATGTTGCTCTATTAGTAAGTGATATCATATAAACATTAACTTCTTAGCCTGAACTGATCAATGCTTGCCGGCCCATACCTTGTCCTTTTGAAAGCTTTCAAAGGGTAGTCTGTTGTTGGTGCCAGATTTCTTTTCAAAGTACACATTTTAATTTTTTTTTTTCAGATCACGGAAAGATTCCACAACCAATGATTACAACAATGAAAAAACTAAAAAGTGGCTACATTAATGCTACAAGGTAATTATTTCCTTTTTAAATTTTTCTCGTCCGATTTTTATAAATTTTTTTACGAATATTATAGAGTTATACTTGGACATTTGAACGACTTCCTGACGACATCATGCATCACAAATTTGAGCTTCTTAGGCTGTCAAGAGCTCGGACGTCCTGATTGTAATTGTGTTTATCATCCTAAAATATCAAATTGTCAAAGTTATTAAAACTGTTACAGGATTTACATAAAAATGATATTTGTCCATGATCTTAAATTTATTTTCATAATTTATCATTAAGAAGTGATTCAGTTCTAGGTTTTTAAAGTATAGTGGAAACCCGTTTATCCGGACCCCGATTATCCGGACCTGTTTGTTAAAATATTTTTTATAAATTATTTGGAGATTGTGAGATGCGGTCTGGTATATTAGTGCATTAGTGGTATAGTCCCAGATCTCTCCAGATAATCATTAATTAACGGTCACTAAACACCACACATTTTTTATAAATTGTTCATAATTTTCAATGTATGTATATCAATTGTTTAAAAATCATAATTCCACTATGGAACCTTTAATTCGTCGTTAGAAATTCATAGAGGCCACCAAATTGTCCCACCACTAGTCACACGATCGAAGAGGCTGGAGAAGTCGACAGTCATGTTTTTGTTAAAAAAAAAAGAAAAAAGTTATATACTATTTTAAAAGACTAGAAATTGTTGTGTCGTGTTGTTCGTATTGGCTTCCATTGAAAAGGTGTTTTTATTACATATATTTTTATTAGGCATATTTTACGTATAAATTTTTTGAGAAATGCGTGTCTGGACTTAAACAAAAATAAAACTAATAAAGACTGTCTATTACTTTAATTTAACCTGATATATAAATAAAAGCGTTCACTTTCATATGTGTTTTTTATGACACGACACTAATAAAATCACAAATTTTCAGATTATCTGGACTTTCAATCACCTGGGCAAGTCTTGGTCCCTTCAAGTCTGGATAAACGGATTTCTACTTTAAAAAAATAAAAAAAATAAAAATAAATAAAAATGGTTTTTAACAATTTTTTTTTACAAAAAAATGGTTTTTAACAATTTTTTTTACAAAAAAATGGTTTTTAACTTTTTTTTTTTTTACAAAAAAAGGGTTTTTAACAATTTTTTTACAATGGGCCAATAAGGCATTTTATAATCTTCTCAACCAATAACTGTTTTCTTAACAAGTTTTATGCAAATAAAAACAAGTTTTTATTATTTTATTATAAATATAGATCTTAAACCAGAGATAGAACGATACCTCGAACTGAGTCTGAACAAGAGCTTAAATCCAAAGATTAACTTGCTCAACAAGTCGCCATTACCTGCAAACAAATCTTCTTTGCGTAGAAAGATGTCCGTGAAGGGGGCGATCAAGAAGACACGTGCTATCATCAGCCCTGAAAGTAAGAAACATGCTGTTTTAGTCTTGTGTAAGATTTAGTTTGTCATTTTTTTCAATAGCTGAAGGAGGTGGTTACATGTTGGACGAACAGAAACACTTAGAACAAAGCCTCCTGCAAATTGAACAGGCTAGCGACATACAAGCAGAAAGTGATAAATCAGATGAGGTTCAAATCACACTTAGAAAAGAACAAAAATCTAGGTATATTGAAATTATTAAATATTTTATATTGTATATTCTACAATATGTTTTTATAATTTATTCTTCATTTCAAATTATATCATGTCAATTAATTAAGGCTTTTAGTTGAGATGAAAAAAAGTTAATGGCACGAGCGGGATTCGAACCATGATCTTCGGCTAGATACGCCGCTGCTCTCCCACTTGAGCTATCATGACCTCGATCCACTCGGACATCAACTTCCTATCTCAACCCCACCTTATGAGTTTTCCCTCCTTTTTGCCATTTTTCAAATGTCGTATAATCGGATTGGATTCGAATGAAATGGCCACGGAGAGCTTTAGTGAAGTGTACTTAATTTTAATCATTAAATTCACTAATTTCATGGTCTATGGTCGTCTATTCATGAAAAATGGCAAAAAGGAGGGAAAACTCATAAGGTGGGGTTGAGATAGGAAGTTGATGTCCGAGTGGATTGAGGTCACGAAAGCTCAAGTGGTAGAGCAGCGGCGTATCTAGCTGAAGATCGTGGGTTCGAATCCCGCTCATGCCATTAACTTTTTTTCATCTCAATTAAAAACCTTAATTAATTGTAATGTATTAATTGGTCTAGCGGACCACGAAATTAGTGAATTATATCATGTATAGATCATTTAATTGACTTATATTTTTTATGCTTTTAGTTACCATTTAGAAATAATTTTTATTGAACATAGCTTATAAACCTATGTTTTAAACATAAATGTCGTACCATTTACATAGTACTTTCTCATAGGTATGCCCATAATGTACCATATGCTGCTACAGAAATTGAAGAGCTTTTAGCTCTTTTCCACAACTCCGAGCAGCTTGAAGAGCAAGGTGACATCTTACAGCACTTGATAGGCACTCAGGGGTTAGACTTCAAAACAGGTAAGCCTTTTAAGTTGATACTGCTTTCAGAGTATGATTGTTGAACCTTACAGGCTGGACGGAAGGTGGGGAACCCGTGACATTGAGAGATATTTTAAAAGTGTTCTACGAAAAGACGTGCCAGCAAAAGCGCTGGGGTCTTGTAAGACACACTGCAGGAAAACTTGGGAAAAGGGTTGAAGACCTGGCCAAGGCAGTTACCACTCTGTTAGTACACCAAAAACAGGTATGATAACATTGCTTTTTTTTATATTTTAAATAATGAATTTTTGTATGTTTAATATAGGTCACTGTAGGAATTCCACCAATAAATGAACACACAATTACAGCCCCATTGCCTGAGAATGAGCTGAAGCAACTAATACATCAAGCATATGGTGATGATGAGAGCACTGCTATGCTAAGCCAGGTTATATATTTATTTATTATTATATATTATTATTATATATATATATTTGCAATTGAGTGGTTAGCATGATAGACTCTCAGCCAGGAGACCCCATGGGTGTGGGTACGATTCCCACCGTCACCTCTAGCATTTTCTTGTTTTTTCACGCAACACTTCTTCCCCCACAAAAAAAGAAAAAAAAACATATCTATATCATCATGTTCCTTGGCTAATACGAACATTTCATAAGGCCATTAAAAAAATATATGTATTTTAAACATTTATATATTCAAGATTCCATACAAAATAATTCAACAATTTAATATTATGGACATGTTGATACATATGACAATGTTTGTTTTGCTTGATATCAATTTTTGTGTAGAAAATGTATATGTAGCACCAGTAAAAATCAATATTGAAATTTATAGAAAATTAAATTTTCAGGAAATTTTAGTCTATTTAGCTATGTTCATACGCACGGAACCACAGCTGTTCAAGGAAATGCTAAGGCTCAGAATAGGGCTGATAATTCAGGTAAGACATTTGAAAAGCTAATTTTCTTTTTCATTATTGCAAAGATGCTTTTTTTTTTTGTAGGTTATGGCCATTGAGCTATCGAGGGCTTTAAAGTGTTCAGGGCAGGATGCTTCCGAACATTTGTTGAATCTTTCACCATTTGAAATGAAAAATCTCTTGTATCATATAATGAGTGGAAAAGAATTTACTGTGCAAAATGGTAGATTAAATTTTTATATGTTTTGTTTAGCCTTCTTTTATATTGTGTATACATTGTTTTTCTTTTTTTTGAAAGTTGAATGTGGAAATATTTTAATTCAAAGAACTAAATCTATGAAGGTTAATAAGGTTAGTTTTTAAAAATATTTGCATTATTAGAAAGTTCTTTTCTTAATATTTCTGTTTAAAAAATGTTAGAAATCACAGGTTGGAACAGCTTTATCAAATGATACATGTATCATAGAAGAAGGGGATAGACAAGGACAGTGGTTGAGGAGACGCCGTTTAGATGGAGCGTTAAATCGAGTACCCCGAGATTTATATTCCCGAGTCTGGGGTGTTTTAGAAAAAGTATTACCTACAGATTATTATGTAATGATAAAACATTAAACAACATACAATTTCAGTGTGAAGGTCTTGCTATCGAGGGGAAACTACTTCATACAAACTTAACCAAAGAGGTAATGTCTACATGGCTGGTCATGACACTATCAAATTTTATTATTAATATTCATAGTTGAGTCCACGAAGAGATAGAATATTAAGGTAGAAAGAACCCAGGCGTTCTGTGATAGTTTAATTTATTTAGAGATAGACGTTCAGGCTACAAAGCCCATCTTCAGCCATTCCTGCCTGAATTGTTCATCTCTAAATAAATTAAATAACCATGGAATACCTGGTTTCTTTCTACTTTAAGATTGTTCTTATTGTAAAAATCAATTACATGAATATGAATGTTTACAATTGTTTCAGTAGTGTGAAGAGTTTGATTTCTTTTATTTCCTCAATGGAACAATTAACAATTTTTTAAAAAAATTTAAATTATTGATTTAGTATAATCACACTATTAGTGCAGAGTTTTTCTGTTCCATTTTTACAATTATTTTATTTTCTTTCATTGTTATAAAAAACAAAAACTTTGTAATTACCCTGGGTGGGTCCATATTCACTGAAATTCTAACACGAGCTCGTATAGTGATGAGTCATCGTACCAACACTCATAAGTTGTAACTCATCATGGTCACTGACACCCCACTAAAAAATAATTCCTTAAATATTAAATAAATATTTAAAATATTAAAATTACTCGCCAAATTATATTGTGTGGGTTGAAGAACTGGTAATTTAGTTGTTATAGATCATTTTGATGGCCTATCCAGACCAGTCAAGATCCTTGAAGACCAAAATGACTGGAAATGACCAAATTACAGTTAACAAAATAGTCAAAATAATATTGTAATTTGGTTATTACTAATTTGGTCTTTACCAATTAATGGCCAAACCCAGACAACAGAAGGCAAAATTCCAAAAATTGTCACACCAAAATGTTTGCTAAAGGCCAAAATTCACACCCTGCAGACCACACGGAGAAATCTCACTAAAATAATATTGACGAACTTTTAAGATATCGTTGTTATGACATTGTAGATGACATCTGGAGAGTTAAAATTTGCTTTGGCAGTTGAATCAGTTCTCAACACTATACTTCAGCCTGAGTTCAGACAGCTTGTGGTTGAAGCACTGATCGTACTTACACTTACCACAGAGCACAATGTTGTAAAGTCTCTTGGTGGGATAATAGCAGTTGAAAAGCTTGTTCATAAAGCAAACCAAATATTCCTCGAAGACCAGGTACTAAATTATGTCTCTCTAAGAATACTTATAAACTTTTTTTGTAACTTTTTGGTAAGCAGATTCGCGTAGGAGGAGATGCAGTAATGTGCTGTGCTAAAGACGAATCGCTACCTTGCAGTGGGTCGACATGCGGTGGTGCTGCATATATATGCCAGCACTTTTATGACAGTGCACCCAGTGGAAGTTACGGCACAATGACTTATATTATGAGGGCGGTGCTCTCTCTACTGGACTGTTTCTCGAGTGACGGTGAAATTAAATGTAATCAAATGTAATAGTACATTTTTTAAAATTTTTTACCTGCAATTTTATTTGTTATTTTGAACATTTAAACAGCAATATAATTTTTAAATAGTACTTTTCTTGTTTTTTTTACATACACTTTAGGCAGTTTACTCCCTAATTTCAAAAAAAAATTATTACCATTTTTCATTTTTGATCCTTTACAAAGTATTTTTCTAACAATAATAAACATAACTTATTGAAATAAGAAATTTGGGTCACAGGCAGTACTTGAACTCATGATCTCCAGAGAAATACTCCTGATGCACCACCACTATGACTGTCATTTCCTCTGGCATAAATTTGTCATTTCAATTCCTCTTTTATTTATTTTTCTAATGCACGAATGCCTACAAGGTGACAAGGGAGGTAATTGTGGGTCGAGTATGGCCTATCCTAAACCTTATTGGAATAATTCTTTCTCTTTTTTTTTTTTTCTTCAGAGGCCACGGTTTGACCTCTCCTCTCTCATTATCCTGTATATGTAAACACTGGCATCATAGATGTAAATTTTTAATTAACGATCTGCAAACTACTAGAAAATAAGTCTAATAACAATGTTTAGTAAATTTTTTATGTCTGAATGCACGAGGTATTTTGATAAATTGATCTGAAAAGAATTAAAATAGCGCAGTTAATTAGAAAGTGCACATTGTATTCAAATTGAAATAAAATTTCTGTCTGTTACAATGAATACAGCAAATTTTTTGTTAGCTAAGTGAAGTTGTGCAGTTAGCCTTAATTTGTTATTTTGAATTATTGAGGTGACTCAAAAAACAATGAGAGATTATACTGACAGACTTTATATCTAGACTGATTAGATTATTTTTCAAGGAAGCAACCATATTTTCATTATTTTCTTCAACTAATTATCAACTCTTGAGCCAGAAATATTTGCCCATGTCCAATAAGAAAGAGATAATTTCTGAGTTCTCTCACCTAGTTGAAAGAGATTGTATTATTAACATTTAACTACAGTTAGTCGTAAAATTGTTGATTGAAAACTTTGTAATCTTGAATAATGGAATATTGGAATATTTGGCCAAATACACCCCGTATTTTTGATCGTCGGGTCAGTAGGTAGTAAAGCATTTTAAATTATTTGTTGTCTTTTTTATTTTATTATTATTTTTTTTTAAATTAAATTAATTTTTTAAAATCATGTGTGTGGATTATAAGTTAGCCTTCTGTCAAATGGAAGTCCCAAATTGGTAACTTTGTTAGATTGAAGATCAGGGGTATAAAGGCAATTTGTTGTGACTTTGAAGGCTTTTATTTTCTAAAGAATGCTCCATTTTTCAATTGTTGACATGTGGTTTTGTAACTTAAGGTAAGCTTGTAAAAAGTGAATTTTTTAAAAATTAAAGGTTATTTAAAGATCATGAGATGCGGTCTGGTGTGATGTAGAAAAACATTTTCTATTTTCAACATTAATTTCTATTTTCGATCTTTATTGAGATCAGCTTCTGACTGGCATAAACATTGTTTAAGTTATACAATTACATATAATATATTAATATGAATTTATACAATGTTGTACACAATATAGAACTTTTAGGTTAAATCAAAGTATTTGTGTTCACACAAAGCGTGTATTTTCTGTTTAGTAGTATCTTTTTAATTAAAGGGAATTTTATTGATTTGAAAGGAAAATTTTATTGGATTCAGGAAATGGAAATTTCATTTTGGGGGCAATATCTAATTGACAAAAACAATTTGTAATATGTATGTATATATGTACACAATAATTTACAATTGGTAAAACTTTACACACAATTAAATTTAATTACAATAAAACAAAGCAGAAAAAAAATTCTACAAACACAATTGCTTAAACAATGATAATAGGATTTAGCCAGAATAAATTAATTTGAAATAATAATTGAAAATTCAATATTGAAATGTGCACTCTAACTTTCTAAGAATCTTTGATGCTCATTACTTGAATTTCAAATTACATCTTTGAACAGCATTTGCTGATAAATACTGACCTGCTATTTTTCCACAACTTCATAAATCCTTCTGGATTTTTGAGGAACATTCCCTTCAGACTAGGCCACTTCGAGCTTTTTTTGAAGCCTGTTGTTCCCCAACTTTCAGAATACTTCCCCAATATTCTTTTTAATCATTTGTAACGATTTATTATTATTACAAGCTTGAGTTGAAGAGGGGGTGACTTATTAATATGGTGGTGTCATCTGGTATATGACAGTAAGTTGTTAGTCTTTTCAATGAACCTGTCGGTCTTCGACTGAAAAATTTTGAGATTTTCCAAAAGGAAACAAGAACCGGGAAAAGAAATATATTAAATAACACACATAGAGTAAAAAATATAATGTGGCCTTATGAAATCAGATAAAAAACTATATTTACAATAAATGCGTGAGAAGCAAACTAAAAAAAATGTCTTTGCTAACAAAAAATAAAAAATTCCTCTTTACGGAAAAACAACACAATTTCAACTTTAGATCAATTCAATACAAATAGTATTTACAAATGCACTTAATTAAATGAGGAGCGGGCACACTCCCAAAAGGAACAAGGATCCAGGAATTATAAATAAAGGAATAGGCTCACCGATGTTGACTCCAGTGTCTCCAGCCACACAATGCCCTCTCTCCACGCTTTTCTTACCACTCTTTGGGGAAGAAGGTCCCCACCAGGGTTGTTTCTATATCAAACAAGCAAAATTTATGCAATAATTAATTTTGCAACCTTACAAAGTGCATTCTGTTACGATTTGTTAATATTAATTAAGAATTTTAAGTTGGCTCTGGACATTAAGATGGCTTTGCACCAGCTGGGCATTTGGCAAATTTTCTCAGTGTTAGTCGGTGGTCCATAGAGTAAGGATGGTGAAAGTTATTGCTTTATAAATGTTGTATTTTTTGGTGCATCAAAATTTTGCCAATATGTTTGTGGGGTTGTTTTCAGTAAATATACTAGTTTGTGTTTTTATTTATTTTATTGTGGATATAGTTCAATACGTCACAATCTTATTTACATTAAGACTAAATCTATCCTTAAAAATTATCATATGTGGGCGTAACAAAAATAAAAATTATGTAGCGAGTATTGACCCCTGTGGCACACCTGTAAGCACTTCTTTCAGCAGTCTTTAATCCCTGCAAAAACTGCGGAAAATCTCTCCTTAAGGTATGATTGTATAATCAGATAATGGACCTGGGGTAAAAATAGTTTTAATTTGTGTATAGTCCCCATACTTTGTTGCGATAAGTTGGCACTTTTTCGATTAGACTAAACCAGCGTAAAAGATGAGTAGTGCAGGTTTAGTATATCTAAAGATGGTTGTGATAATCTACGTTAGGTTGGCTAGTATAGAAAGCTCGTTGAAATCGAAAAGTATTAAAAATCGTGTTTACATCAAAAGCAAGTCGATCGGAGGGGTCGGGAAATTGCACAACTCTGTCGAACCGAAAAGACCGGACGAGAAGGATAAGTTGATTTACTCGCGATTGTACGAAACGTTCGATTTGCCGAATCGGGAAGAGGTTTGTACAGTCTACAAAGTGTTAGCAAATATCGGTTTATTTTGATTTGAACTGTAGTAAGAGCGAGAGTGCTAAAACAGACAAAATACATAGAGATGGGTCGCCAAAGAACCTAACTGAACTAATGTCACAATTCGTTTTATTGGAAAATCGCTTATTTAATTCGAATCGAACAGAATTCAAGATCCTTAGAAATATTTTCATCAAATCACCTCTTTGGAAAAATAAAGCGAAATATCAAAGTTGTAACTTTTATTTGAATTTTAGTATTGACCTGATAGGAACTGGAAAAAATGGTGTTACGAGGTGTGTAGACGTGGAGACTTCGAAATTATGATTGTATAGATGTTCGTAAAATTAAGAAAACGTGTCATTTTTTTCCACAGGAAGATTTTTGTGATTAAAAGTGTATTTTTAAGGGCAGCCTGTTTTGTTGTTTTGTAGCTGCCTTCTGTTAGATTAAGATTAATTTTTTTTCGTTTGATCTTAATTCCGTATAGCATAAGTAGTAATTAGCAATGTGCAAATACTGGTTAAATAATGGTTTAGGACGGCCGTTTAGCTCTGTCCAGGCGGAGGATGAGAGATCCATTTCCAACCCACACAAAAATCAATCCATCCCCTTGTTTATAAACGCGATGATTCCAATTAGATTTTACTATTCCGCCTACGAGCTATTTTTCAACAAAAAAGTTGATTAAAAGAATGTTTTGTGGCGAACGAAACTCAAATAAAATCTCGATAAATATTGAAATTGGAATAAAGCTTCCAGTCCAGACAATTTAAATCCAGTGATATTGAAAAAAAAGAAAAAATGAAAGAAGAATCAGAAATGAATTAAAACGCAGGAAAGAAAAATCATAAAAACATGACAAATTGTGTAAAAAAAAATTGGCAATGTCATCGAGCGAATGCACTTCATTCAATTTGCAGTATCGACTCATAATTTTGATTTTATAAAGAGCCGCCAAAGCCTCATCGTTTAAAAAAAAAGCACCACGTTTACGGTCCAGACAAAAACTTTCTTTTGAACCGGCAGAATGAATTTTCGAATTGAAAGGGCGTCCGGGCGTCGGGAGTGCGCAAGGCCCTCTGCCCCCCAGGTGATCCGAATTGATTTGTAACCGGGGTGCTCGCCCACCCTCAGACGGGAGGCGACCGCCGAGCTCTGCCCATCCCACGAAGCCGGTAAGAACTTTCAAAATAGCGTTGCGAAGATGTAGAGAGAAAAAAATAACAACAACACACAATATGAAAACAGTTGCAGCTCGTCGGCGGACAAACAGCAAATAAGCTTATTTTCAACACGTTCACTTTTTGTACTTGATCTAGATTGAGTTTTTAGAATGTTTTTCCATGTTTTGTCAGCATGTGAAATTTTTAGATTTTAACAGTAGAACTGTATTTTATTGTAAATAGCAGGAGTAAAAACCGGTTATTGTTTGGATACTCTCAGGAAAAGGAAACCTAGACATTCGTTAGCAACCTCGATCGTATGTACATATTAGTTCGTAACCTGCAAAATATATAAAAT